GATATAAGAATATTACTCTGTGCTCACACCGGTAAAGCCGCATACAATATCAAGGGAACTACCATTGCATCAGCATTTCACAGAAAAATGTATCAAAAACAGCAGCACATGAGTGCAGATGAATTGAATACATTTAGGACAAAGTATAGAAATTTGTCAGTTGTGATAATAGATGAAATTTCAATGGTTGGAAATAATATGCTTACATTTATAAATGATAGACTTCAGCAACTTACTGGTAGAAAACAAGATTTTGGTGGTATTAGCATCATAGCTGTTGGTGATTTGTATCAGTTACCACCTGTTGGAGACAAGTGGATTTTCAAAGACCTTACCAACCCTGGTCAGAGTTTAGCCAAAAATTTGTGGCATGAACATTTTAACATGCATGAATTAACTGAAATCATGAGACAAAAGGATGATCTCAGATTTGCTGAATTGTTGAATAGACTCCGTGAAAACAAGATGACAGATGAAGACAAAGAACTCATTTCTCAACGTATCATCAAGCAAGACTCCTCAGCCTATCCTAAAGATGCCCCTCATCTGTTTATTGAGAACAAGTTTGTTGACAGCTTTAATAACAATCTAATAGAAAACCTTTCAACAAGTAAAGTAAATGTAAGAGCAGACACAGATGTGATATCACAAACAAAACTCCCTGAATCGGTGAAATTAAAACTTCTTCAAAACTTACCTGAAAACTCAACATCTACTGGACAATTAAGAACCAATCTAGTTATTGCTGTAGATATGCTCTATGACATATCAGTGAATCTTGATGTAACAGATGGAATGACAAATGGTGCTTCATGTGTTGTGAAATACATTGAATATAAACACTCAAAATTAAGACCTGCCATAGTATGGGTTCTGTTTCCAGATTCAAAAATAGGTATTTCAAGAAGACACCAGTACAGCCATTTGTTCAGTACAAATATTAACACTGCATGGACTCCCGTATTTGAAGCCAAAAGAACATTTGTGTATAACAGGAAGACCTATGAGAGAGTTCAATTTCCACTCCAACCATCTGCTGGAAAAACAATTCACAAAGCGCAAGGAGCAACTCTTTCAAAGGGAGTAATCAGCTTAGCACAGACAAAGCAGCGCAAAATTCCTCATATACATTATGTTGCACTCTCAAGAGTAAGGTCACTTGATGGTCTATTCATACTAGACTTTAATGAAAAGAGCCTTTCTAAAGATGAAAATGTTGATAAAGAGATGGAAAGATTGAGAGAAAACAAATTGCAGCTCTCATACACACCACTTTACTCAGTATGTAAGGATATCAAATTTTTGTTCAACAATGCCAGATCTCTACACAAACACTTCCTTGACATAAAATCAGACCCAAGTGTTTTACTTGCAGATGTTATTGGTATAGCTGAATCATGGCTTTGTGAATTAGACTCTGAGAAAGACTTTACTTTAGAAGGTTTCAGAATGTTCAGAAATGATGCTGGTTCATCCAATGTTAGATCACATCATGGCATTGTCATATATCTGAGGATTGAATTGCAGTGTCTGTCATACAACATTTTCACTTCCAAATCTGTAGAATTTTCTATAATTTCCTTTATGTCAATGAATTCTCTAATTCAGTGTGTAGTTTTATACAAACAACCTTCTTGTACTCTTCAGTACTTAAAAGAAACCATGAAAAACCATTTGCTTCCATTTGTTATCCAAAATGAAAGAACAGTGATAATGGGAGATTTTAATTTGGATTTAAATACAGGCCAAAATTCAGATTTTCTAAGTTTTATGAAAGAAAAGTTTGGTTGCAACCAAGTTATAAACAAGGTAACCACAAAAAGCAACACACAGTTAGACCTAATCTTTACCAACTTTAAAAATATACAAACAGATGTTCTGCAGACTTATTGGTCTGATCACAATATGGTTTATTGTGCAGCAGATATGACTTAGGCAAGGCTATTCTAATATTAGAGATACAAGTTAAGTACATATTGTAATCATAAAACCCTCTAGAGCACAACAAGGCAGTATGTAAATATTTAGTTTCCAATGGAAACTAAATATTTACAAACTGCCTAGAGTGGTTAAGCAAAAGCAAGGGTTGCCACTCATCAACTACTTTGTTTGTCCCAATAATAATCCATGTAATCCATGTTAAATCTAAAATTTATAATATTGATATACATGTAATTCAAATTTCATCACTCTAGCTTTATGGACAGTTATTGGGGCAAAAAGGTGATTATAAATTATAATTCCCATGAGATGAAATTACTTTGTTTATTATGTATGGAACTTTGCAGCCCTTTTTAATTCAACAAACTAGTATATAAAAACAATGTACATGTATAACTTTTAAATATATTTATTGTATAACAAACTTCATGTCAACATTTTTGGTGCCACTAGTGACTTGCAATTAATATCTAAAAGAGAACTTCAATATGTACAGAATAACATGTAATTTTGCATATACATTGATAACTTCTATAATAAAGAAATATCTGTATTGTTTATAGAATGGACTGTTGAAATAGTAATATCTGCTTTAAATAAATGTATTATTTTAAAAGCTTCATCTGCAAATTTATTGATTGATTGAAAAACTCCAATTATTTAAAACTGGTTCCTAATTTGTGACATCATAATCTGTTTATCATATGTTTATAATATGTCAGGAAATGTAATATGAAGTTGCAGAAAGCTTCACTTCTCAATAAATGATTTTTTTTTTTTACAATTGATGTTTTTGTGTGTTATTTGTATTGTGTATGTTTGGTAAAATGTGTATATGGATAACAAATTCATACGATTTCATCTCATGGGCATTTAAATCAATGTTATGTTAATTCCTTTTTATGTATTAAAACTAATGGATACATATAATTTAAGAACAAGAAAACATTTGTGTGCTTTGCATATGCAGTTATACATGCTGTGTATACATTATACATTCTTTCATTGTGCACTTAACACATTAGTGTATATCTGAAATACATTGTGCTAAATGAACTGTGAAATGTACCCTTGGAGAAAAAGAGTAACTCATTATATGTTAGATGTTAAACTGTTAAATGAACTTTCTGTGTCTGTTGAAATGATTAAATCAACATTCTGTGCTTGAAAAGACTGGCTCATTATCTCTTCCATGAAAAACTGTAAAATCAACATTCTGCATTTCAAAAGACTAGTTTCATGTTACATGTAAAGCTTAATTGAATCAACTTTGTGTGTTTGAAGAGACTGGCTGCAATTCTTACATGTAAAACTATTGAATCAACTTTATGCGTCTGAAAGATAACTCTATTTAAAAAAAATCCATATATGTTACATGTTAAAAACATTTTGTATCTTTATTCTGTTGTGAATAGTCATATACAGTGTATTAACAATTCATTTGTCATTTTAGTTTCTGAATTTTTGTAAATGAATTTTTTTAATGACATACAATTGTTGCTGAATTCCTTAAGGCAATTTTTGAATTTTATAACTTTGATTTATGTATATAACCACCACATTCACCCGGATCAAGCAACTCCATGCATGCTTCATTTCAATACTCAAATTCTGTTGATGAGAGCATTTACTTATATAAAAAAGAAAACTGTGTTTGAAGCTTACACTTTTTTATTTGAAATACTTAATTTTCACTAAATAACATGTAATAAGAAACTTTTATCACTAAAGTAAGATATTATCAATTTTGTTGAATACCTTAAATCAATTATGCATTTTGAAGCTTATTTAAGTTTCCTTCAATGTAATTTTAATCACCCCTTTTTCAATGTATATAAGATTGCACAAAGGCAAATGCTTAAAACTATATATCTATTATTGTTTTTTCTATAAATGTAAAATAAGTAGTGAGCATGCTTCAGATTTACTTCTCAAATTTGTTCCATGCACTCGTATATATACACAAAAGTCTGGATAAATATATCCAGGTGACTTTGAACTACTTTTAATCTTTCTTTTCGATTTCGGTATGTAAGATTAAAATAGTAGTTCAAATACATCTATTATGAAATAGCTAGCATATTAAAGTTATGTTTTTATGATATGAATATTTGATAAAAATTCTAAATGAAAATACTCTAGATTAATAAAGTGCTAAATGGATTCCGTAAATTTTTATGTATTTTTTTTTTATTTATTTATTTTTTTTTTTTTGAGGGGACATTTTTTTAAAAATGCTATTGGAACAGAATTTACTTTGTATGATTGAGTACTTTCCATGTAAAGCATTTGTTTGTTCATGAAATTTTTAACAATATTTTATAAAGAAAAGATTAACTTTATGGTTCATTTATTTCCTAGATGTATATAAATTATATATGTACACATATTGCTAAGTGGTCCAATTCAAGTATGTGCATGCACATGCACCAAAACATTCTATGAATATTATTAATGGGAATTGAAATTTGAATTGATAAAATGTTTTTCATAAAATCTATTTAATGTTTTAACTGTCTGAAATTACCTTTGAAATGAAGCATGCACTTTTTATAGGTAAGTAGAATGGAAAGAACAGGTCAATGGCCAGCCCGTAAAGGGAGGTAAACCTTGCTTCTTTCAGATGGTATAAAATGATAAAAGTGAAAATTGCTTTGTACAATTCATAACGGAATTTCAGACAGTTGTTTGAGCAATCATGTTGTTTCATATCATGAAATAATTGAAAAATATAATTAAAATCATACCAATAATTTATTTAGGATACTTAATTGGACACATCAAATGAATGCAATGGTAGTCAATATATTATTATGATTTAATATTTAACTGATTGTTTAAATCAGGAGTTATGATGAGCAATTGTGCCCCTTTCAAAATGTTAGTGCCATGGCATAAAGCACATTCAATGGTTAGAAAGTTGATGCATGATACTCAGGTGACCTATAAGGCCCGTGGGCCTCTTGTTAGTTTTTGGAGAGGGTAAATCAAAAGCATTTGAAACATTTCATGTAAAACTGTTTCATTATTAATTTCACTATATAAATCAATACTTGTAGGTTTTGATCTCACATCATGGAAATCGTTGCATAGTTTTGGAAATGTATTAACTCCAGAACAGACCAAAATGTTGTGGAGGGAGATTGGCATTGAAGAATATGTTGGTTTGAGATGTTCGAGAACTGCAACCCCATATTTCCCAGAAACACACAAAGGCTGGAATGTGTCAGGATGTGAGTCTTTAATGTAATTTATTGCTTATGACATGAGGAACTGTCAACTGGTATTTTTTATTGGGATTGTATTTCTTGTTTGTCCAAACATTAAATTTTTCATGTAAAGGTTATTTGAGGCTTATACAGGATCATCAAACCTGGGTATTTATACATAGATCATTTTAACATTCTCTCACTAAATTTTATCTGGGTGAAATCTTGCACATGTGAAACTTCCATCATCAGGTCATATCAATTCATACGTCATGAGGGCAAGTATGTTACTTTTGACTAGACAGTTGAGAGTACTATAATTTTTTACTTCATAACTTGCACCAGCTTCACTTTCAGGAACAAAATTTTTCACATTGGCCATACCTTTTCCACTGGAACATTGCAAAATACCATCAAACCTGGCATTTACAGGCCATATACTGATGCCTCTAACCAATAAACCACTAAAAATTTTTGGGGGACCACAATACTCATAAAATTTGCTTTTTTTAATTATAAAAAGCTTGTGGAGTTCCTCCAGTGCTGTCTAGTAATATCACCTGTCATATCAATGAATCCTGTACTGGTATCAGCTGTTGTTTTGATGATTCTATCACTGGGACGTCCTACAAGATCTCAATCACTGTAGACTCCTGTGAAGAAACCCTGGTCATCACACTGGAGAAAATGAAGTTTGTCATTTCTTTGTTTGATTATCCCATGGGAACCATGAGTACTGCACAACTATTTGGAATTTTGCAGCTGGAGTAAGTTCACTGATTTTTTTTTTCAATCTGAATTTCTTTAGAAAACATAAATGTTAAAAAAAATTTGAAAGGAAATGCATTAAATTCCTTTTAATTTTTCTTCAATTTAATGATTTTTATAGATACAAAATAGATGATATGCCAATGCAAGGCCAGATTGTAATTGATTTAAAGGGAAAGCTATGTTACACAAAGGACAAGCCCTGTGATAAAGATATAACAATTATGAAGGGATTCCAACTGCCAAAACCCCTTTGCAACTTTAGTCCAGGACACTTCGCAATTCCAGGTAAAGCATGTGATTATGCCTCTTATAAGTAGTTTGAATATATTTTGTAGTTGATAATGATGTGCTGATATATTCTATCAAATAAGTAAATTTTACTGTTACGTTGGCATGAAAATGAGTTGATAGTACTAAGATAAAAGAACAATTCTTGTTTGAAGAAAGTGTTAAAATGATTGCTATTTGCTCTAAAAGATTTTTCCCTGAGCACTTGGATGAAGGACAAGATGAGTGGAAACACCCTTGAACAATGGGCTATAGAGCTACTGAAGTCAGAATTGAAGTTATCCAATCATCTGTTGAATCCCAAATGTGACAGAAGACAGTTCTCTACCGGCAATGGCAACTGGAATCTTAGTGGTAACTCCAAAATTAAATGATTTTGTCTTGGATCTGATTTTGTAAAATATTAATCATTTTATGTCAAATTTAAAAGATAAAAGTAACTTTACAGATTTCTGTACACACACACACACACACACACACACACATATATATATATATTTTAATTGCCGTAATGAGAAGAAACAGTGTTTGTGCATATATGTAGTTCTGATTATTTATAAATTCTTTTTTATATTGTCAACTTTTTCTCTAGTTTCAGCCATTTTTTGTTAAAGTCCTACACGCTGTATGAAACCCGAATTTTGTGTGAAACAAAATGATAAACATGAAGTGTAATGAAAAATAACATTTTCCACAAAATTTTACTATAGAAGTTATTGTAATAACAAAACAATTAATAAGCAATATCTGGCAGTTAAGAATTCGGTCTTTTCATGAATATTGGTGAAGGAAATGCGTTAATAGTAGGCTTAATATGGAAACGCATGTCCACGGGAAATAACAGACGAGGCATCTTGCATATTTTGACAACAATTATTAATAAAGCGTTAATATGCGTCATAACAGAGTAGATGGTTGATACTGATTACATTAAAATATACATATCATTAAGAGTAAGACGCTTGCCATCCACGTCAAAAGTGAGTAGTATCTCAAATGGCCTACCTTGCCAAGATTTCTTCACGCCCTGTTTGTTTATCAATCTAAAAGTAGCGACGGCGTCACGTGATGAATTTATTTAAAAATAGCTATATAGTATTGTATTTCTCTACTAGCAGGGATATAAATAATTATAATTTGATAACTTTATAACGCGTTTAATTATAATGTTGTAATTTACAGTACTTTCGTAACTTTTATTGATAAACAAAATATATAAATCTCCAATCTTGTTCAAACTGGCGCAAGTTATAGCATGTATACTTTTAAGCATCTAGGATAAAAGAATCAAAATTTTGAGTTTTGTTGTTCACACATCTCCTTTGGCAAAGGGATAGACCCCATTCCATCCAAATTCATGCAGTTGTCAAAAATAATCTATATGCTTGTGTACCAGCAAGCAAATTGTTCTGCAATTTAAAGCATGAATGTAATACAGTCATTTTTCTATGAAAATTTGAAATTTATGACTCCTGGATTTAGGGTTCCGCCTGAAAAGCCTGCTTGGTCATGTTTTGAAAATTCATTTCCTTTCTATTAAACTTTTTACTTTTCAGAATTTAGGAGGAAAATGATTTGGATGATTAAATTTATAGTGTACATTACAATGACATTTCTGTAGATGTAAGCCTGATAAAATATTTTCTGTTTACAGCATGCACAGAGCAAATATCTGTTCCACCCTTACCAAGCCACACATCTTGTGTTGTGTCTGAAACCTGCATGGGAGTGAAATGTTGCACAGATCTTCATTTGCTCAAGACCTCTATTCAAACAGAAATAAGTTTGGACAGATGCAGAGGAAAATTTTTTGTCACTTTGGAAAAGCTGAGGATCACTATTATGTTAAGGGACTTTGAATATTCAACATGGCAGAACTACACATTGCAAAATGTCTTTAGATTAGGGTGAGTTAAATTTAATTTCATCTTTAATTAAAGAATGAAACAATTTAATTGTGTTGACATCTATACAAATTGTATTTTTCTCTTAGGATTGAATTAAACTTTTTTTTAGATTCAAGATTGATTATCTGTCTGCAGAGTCTGTATTTCTGTTCAACATGAAATTTAGTGCTTGTTTTGAAACTAATGGAGACTGTATGTTGGACTTTTCCATTATGAAAGATATAAAAATACCAGTTGTGAGCTGTGAATTTGAACAGCAGCAATTTGCAGTTCCAGGTAAGTTCTAGCTGTTTAAATTTGAAACTGAAAGAAAAAATATACTGTAAACCAACTTTTATTCGCGTGCGAGAAATTTTCGCGAATTTCACGAGGGCCTTGTTATCGCGAATATTTCTCGCCGTGAACCAGTCCATTATGTCTATATGAACAGATCAAAAAAGGCTTCATCGCGAAAATTAATCGACGCGACCTAGTCTAATCCCGGTAAATCGCGAAATAAAGTTGTCGCGAATAAAAGTTGGTTTACAGTATTTTAATCAATGCTTTTTCCAATTTGAATATTGCATATTTTATGCTTTAACTGTATTTAAAAAATTAATACAGGATTCAACTTGAGTAATTTCCTGGTCAGCAAGGAACTTTCGACAGCTGTCACAAGTCTCCCAGAATTGATAGCAGATCAGCTAATGGATCACCTTGGAGTATTGAATTTTTTTAGAAGTGCACAGTGTAACCGAACAGTTTATTCAGGAACTTCATCTGGATTTCTGATTGGTATTTTCACAATTCTGCTAATTAATATTTATGTATTGTATGCTACTTTTTTAAGTATGTGGATTATTAAACTTATGGCTTCACACTAACAGGTCCTTCCTGTAAACAAGATGTTTCCTCTTATGTCACAACTCTACCTGCTGATACAAACTGTAGAATATCCTCAGGATGTACTGCTATACAATGCTGCACAGACATCTCTTTCATTGGACGAACACTGAACTATTCAATCAACATTGATGCATGTGCTCATTCCTTGATGTTGCAAATAGAGACTTTCCAATTCTACCTTTCTCTTTTGAATTTTAAATTTGGAGAGAAACAGATATTTACTATTGACCAAGTGTTGTCCATCAGGTAGGAAATTTAGACACAGTTTTATCTATAAATGAATGCTAAATTGCTGAAAGCTGTAAAGAAATTTGTGATGAATTATTTTAAGAAAGGTACTCAGTAGGGTATTGCTACTAGCCTATCATCCAATTTCATTGTGCATAATCTTAGAGGACTACAAGTTTAGGTTGATGTACAATACATTGAAATGAATGTTTGTTTATTTCTAGATACAAAATAACAGATCTGAGAGGTGAAAGGAAATATTTGGTAGATATGAAGCTCATTGTGTGCTTCAGTGATGGGTCACCTTGTCAGCTGGAAAACACTATTGTCAGTAACTATCTTGTTTCTAAACCAGTGTGTGCTTGGTATACAGGATACAAGGAGCAAGGTTTGTTTATAATGTAATCGGACAAGATTAAAGAAATTTATGTTTCTATATGGATAATCTTTTCTGATCAACTACAGTGCGATAGCCTGATAGGTATATGTATAAAACTATAATTACAACACTTTTAGCCAGAGTTTATGTTATAGAGAAAAATGTAGAATAGCATTATTTACTATGATGTCCTGTGCAAACATTTTTCCATATTGAGTAAGTCTTCATTGAACTTAAACAAACATAAAAAAATTAGGAAAGATTAACATAACTTCATTTTGATGCATTGAACTTTAACTGAATAGGACAGATTTTATCTTATATCTAGACTATTAAGTAAATTTAGACTCTGTTCATGTGTAGTATTATGTATTTTTCAAGATTTTTCTTTTGCCAATTGGAGCTCTGCTCAGAACTTGTCACCTGTTGGAATTCTTTCCAAAATGAATGCTGCAAAGCTATTGGAAAAACTTGGAATTTCCAAATACATGAAGGAAGAACACTGCCATCATGAAAAAGGAGTTTACAGAAATTCATATCAAGGATGGAATTCGGGTATCTATGCCTTAAAAACTTTAAAGCTCACCTAAGCCAAAGACTCAAATGAGTTTTTTTTTAATAATCTGTACAAATTTATATTAATTCTCCATGATTTTTTTCACAGCTTGTCCAACAGATAGAGAAGTCAGTAGACCCATATTAGATCCCAGCAATGCTACCTGCTACTTACAGAAATCTTGTTCAGGTGTACAGTGTTGTGTCAGCGTACCTCACACAGACTTCTCTGTAGAGACATTTGTTGAAATCAGTCCATGTGATCATCAACTGAGGGTGGGAATAGAAAACCTGAAATTCAACAAAAGTTTATATGGCTACAAGTTTGGGGAGAAGGAGAAGTTTGACCTTTTTGGTTTGGCTGTAGTTGAGTAAGTTTCAAAAGATTAATTATATTTATACACAAAACAAAACAAGGTTTAAGAGGTTCAGTTGGTTTAATATTTAACATATCAAAAATCCATAAAAAACATGAACACATAGAAAAAAAATATATACAATAATGTAAATCTCAAAACTCATACTTGTTTGGCGCTCTGGGGGCTACTCATTACTTTCTCTACCTTTCCTTCCAGGCTACTAACAAGACAATCCTCTGGGCTGATCCCAAGAGGATGCTCAACAAGAAACATGCCTAGGGCTGATCCCTAGAGGCAAGCACAAATCGCCACTCTGGGCTGATCCCAGGAGTGATATGGCTGGGGCTGATCCCAGCAGGCCACGAAAACCTGACGGACCTCTGGTCTGATCCCGAGAGGATGTAAACAAGATACCTAGCCTTGGGCTGATCCCTAAGGGCTAAAGTAGAACCCACACTCCAGGCTGATCCCAGGAGTGAATCACTCCTGAGGCTGATCCCAGCAGGCTACATAACCAGACAAATACCTTCGAGTTCAAACTATGGGCTAATCCCATTGTTTTTGATGCATAAAATATAAGTATTCATATATACATGTACTACACTATACAATCGAAGTATTTAAACAGAACTAATCCACTTCAGACACACAAAATTTAAAAATAAGTAATATTGGGGGCAAAATTCCCCAGGAATGAACGCTAATGAGCAGCCCCAAAGAGAGCCAAGGGTGCTGCAGGGGATGGAGGGTGGGTAGCTTCTGCACAATAGTCCGTGACTTCTAGGCTCCAACTGCAATTGCCAGACTCCCCCTCTAGGCATCAATGCCCCTGGCTACTCTTTTCTTATTGGTCCATCCAAAAAATACCCCATAAACAAAAACTATTTATAGAAACACATCCTGATTACAGAAACAATAAAATGCAACAAATTTAGTTCAGTCACAAAGGCTAGAAAAGACAATTTGTGTATAAATAATAATTTAATGTCATTAAATATCAAGTAACCAGAGAGCAGGTATATCTATAAACTAAAAGAGAAAATCTTTCATTTGTTAATTTATATATTTCTTTCATAATCAGTTTTGAAATAACTGACCTGGACTACAGTGGAGAGAATGGACAGTATCTGGTGAATCTAAACATCAGCATCTGTTTAGAGTCTGGACAACCTTGCAATACTGTAGTTCCTGTGTTAGTCAACTCTGTTATGAACAAGGAAGTATGCAATAGAAGACAAAACTTCTTTGATAAAGGTAGGCTTTTGTATTTAAATTTTGCAACAAAATACATGTAACCAAAAGAAGGAAAAAAACCCTGATTTGTGAATGGTTTGCTCTGAAACATCATATTTATAATTTTTTTTACACTCAAGAACTCTTGTCAATTCTTTAGCAGAAAGATTTTTAAAGTATGTAATATAGGTTTGCATTTAAAATCTTGTTTATAAAATTATTAACAGCATTTTCATTGACCAACTGGAAGTCTGTTCATGGAGTATCTGGAGGGGTATCCTTAGATCTTCCTCATGTAAAACAGTTACTTCAAGACCTTGGGGTATCACATCTCCTGCTAGATGATAATCAGAGATGTGGCTGGTCAAAAACACCATATAGTTCAGCTAACATGCAGGGCTGGTCAGATGGTATTTAATTTTCCTACTGAAATTTTACTTTCTGATAGTATTTCGTCAATAATGGCTTATTATTTAGGACTTCTAATAATTCTCAGATTGTAACAAGACAACAGAGAACCTACCAGCAATAGGTCCCAACATCAGATGTTCCGTATCAGCATCCTGCAGTGATGTCATGTGCTGTGTACACTCTAACATTTTAGGAGAAAACCTGCAGGCTTACATCAGTATAGACTCCTGTAATGGCAAAGTCTCTGTAGGGATAGAGAAATACCAATGGTCTGATAAACTTTTTGGGTACAACTTTGGAGATGTCAGACATGTTTCATTAATGGGAATGGTTAATTTAGAGTAAGTAATTTTAAGACTGCAGGAATGAATTTGTGGTAAATATTTGAATATTGCATTTACAGCAGTAAGTTCTAAAATAATAATTTTGCCTGTGGGTTTTTTGTACCTTTGAGCTTCAGATGATCTTACAAATATTCAATGGATGATTTAGTTGTCTCATCTGTTCAGCATGAGTCTATTCAAAAGTTTATATTTTTTACCTGTAAATAATTGAAAAATTATTGTTTTTGAATACTGTAAAATTAAATTCTCGCGCATAATAGTATTCCATAAGATTATATAGAACAATAACCACAATTTGTGAAAATTTTGTCTCGCTATAATCAAGAGTCAATGACTATCTCGCGAAAATAAGATTTCGCGAAAATTTAGTGATCTACAGTATTATATTCAAACATACAATGTGTTTGTTTTGTAGTTACATCATCATTGATTTAGATACTTCCTTTGGAGCCAGCCTTAATCTGAGCGTCTGTTTTGAATCTGGAGGACCTTGTGAATTTACTTTCCAGCTCTTAAATGAGCATAAATTACACAAGCCAACATGCAATTGGACAAGGGACTTCATCCAATCAAGTAATTCAAATATGAGCCAATGCGAGGAATTTTGTTAGTATTAACATAATCTTTGCTTGTACAGCTGCATGAACTTTGGTATCCCAAACACTGATATCTTGAATACCATGGGTATATTGAAGTGATCTGGCAGTCCAACCACTGATTCCTTATTAAGTATTTATTTTTCCCTTGATATCTCAAATCCTTGGATATCTTGTAGTTTTTAGCTCACCTGAGCCGAAGGCTCAAGTGAGCTTTTCTGATCACATTTTGTCCGGCGTCCATCTGTCTGTCTGTCCGTAAACTTTTCACATTTTCGACTTCTTCTCAAGAACCGCTGGGCCAATTTCAACCAAACTTGCCACAAAGCATCCTTGGGTGAAGGGGATTCAAGTTTGTTCAAATGAAGGGCCACGCCCTCATTTAAGGGGAGATAATTGAGAATTAGTGAAAATTTGGTGGTATGTTTTAAAAATCTTCTTCTCAAGAACCACTGTGCCAGGAAAGATGAAACTTATGGGGAAACATCCTCAGGTAGTGTAGATTCAAGTTTGTTCAAATCATGTCCCCCGGAAATAGGGCGTGGCCACAATGGCTGACCAAAGTTTTATATAGAAATATATAGGAAAATTCTTTAAAAATCTTCTTCTCAAGAACAGCAAAGCCATGATTGCTCATATTTATATGGAAACTTCCCCAGGTAGTGTAGATTCAAGTTTGTTCAAATCATGACCCCGGGGGGTAGGGCGGGGCCACAATGGCCGACCAAAGTTTTATATAGAAATATATAGGAAAATTCTTTAAAAATCTTCTTCTCAAGAACAGCAAAGCCATGATTGCTCATATTTATGTGGAAGCATCCCCAGGTAGTGTAAATTCAAGTTTGTTCAAATCATGACCCCTGGGGGTAGGGCGGGGCCGCAATGGGCGACCAAATTTTTATATAGAAATGTATAGGAAAATTCTTTAAAAATCTTCTTCTCAAGAACAGCAAAGCCATAATTGCTCATATTTATGTGGAAGCATCTCCAGGTAGTGTAGATTCAAGTTTGTTCCAATCATGACCCCAGGGGTAGGGCGAGGCCGCAATGGGCGACCAAAGTTTTATATAGAAATATATAGGAAAATTCTTTAAAAATCTTCTTCTCAAGAATAGCAAAGCCATAATTGCCGATATTTATATGGATGCATCCTCGGGTAGTGTAGATTCAAGTTTGTTCAAATCATGACCCCCGGGGGTAGGGCGGGGGCAAACTTTTGGATTTAAACTTTTCAATAGTATTGTAAACCAATTTCTACTTTTTCCTAGCCACAATGCTCGGGTGAGCGATGTGGCCCATGGGCCTCTTGTTCTTGGTCCCTTCAAATTTGAGATAACAAGGTTTGACTGTATTTGGCTTAGAGGTATTTTTTTTTTTGTTTTAGCTCCTTTTGTGATCATTACTGGTTTTTAAACTTACCCATAATTAAATAAGCTTTAAATTCATATCATGGTATACACTTTTTTTTATTTGCAGACTTTTCTATGGACAACTGGTTGTCAACTCATGGTTATGATGGAATGCTTGTACTGCCATCATATGGTGCATCTGAATTACTGCATGACCTCGATATAATTCAGTACTTTGGGTATTCAAATTGCAATAGGAAATCAATTCCATTTTATCCAAGCAAAAATGGATGGAACAATGGTAATTAAAGCACATGTCTTTCAATACTGTACTTTCTTGTAAACAATACAAGTATAATATGTTCTTCAGAAAATAGTTTGATTCAATTCTCTATATTACGGTACTCTGAAAATATATTTACAGTATACAGAATTTGAAATGAATTCCACAATTGCACATTATCCAGGAAGTCAAATTGGATATTTATGAACATACCTTTGTTAGTTTAATACAGCAAAATATTCTTTTAAGATTGTGTTGATCTGCTTTACAAATTATTTTTGATGTACATGTATTTTCAATATACCAGGCTGTGACAAATATGTTTCTCTAATCGGTATTCCTGCTGGAACCACGTGTCACCTGTATGATTTCTGTACTGGAGTCAGATGCTGCTCAGATATCCCCCTGCTGGACAGGTCTATCAACACCTGGCTAATAGTGGACCACTGTAACCACAGACTCAGTGTGGGATTTGAAAAATTCTCTGTTAATGTCAGTCTAGAGGATTACGAGATGGGGAGTAAAAAGGACATAATCATCAATGGTGTTGTGAGAATTCAGTAAGCAAGTTTGTGAATGATTTGAAAATAATTCATCTTGATTAGTTAATTCTCTTTACTTCAGTTAACCCATTGTGTATCAAAAATGCTGAAACAAATTAAAAGTTTGTCCATCATCAATCTGTCTTTGAACTTTTTGCCTTTTTCATTTTTTCTCCAGATCCAAAGGGATTAACTTTGTAAATTGTATCATCTGGTAAAGAAAAAGTGGGCTATGCTACCTTAAAAGTTCTTTTCAAGGAGAGATAGTCAAGAAAATGAAATAAAATGGGGTCATTAAAGAATTTCTAGAACTACTGGACCAGAAGTGATGAAACTAAAATAAAAGCTTTCTGACAAAGTGTTGATTTAAGTTTTTCCAAATCATTACCCCTAGGGGTAGGGCAGGGCTTGACATTTTACAAGGGAATAAATGGGAGGGTGGTCTTGAAATGTTTCTTCTAAAGACCAGCAGAGCCATGATGTAAAGTACCATATTATTGCAAGATTTACGAACAGTAGATTTAAGTTTGTTCAAATCAGTGCCCAGTGGAGAAGTTTAGAAGTTTTACAAGGGCCATATTATAGGTTTTCAGAATTTTAAATCGGGATGTAATAAATGACTAGTAATTTTCTTAAGAACCACTTGGTCATGCTTTAAGTCATATTCTTCAATATACAAGCTTTTATATACACTCAGTGTGAATTCTGTAATGGTTTGGGCTGTGGATATTGGCCTATGTACATGTTGCCCAGTCAGTAGAGCACCTGACTTGTGATGCAAGGGTCTCGGGTTTAATTCTCATCCAGCCATACATCTTTCTTTTTCTTGTTACAGTTTTAATCATGATCCCATGAAATATAGGATGAGAAGGTGAAAAGGAAAAAAAATAATTAAGAGTAACAGGGCCACAATAAATCATATTGAGAGACATTTCAAAGAAATATTCCTGTGAAAAAGCTAACATGCTATATTAAATGAACAATATATTAGCTGGTGAATTTTGAAGTTGCTAGCATTTTCAGCATTTTGATAATTTTAGTTGTCTTCTAGAGAAGCAATTTTACATGCCAGGAGGGACAGACATTGGCTTAATTTTAAAGTTTTTGAATGCTTCTTTTGGTTTAGTTGTGTAATATTTATTGTTGTAGGTACATCATAGAGGATCTTCAAGGTGAAGGAAGATATTTGATTACTTTGAATTTAAAAATTTGTTTTGACTCATCAAAGGCATGCTTAATAGATATTCCTGTCTTCTTGAACACAAAACTGCCCAAAAACCCTTGCAAGTGGACTGCAGATTTCATTGACAAAAGTAAGACATAATATATACCCATAGTCATGCAGTTCATATTTGTCCATTAAATTTAACAAATGCCATTCACAGTCACTGGATTTATGAACGTATTCTCTTTAGTGAAAAGAATCTAAATAATGGCAAACTATTTTTCACAGCTTTTTCACTGGAATCATGGAAAAACGAAAGAGGGGTTTTTACCACAGGACTATCACCTAATTTACTCACTGAATTGATGCAAGACTTGGGTCTATCCCATTTTGTCAGCCATCAGCGCTGCAGGAAGAGTGAAATCCCATATAAAAACAGTATTGAGAATTGGAAAAATGGTAAACTTGATTTTCTTTTTGAACTCATCTGGTTATACGAGATATATCATTCATGTATGAATTCTAAACTTAACATGATGCATGCTTTTGTGAAATATTTATATTTAATTATAGCAAATAACTGCTTCCTTATACATGTATTTGTCAGATTGCAATGGGACATTGCGAGTCTCTCTCCCATCTCTAAGTGGTGATGATGTCACATGTTACATCCCAAGTTCCTGTGCAGCTTTGCAGTGTTGTATCAATGTCCCTATAATCAGCACCACATTTAATACTAGACTGGAGGTGGACCCCTGTAACTTTTTGATGTCGGTGGAGATTGAACAACTTAAGTTCACAAAAAGATTGTTTGATTATGAGTGGGGAAAAGAGGAACAAGTATGGCTTTTTGGAGTGGTCAGAATGATGTGAGTTATTTTCATCTCCACAAGGTTGGAATATAAATGATGAGGATCTTATTTTTAGGACAATATAATTTTTTACCAATGCTTAATGGTAACGTGCATTTTGTGAAACACAAGAACTAGATGTTTTCCTGTGGCTGTAAGGCCAAAAGCAACAAGATGGTATATCAGCTGGCATTTATTATCATGCATTCTGCTCAAGAACCTAGTCAAGAAATGTTTTGTTTTGCCTTTTACTGTTTGATGTATGACTCATTTTGTGTTTTCTTTCATGTTTGCAGACCTGTAATGAGTACTATGGAAATTCATAACCCCCCCCCCCCCCCCCAGAACTTCAAATTACAGATAAGGGATTTTTCTCTGAAAAATACACTTCAGTTTAAGCTCCAAAAATGTTTTTTTTTGTCTTTTCAGATTCAGTGTATTTGATCTGTATGATGAAGGTTATTTCCTTGTAAACATGAAACTCCAAGTGTGTTTGGAAGCAACAAAGCTACCAATCTGTGAGCAGTCATATCAGGTCTTGAATAACTTCTTCTTGCCAAAGAAAACCTGTGTATGGAATTCTTCCTTCAAACAAACAGGTAATATTCAAACAAATAGCCTGGATAGCTCAGTGGTGAGCGCACCTGACTAGTAATGCTGGAAACATTGGTTTGATTTCTGGTCTAGCCATATGTTTTTCATTATACAGGTAACTCTTGATGGCTCGAACTTCGATCTCTCGAAGTTCTTGATCGCTCGAAGTGAGTCTCCGGTCCCAATTTTTTTCCCTATATAACTAAGCAAATTAACTCTTGATTTCTCGAAACCCTTGATCCCTCGAAGTCAAAATGCAGTCCCGCTATGCATATTCTATTGAAATTTACCCTTGAAACCTCGAAGTGGCTATGTGTATACAATGTTACATAATTAGCGACTTTACCTGGACATTTAAATGACCCCAGGCAGAAGACGCGGGTCTCGAGAAACGGGATGTTTATTCAGGTGACACTTATACTGCTAGGTGATAATTGATTTATAATTAATCATATGTTGCCTTTGTGCTATTAAAATAATTATCATCAACTGTCTTACGATAATTCGGAGAAGCGGTGTCAATGAAAAATAGTAAATTGAATACAAGTCAAAACACTAAATAGTTTGATTTTTATTTCGAGTCAGTGTCAAAGTTTAACGAAATATGATAATGCAGAAACAGCCTCAATGTCAATACTACGACCATTGTTGCACAAATACTCACAGAACTTCGTTCTGGTTCAACGTTTAATGATCATGTTTGAAGTAGTCATTGGTATGTACGACGCGGTAAAATGTCGTTTTCATTTAACGAATGCGTAGTTTGACGTCCGTATAAAAAAGAATAAATAAATAAACATGAAGTGACGAAGTACATTTTTTATTTACTCAATTTAATAAATATTTATCTACAATACGAAAACATACCGTTGTTTTATATAAACACCACGTGTAAAAGATTAAAAGATGAAAGTTATTACATCCGGTAAGACTAATTTCAAAACCGGTCAACAAACCCGGAAAATTCCGGACTCTTGAAATCTCGAACTCTTGATCTCTCGAAGTTTTCTATCGGTCCCGCGGACTTCGAGGTATCGAGAGTTACCTGTATATTATGTGCCGTAAACCAACTTTATTCTTATTTCATTTTAGGGTTTAACCTTTCATCTTGGCTTGTAGAAGAGGAAGCAGCAAACACTGTTCCTCTGCAGAATGCAGCTGTAGATAATCTCTTGGCCAATCTTAAAGTTGGAGGGTTCATGCATTACCCATCATGCCTGCCTACAGACACAGAATATTCAAACTCATTGACAAAGTGGCAAACTTGTAAGCTTGAAATTCTTCAGAGCTGGTAACCCTTATGGTTTTGGTGTTTGGGCATCTAAAATATGCCTTTATACAATCTTTCTTTTTTTCCCCCTGATTTTTGTTTTCTTTATCATTTAGGAGTTTGAAGAATTATAATTTTCATGGCTCTCCACCTAAAGGTTTAACTTAAATATAAAAAAAAAAACATAGTCTTTACAGTATTTGTTTATATTGACATTTTCCATCCTGTGCCTATGTGCATGGTAAATCATTTTTAACAAAGTGGAAAAAAATGAAGTAGCAGGAGGTCTAGGCAGCCAGTGGATCCCCTCCTCAAGATTTTTATTTTATGATGTCAGTAGCTCTTATTTCAGAAGCATTATCATGTAAACTAATCCCAAATATGTCATTTCAGACTGTCCTGTGTCAGTTCAAACTTCACTGTCTTCAATAGAAGATAAGGCCATGTGCACTGTTTCCTCATCTTGTTCCAAAATTAAGTGCTGTGTCAATGTCCCACTCCTTAACAGGACATTTGAGGTAGGAATGGAACTGGACTACTCGTATTACTCACTGAAAGTGAATGTGGAGAAGATGACCAGGAGACAGTCTCTGATTGGATACACATTTGGAAGAGAAGAAACACTGAGTATAAATGGAGTCTTCAAATTAAAGTAAGATTATACCATCCAAAAATGAAGTGTTCAAATAAAGTAAGATTATCGTCAAAAAATTCCTCCAGAAAGGATAGATATCTTAATCAAAGTACAAAATCCAGAACTACATGTATATGTAGTTATATGCTGCAGTGCATATGTATGTGAAACACCGTATATGATGATCATTTTTGTTAGTTAAATAAGACTTTTAATCATGTTATCACATAAATTTCTTCAAATTTTAGGTACAAAATATTTGATTTAGTGGATGGAAATTTTATGGATGTTAGTTTAACAGCTGAAGCTTGTTTGGAGGATAATGTCACCTGCACTGTTCATGTACCTATTTTAACCAGTGTGTTAATTCCAAAATCAAATCACCGGAATGCACTTTATTCAATTAAAGGTTAAGTCTTTTACTTTTAATTTGTAATTTTATCTCTTGTAATAGTATTCTTAGAGTTCTAGAAAAATTGTAAGTTTGAAATTTTAAGAATTTGCCAGATATAAGTATAGTATTTTGTTTACTTGTTCTATAGATTTCTCACTGACCCAATGGTTATTGGAAAAGATGGCATCAAAAAATTCTTTAGCGTTACATCATATTAGTGAGCTGACAGAAATGTTACAGATTCATCCATTCTTGAGTTTTTCCTCTGTTTGCAGTATCTTAAAAAATAGATCTTCAAATCAGCATGGATGGAATTCAGGTAAAATTTATTTTTGATGTAACTGTATGTTTATGTACTATTTCATTAATAAAATATGGGAATTTCAGCCATTTTTGGAGAGGGATATATCATTTTTCCCTCACCTTGCCATTGACAAAATAATGAAAAGCATGCTGCTAAGCAAATTAAGAAATTCAATTAAATTTGAAGTTCATTTGGAATTGTCTCATCAAAGCTTTTATTTACAGACTGCTTGGATATTAATAGTTATGAATCTCTGAATTCCTATCCTCTGACCTGCAACCTTGACAACACCTGTAACAAGGCTACATGTTGCATTGATTCACCTGTTTTGAACTCTACCATTGAGGTTATGATTAATATAGATCCATGTAACAGAGTCTTGTATCTTGGGATTGAGAATTTGAAGGGTCAGATCCCTTTTCAGGATATAAATTGGGGTAAGTTGGGAATGCTATTAATCAATTATCTTGCAGGCTCTTAATTTTTAGGTCAACAAAAATTCTGTGAAGTCTCATTAAATTTCATTCAGTTGTTATGTTTGATTTTATACTTTCATGGATCCTTTACAGTGTTGTATTACCGTATAAGTGGAAATTTTAGTGAGATGCAAATTTAGCGATTCCTACCTAAAATCTGGTATTTTATTCTTAGTGAGAAGTAATTTTAGCGATTTTAAAATGTTAACTAAAGAAGCTATTACAAACAATACACAATTAATTTTTAGCGTTATTCAATTTTAGCAATGTCAGTACCCTCGCTAATAATGCCAAAATTAAATCCTCGCTAAAAAATCAACTTATACGGTATGCTCAGGTGACCATTAAAGCCCTTGGGCCTCTTGTTTTGTAAAAATTATTACAAATTTCAAATATGTTACATTTTAGGGCAAGAAACCCAATTTTATCTGCTTGGAGTTGTGAGATTAGAGTAAGAGCTTTTGATTTACAACAGGGATATAAGATTTTGCTTATTTGATATAGTTTATTTTATTGAATTTTCTGAGTTGAGTCATGTTCACATCACTACTGTTATGTTGATTTCTTTTGTAGCTTCACCTTGTATGATTTTTACACTCAGAAACATTTCCTGATTGACATGACAGTATCTGTTTGTTGGGAGACATATGGAAATTGTGAATTTCTAGCCACAGTCTTCCAAAATGCATTGCTCCCTAAGAGGAAATGTACAGATCGAATGAATTTTGAAGATCCAAGTAAGCCTTTTTTCCCCATTAAAAATATCTCATTTTGATATTTATATCACAGGATGTATTTATTTTGTAAAGGAATTTTATTATTGCCTTAGAAAAATATAGCTAGGGTTCAGTTTGCAATGCAACATTTTGTTGTTTGTTTTTAGCTCTACTGGTCAGAGACCAGAAGAGCTTATGCGATAGTACAGTGTCCGTCGTCTGTCCATCTGTCTGTCTAGCTGTCCGTCTGTCTATAAACAAGTTTTATTTTAAAGTTTATTCATTAAATATTATAAATTTTAAAGAAATATGTTCTTTTTTAAATAAAAACCTCTATATTAGCATTTCTGAAAAAAGGAATAACTTGATTTTCTTTTTCAACTTGGAAAAATGAAAATTGAGTTATATCCCTTTTCAACATGTCAATAAAATTGATCAATGCGGCCATTTTTGAACTGATGCGGCAGGGCCTGAGAAACTATTGATTAACTTTATTTGGCCTAACTTGGCATACAAGTAGACTACACTAAGATACATAAAATAGTGCATCTGTTTTTGATTTCAATGAATGGTGTTGCCATTGTTATTAAAAATAGAAATGTCTGTGAAATTCCTCTAAAACGCTACTCCTACAGTTTAAGTCTAATGGCATAGGCTTCTTTTCTCATAATTTGTTATAATTACAAACTAGTAGAGCTACAGTCTCGACAGAGACTTCTAGTTGTTTTTAGCTCTACTGGTCAGAGACCAGAAGAGCTTATGCGATAGTAATGCGTCCGTCATCCGTCCGTCCGTCTGTTTAGCTGTCTGTCCGTCTGTCTGTCTGTAAACAATTTTTCAAAATGCAACTCCTCCTACAGTTTTGGTCCAATTTCAATATAACCAGGCAAACAAGTAGACTACACTAAGATACATAATACTGTGCATCGGTTTTTGATTTGGATGAATGGTGTTGCCATGGTTACTAAAAATAGAAATTTCTGTAAAATTCTTTCAAAATGCTACTCTTCCTACAATTTTAATTCGATTTCAATATAACTTGGCACACAAGTAGACTACACAAAGATACATAATTCTGTGCATGGGTTTTTGGTTTCGATGAAAGGTGTTGCCATGGTTACTAAAAATAGAAATTTCTGTGAAATTCTTTCAAAATGCTACTCCTCCTACAGTTTTGGTCCGATTTCAATATAACTTGGCACACAAGTAGACGTTACTAAGATACATAATTCTGTGCATTGGTTTTTGATTTCGATGAACAGTGTTGCCATGGTTACTAAAAATAGAAATTACTGTGAAATTCTTTCAAAATGCTACTCCTCCTGCAATATTGGTTTGATTTCAATATAACTTGGCACACAAGTAGACTTTACTAAGATACATAATTCTGTGCATCTGTTTTTTTTTTTGATGAGTGGCAAGAATCATTTTTCTATTTATTGCTGTTTTAAAGTTTCAAGTCCCAACTGCTACTTTTCTCTTCCTTTGTTTTAAGTATAAACCAGTAGAGCAACAGTCTCGACAGAGACTTCTGTTTCACTTTGTTTTATTATGTTTTTTTTTTTTTTTTAGGTTTTTCCCTGACAAATTACGGGACTGCACATGGTTTTGATATGAACAACCTGACAAAGAATAATTTGGCTCATCTGTACAATGATCTGAAGATTTCTAGCTTTCTGCTTAAGCCATCTTGCAACAAATCCTCAAACACCTTTCTTCCAGCCACAAATGGTTGGAAAAATGGTAAGTTGGAAGTTGATCTGTATGATGAAAATCAGATTCTAATTTGGAAATACATGTATTAATAATTATATCTCTTCTTAGGGTATGGAATAAAATTTTGACTAGATTTAATACACTTATAACAATATTTTTGTTTGATTGATAAAAACACATCAATATAATTGATGTTCTTCAGGACAGTGTTTGTGGCAGTCAGTGGACATACATGACAATAAACAGAGTTTTTAGAACCATAGTTATGATGTATAAAAGTTTTTTTTATTAATGCAGAATGCTCTACTGATGTTGCCTCCACCTTCCCATCACTGCCAGATTATGTTCAGTGTGTCCTGGCCTCCAGCTGTACCAGCATAAGTTGTTGCATGCATATTACCAAGTTGATGGATTCTGCAGTCAACTTCTATTTCTTCTTGGACGGTTGTGATTGGATGATTGAGTATGGCATTGACAAGTTAATTTTTAGACCCACTGTTTTGTATGAGTTTGACTTTGATGTCTGGCATGAATTCTGGATGAAAGGACTGTATCGCCTCAAGTGAGTGGCTTAAATTGTATCTTACAGGAACATTTAATATTAGTTTGAAATTCAGGAACATGTTTTTCATGAAGGTCAGATGATATGTTCCCAAGTATTTATTTTGTAAATCTCCATGATATAATAAATATACAAAATCTTTTTTACTTTCTGTTCTCTAAATCGGTTTTTAATTGTTTTTTAAAAATTTGAAACACTAAAAATGTAATTTTGGCAAACTAAGTATTTTTTCCTAAAGGATTATATAAGAAATGCCAACCTCTGGTATCTCACATAAACGCCTGGTAAGGTACTTTGATTTTTTGTGAGTAATCATGTTAAAGTAGTAATTCTTCAATGACAAAATCTTGAAAAAAATTATATATTATTGAGGAACGTCTCGTCTGTCCTTAAATGAAAATTAAAGACAAAAGAATCCTACATGCTATAAATTTTAAAATAAATGTTATGTACTTAAAAGGTTCTTTGTCACTGATCTACAAGGACTAAACCAATTCCGAGTCAGTTTACACATCATGGCCTGTTTTGAGAGTAGAAAAATTTGTGATCAGGAGATTATTTTGCTCAACAACACTCTACTTCCAAAACCAAAGACTTGTGATATGCGACTTGGATCACCTTTGAAAGGCAAGTAATGAATCTTGTGATAAAATGTATTTTTATGTCAACTTAGGGGTCTTTTGACTGTCTAATGCTACACGTTTTACAAAGGAACATTTACTACCTTGTGTAATCTGACTCTTACTTTAGACCAGCTTGGAGTTTGAGTTCAGCCATCTGCACAGTTATAGTTGAATGCTTTATCAACTGAGCTTCTTTGGCCATCTTTAGACATGCATAATTGTTACTGTACTATCTTTGAGTTTCCTTTGATGGTGAAAAAAAAAATTATGATTTATGATGATTATTGTATCAATTTATTTACTGTCAGTTGTAATACTAGTACTTACTGTGCAGTATTCATTTATGAAATGTATTGTTAAAAATAGATTTGCTTTTTTCTTCATCATTCTCTTAGACTTCACATTTGATCAGTGGAAGCAGCGGAATAATTATACAGCAATGAATGAGGCTAGTACAGCCAGACTTATTGAGGACCTGGGAATTTATGGATACCTCTTCAACAGCTCCCAAACCTGTAACATTTCAAATGGCAAATTTTCATCTGCAATATCTGGATGGAACAGTGGTAAAAACCTCAAGACAGAAACTGTAAAATTATTATATTTTAGTTTGCACAGCTTACAATATTGTTAATAAACAAAAGTAGCCAACATTTAAGGAATGAATTTAATAGCTACCCATTTTATACGGTATATACTGGATTAGGGCAGTTTACGCTTTATAAACTGCGAGGTGCTTTATAAAAAAGCCTAAACTGTTCGAACCCAGTTTATACCGTATAAAATGGGTAGCTATTAAATTCATTGCTTATAATTTAATTTTCATTCATTTGATGTAAGAAAAAAAGATGATTGTTTTAACAAAATGACTTTAGTTTGTACAAAATTTGAATGTAACATCAGGCGGATTGATACATTTTTGACGCAAGTCATTGTGACCTAGGCAACCCATTTTATACAATATAAAGTAATTTTTTTATCCAATCAAATACAGCTTTACAACCAGAATTAAATTATGTAGCTATAGAATGCTAATATTCTCGGTATTATTTTATAATTATTACAGAAGTATTCATCAGTTTTGTTTTTAAATGTGCATTATAAGAATGCCTCCTACAAATGAAGTCATGAGGTTATATATGAATTGCTATGTGCATTGTCTGTCTCTCTCTTTGTTTAACGGTTATCATGACAGGACTATAACTTTTTAATAATGGAGTTTGCACATGACACAATGATTGTTTATGACCTGAGGATGTGTCAGGACTTTAAACCATAGTCCTGTGGCTTGGTTCAAGGTCGATAGTAGTGTAAAGTTTATTTCCAATCCATAACTTTCAAGTTAGATTTTTATGCTGCACACAAAAATTATGAAGGTATGTCAAGACCTTGACCTCATCATTTGTACAAATTCAACGTCATTGGTAGTATTTTTCTCTGTCATGGTCATATCTTGTTGAGATACTACAGTGTATTTCATAGAAACAAACAAAAATTCACCTGAAGTTGTGTGTGATTTGTCCAAGCAAAAGTGTGAATTTTGTGCCTTGTCCATAATTTTATAAGGAGGTCAACTTCTATGCTTCTATGCTTATACTTTAATCAAAGATTGCTCATGGCCTGAGAGTTAGGTGCGAACTTTATCCAAGGTCATTTGGGCAACTTTTAGGTCACCGATGGAGAAACTGCATGTTGAATTATTGTCTGCTCTGTAACTTTAACATCGAAACATTGTAAACCCATGCTTGACACAAAGATTGCTTATCACCTTTTTTTTTTGTTAGGTCACCTGAGTAAACTCAGGTGACCTATTGCTATCTGTTTTCGTCCATCGTCGTGCGACATCCGTCGTCCATCGTGTGTTAACATTTGAACATTTTCAGCTTCTTCTCTGCAACCACTGAACCAATTTCAACCAAATTTGGCATAAAGCATTTATGGGTGAAGGGGAACAAAAATTGTGAATTTCAGAATCCCTGCCTCCCCGGGGCCTGAGGGATGGGGCCAAAACCACTAAAATTAATGCAATCTTTAAAAATCTTCTTCTTTACTCCTGGACATCAAGCAGTCAAACTGTTTGCATGATTGTAATCAGCATTTAGTCCTTTACCAAAATTGTGAAATTCATGGCCCAGGGGTTCTAGTGCTAGGGTGGGGCTAAAACTAGTATATAGTGAAAATGCATTATTTTTTTTAAAATCTTCTTCTATGCTCCTGGGTATTAAATAAACTTACTAAGTACATAGTTATGATGAGCAAGAGTGCCTTTACCAAAATTATGAATTTTATGGCCCCAGGGACAGGGGTTCTGGTGTTAGGGCGGGGCTCTATTGATTACATGTATATACCTGGTAGTGAAAATACATGAATACTTTGAAAATCTTCTTCTCTGCTCCTGGGTATGAAATAAACTAATTAAGTGGATAGTTGTGATGAGCAGGAGTGTCACTACCAAAATTATAAATTTCAGGGCCCCAGGGTCAGGGGTTCTGGTGTTAGGGTGGGGCTCTATTGATTATATAGTGAAAATACATGAATTCTTTGAAAAAAATCTTCTTCTCTGCTTCTAGGTATGAAATAAACTAACTAAGTACATACTAATGATGAGCAATGCATCTTTCAAATTTGTGAATGAATTTTATGGTCCTAGGGTCAGGGGTTCTGGTGTTAGGACGGGGCTCTATTGATTATATAGTGAAAATACATGAATTCTTTGAAAATATTCTCTGCTCCTTGGTATTAAATAAACTAACTTCATACATAGTTATGATGAGCAAGAGTACCTCTATCAAAATTGTCAATTTTATGGCCCCAGGGTCAGGGGTTCTGGTGTTAGGGCGGGGCTCTATTGATGATATAGTGAAAATACACAAATTCTTTGAAAATCTTCTTCTCTGCTCATAGGTATTAAGCAGTTGAACTACCTATATACTAAGTTATGATGAGCAAGGGCCCTTCTTCCGGTATTGTGAATTTCAAGGCCCTAGGGTCAGGGGTACCATAGAAGGGGGGGTGCTGTACTTATATACTGAAAATGAATGAATGGTTTGAAATCCGCTCCTTGGTATTAATCAAATATCTCGGAAAAGCATGGGTGCCTTTTTAAAAGTTGTGCAATGTATGGACCTAGGGTCAGGGGTTCATGTGTGGTAGGGGCACTACTGAGATTATTGCTGAATATTACTGGATAGTTGAAATTCATTTTTGTTCCCCTACCCTGCCTATGGGTATTCAGTAACCACACTAAGCATTTGCTAAGTGTATAATTGTGATGAATGGTGCCTCTTTTTTTTTTTTTTTTTTTTTGAAAGGGGGGGGGCTGACATGATCTTGACCATTTTGATCTTTTGAACAGACTGAAAAATGATATGTCTTTCAGTCTTGCATTTTGAAGTACATTCTAAAGAAAATGTGAAACTATGTGGTTTACCATACATGTTTAATTTCAGATTGTCCAGTGATGCTTTCTTCATCTCCCCCTAAGCTTAGTGGAAGTATTTCATGTTACATGGCCTCTTCCTGCTCAAGTGTTGAATGTTGTGTGTTTGCAGAGGAAATCTCAAAAAATCTTCTTATCTCAATAAATCTAGAATTCTGTGAGGATAAAATCATAATTGCCATTGACAGATTCACTCTGGAGATGAAAATCAGAACCTATGGCTCTTGGGGTAAAAGACAGCATTTAAATACCATAAAGTCACATGAAAAGCATAGTATTACACTCATGTGATATTTACTAATATTATACTTTCATGTAAATTAGTTGAAACTGATTGGTCGAGAAACATTTGTTAAAAAACACTATTATCCGCTGAATAATGAAGCCACACCCTCCAGCATAGCAACAGTCAACAGTCACTTACGACAGGTGATATTCCAAAAATAGTGACTGCACAGAATTTATGCGTGTACAGTTCACTGTTATATATACATGTATTTGTATAAAACATTCAGTATAATAATAATAAATATTGCATGTAGTTGAGTGTAACATTGAAAAATTTTACCCTTCCAAAACCATTGTCAACCGAGGCGCAATGGTTTTTTTGGGGTTGAAAATTTTCAATGTTACACTCAACTACATGCAATATTTATATATTGAATGTACAGTGATATATATCATACTGGGTATGTGAAAAATTTTAAATTATGGTGGAATATGAAAAAAAAATACAACCTGAAATCAGAAATTGCACCTTGGAGCTATGAAAAGTGTCCAGAAAAAAAGTGGGTTTGATTTAGTTCCCATATATGCAATATATATGTACAAGTCCCTTACTTTTGAACAATTTTCTGACCAAAAAAATCATGATGCTCGTGACTTTATGGTACTTATAATTGTAATCTCTATTTTTCCTTTCTTTGACATTCTTTTGTTAATATGCATTTGACATGCAAAAATTATTTAATAGAACTATTTTCATTGTATATTCATATGCTCTGACTTGCTCTTCCAGGAAAAGAAGAAGTTTTGAATATAAGCAGTATTTATACCATCAAGTATGTGTTCACCAAGATAGAAAATTCAAATGATTTCAAAATTACATATATTAAAATTAAATAAAAAAACTTTTCTATTTCCTCACTCTTTACTCTTTGTGATGCTAGGTTTTCTTTGGAGGATCTGACAAACTCCAATGTGTATCTGGTCAGCTTTTCCATCTTGGATTGTTGGAAAGGAGTCCATGCCTGTGATAAATATATAATTTTGTCCAATACCAGACTGCCAAAATCTTTGTCCAAACCATACTGCAACTGGAAGAGAGACTTTATTGATTCTGGTAAAAGGTTTTTTTTTTCTTATTTGGAATCTATAATATATCCTGTTTATCAACAGAATTGCTTAATAAGTAAACTACTTTACCACTTTTGTATGTAAGTTTTTTTTGGAACTTTGATCCTGTCCATCTGCCTTGAACTACATCAGATAAGAAGTCCTTTTAGTTCAGGTTCTATATATCAGGGTCAAAGATCAAGCACTATTTGGTTATGATTTAGAGCTTTGCATTTTTCTATACACATCTTTTCTTTTGGATAGACTTCTCCCTGACCCCCTGGTTATCTTCCAAGGGATACACGGACACTACTCCTCTGACTGGTGTACCGTTACAGGACCTGATGGAACATCTTCATTTAAGCCAGTTCAAGGGAAATAACTGTGATGTAGCACAGAGTCCATATTCACCTACTGACAGCAAAAGATGGAACATTGGTAGGCAGATACTTTGAGGATGCTTCCTTGATTAAAACCTAGGCTATTCCAGCATTTTAAATTAAATGTTCAAAGCAAGATACTTTTGACTTGCTGCTACATATATCCTAGGTTAACATAGAACATAGGGGCATTAACTGATGTTCTTACTTTAAGGAGTATGGAAAGTCCTCTAGCACATTATTTTTATATCATTACCCAGTAAAATGAGGAATATGTAAGATTACACGAGCCTTTTCATCCTTCATTAGTTTCCATGCAATTAAACAATGTTCATATGTGCACCGTAGAATGACTCTCTTATGAAGAAGTTGGGATTGCTTTTATTATAATGGGGTTAAAAGGCATCACTTTTGTTCTTAAGCTTTCAAAAACTACAGCAAAGTTTTTGGTTGGATTGATGCACTATTGGCTGGTTTAACAAATAGCTTGAATGGTTTGCTTTTGGGGACAGGGGGGTCAAATAGTATAGCATCATATAAATAAAGGAATAAGGCGTTGCAATAAATTTAGGAATGTTTGGGATGGGATGTAAATTTTTTTAACCTTGCGTTTAGGGTTAAAGGGTATGGATTGTGCAATTGAAATGGAATTTCATTTCTCTGCAACAACTACAAAAGTTTTGGATGAGATTTTGATGGAGGCACCACACAAGCATGAATTTTACTGAAAGAGAGCTCAGCTTGATCGACTTTTGGTCTACAGGCTTCCATTTTCTAAGAAGAGATATTTTATTGCTGTGTTATTTTAGTACCACATCATTTTAGTTAAATGAAATGTTAAACTCTATATCCCCCCCTCTCCCAAATAGAAATTTTGCATGTGGTTGGGCATTTGCTTCCTATGGAAACATATACAACTATAGTTTTACTCTGTCTTTTGATGACTTTGTTTCAATATATTGTATATATTTATGTGTATTTATTTACAGGCTGCCCTGGTATCTCTGACTTAGTATCTTTACCAAGTGCAATCACCTGTCACTTGCCTAGCTCCTGTACAGGACTGGACTGTTGTGTGTCCAGCACTAAGTTGGGACAGAGCTTCAGGACTTACTTAGACATTGATCCCTGTACATCCAGGATCACTGTGGGTATTGACAACTGGAAATTTACAGAACTGTCAAAGGAATCCATCAACATGCTTGACACTGGTAAGTGTTCAATAGAGAAAAATTTCGAGAGTGTAGTAATTGACATCTATATGGGAAATATATATTAAGGTGGAATTAAATTAATGTGCTTTCATTATACAGAGTTTGTCAGACCTGTTTGGCTTTTTGGAGTTGTGAGAATGGAGTAAGTTTTGTTTTTCTCCTTGAAATATAATTTGAAATTTTGCAACTAAATGGTAAAAATCATAATTCTTTTAATGAAAACATTTTAATTCTTTTAGCCTTCATTTGAAGAATTTGTGGTATGCAAACAAATACTTGATCAATCTGAATATTAGCATCTGCCTCAGCAGTAACAGCACCTGTGAAATAGCAAATCAGACAATTTTTTCAAATACCCTTCTTCCAAAGAAAATATGTGTTTGGAAACAGCCACTTCCTCAAGGTAAATGAGAGTTTGTGAGACATATTGGAGTAATAATTAATAAAAGTGGCTTCATGCTGTAGGAAGTATGTAGCACATTAATATGCAAACGTCAGATAGTGTAAAGTTAAATTGTTCAACTGTAGCCATATTGTAGGCTTGGACCAAAACAAGGATAAGAGTTTTACATTTGAATATATACTAAAGATAATTAAACTTAAACATGTTGTTTTCACAAGATGAATTTATTAAAATCAGGAATTTGACAAGCAAGACAAATTTTCATGAATTCCAGATATTGTTTTAACTTTGATAACAAAAATATTTTAGTGAATGAAATTTTTGCAAGCAGACTGGACATCTCTTGTAATTACAAAATAATATATTTCTTTCAAGTAAAATGTAGTTTACATGAAAGGAAATAAAGAAATTCTTTTCAAGAGAATCATAGTTTTCAAATTATTGAGACTGCAAGTAGGATGGAACTAAAATTATGAAATCAAATTTTAAATGGTGCATACATCTTCTCCAAAACAGCATGATTGCTAATCATATTGATATCGAAGTACATGTATTCCCTTTGTTGTGAAAGGATCAATGAATTTCCTGTCTATAATAACTGTCAATCATGCTTGTTTCTGCATTCTGGGTATGCTTCTTATTAAAGTTATAAATGCAATGAAATATATTGTATATATGCTAGGATGGTTTTACTCTTCCCTTTAAAAATGTGGAAAATTTTCATTATATAAAACAGAAATACATATATCATAATTAAGGTGATCAAGAAGTGACCATTTTAACCTATGTCCACCTCATATATATTTCAGGATTTTCACTTTCAAATTGGAAATTTAACAATTCAAATGAAAACAGTGGAACTTTGCCAGATTTTGAGATGGCAAAGATTGATGATTACTTACAGCTAGCAAACTACAGAAAACAGCCAAGGTGTAACAGGGGACTTGTTCCCTACTGGCCTACCTATCATGGATGGAGTGGAGGTATATATACCACACATAAGTGTAATGTGACAATCTAACACAAGTATTATTTTTATGCATATTTGGTTTAGATTAACAATGAACAAATGGATCTTTTACATACATTTCTACATAATGATGTGAATAAGTTTTGAAAGAGTTATACAAACACCCATTTGCAGACTGCAGATTATCAGGCCTCCCTTACAATCTGGAAAAGAAGACGTCGTGTCAGCTTCACTCTAGCTGTACCTCCATCACCTGCTGTACAGAGGACACAGAGCTACAGACCACAGTCTCCTGGTTCTTACACATTGACTCCTGTCATCTTAAACTGAGTGTCGGCATAGAGGAGTGGAAGGCTGACTTCTCTCTCATTGACTTCAACTTTGGTGATCTTTTCCTTCTGTACAATCATTGAAACAAAATGTTATTATACATAAAATCATATCCTTCAATAAATAAAAAAATATGACAGAACTGTTAGTATTTTATTGCATCTTGCAGGTGAAGAACAAGTATTCCAACTTGGTGGAGTTTACAAGTTAAGGTAATTCCAAGCTCCTTTCGAGTAATAGCTTTTTTCATATCAAATATGACTCTTTAATAATTTGATATTTGTGTTTGATATCTTTGCATTTGGTTAAATAATTTTAACTACTTAGCAGATGAAAGTAATGATTCATGATTCATTTATTTTCAGCTACACTCTGTATGACTTGACATTTGACTCGCATTACATGCTGAGTGTAAACATCAGTGTATGTTATGAACCAGATCATTGTGGACTGACAGAGAGTATACTTAAAGACATGTTGCTTCCAAAGCAGTTGTGTGCCTTTAATTCAACAGATTATGATAAACAAGGTGAGTAGTTACAATATGCATTACATCTGATGTTGTACAGGGATAATTTATTGTGAAAAACATTGTTTTAGTTGCATAATCCTTGTACCATAATATAATTAGCTCACCTGAGCCAAAGGTTCAAGTGAGCTTTTCTGATCACATTTCGTCTGGCGTCCGTCTGTCTACCTGTCCGTCAAGCTGTCCGTCTGTCTGTCTGTCTGTAAACTTTTCACATTTTCAACTTCTTCTCAAGAACCACTGGGCCAATTTCAACCAAACTTGCCACAAAGCATCCTTGGGTGAAGGGGATTCAAGTTTGTTCAAATGAAGGGCCACGCCCTCAGTCAAGGGGAGATAATTGGGAATTAATGAAAAGAATGAGGGCGCTTTTGATTGTCATTCGGCAGGAATCTGGGCGTAATTGAAAAGTGAAAATTTTATCGACATGTCACATGAAATTTTAACATTTTTCTATTTATCGGGTTCCTGTGCAACAGGAAAGGAAAATATTTTCCCGAAATTGAGCTTTGATTTGCTAAAAAATAACTTGAAAATTGGCCAAATCAAACATTTGGTACAAAATGGTACATTTTTAAAAACGTTTTTCTAAAATTTTTCTATCTCTGGGTCTTCTCTCCATGATTTTGAAACGTTATTTGTGTGTATTTTAATTCAAAGAAACGAATATACTTACAGTACAGCTCACGAGTTTTTGCCACCCCACGGTGGAAAATACACGGTGTAAAATACTCCGTGTAACACCGTGTACACGGTGTTCCACGGTGTGTGTATATTGCGATCATTCCAGAGACGCACCGTGTAACACCGTGGACATCACCATTTCCTTCGGGGACCCTCCGTGTTCCACCGTGTGAGAAAATTACGGAAGTAAATAGTTTGTTTATAAAAATCATTTCAGTTATAGAATTTTGAAATTATAAATAATGATTATTTGATAGCTAGAAAAAAAAAATGAAGATTGACTTAATACAAACAGCTCGTTAACAAACATGTGAGTTCATAATATAACAGCTTCGAGGTGTAAACTTTGGTTCGCCATTGACGGTATGATTGCCAAGTTTATTGAATAAATTTAAATTTTATTTCTGTTGAATTCATATTTCATATTTATTTGAAAACAAGAACAATTATATTTATCTATTGTGCAAATTATTATGTTTCCGATATAAGCGATAAATCCGCATGTACAAATCCAAGTACAAGACAGTACATTGCCGTTTAACTTATTCAGTGCGAAACATAGATAATTTTAGCGATTATTTTCTCTGTAAAATAATTATTATAAAAGGATATTCACAAATATTTAATGTATCAGATAGCTAATTCAACATTATCTGATTCCTACTTCGTAAATAAAAATAGTGAAATAAAAAAAAAGCGAGTCAGTATATATACAGATTATGAATATACCCTTATTTTGTAGAAATAATTATAGTATAAATAGATAGACCACATATCAATGAAGATACTATTAAGTTGCTACATGCGAGGAAGAAAAAATGCATGCAAGAAAAATAAACCCTAGTATTCACGATAATTTCTTATACGTAGTTTGGTATTTGACTAGTTGTACACATTCACCAAAAAAAAAATCTGGCAGTTGTATGTATCCATTGATTTAACCTGACATTTTGAGACATAGAAAAATTCAATTTCTTTCGAATATGTGGAAGTATTTCTACCTGAGTATCGGGTATTCTTTTCTTCTTTATAAATCGTCTGCGATTAGTACGAAAACTTTTTTTTAAAAAAGTAAAAAAAAAATTGCTTGAACTGCTAAAGCAGCATTCTAAATATTCCTCTACAAATCATATATAATTTACTTTTTTCATAATAATTAAACTTATTTTAATTCAGTTCTACATTTTAAAATGTTCAGAGAGAGAGAGAGAGAGAGAGAGAGAGAGAGAGAGAGAGAGAGAACTCCCTCTGACATAGTCTGTTATCATTTTTTTTTTAATTCTTCGTTTTATTTAGGTTACGGAAGTCAAAATTAATCCTTCTATAATTCTAATTAATTTCCACAACTTTGGTTCATATTAAACTCATTTAATGCAATGAATCATGTATATGCTGTACGCACGAGATTCTTGTGCATCAACTCATTCACCTGTCAATCAAAATCGCATGACGCTAGGTGACCTTCAAAGTCTGTTAACGCGGAAAGAATTTCTCTCGTGATTTGAAACATTCTCATGGTTCAGTTCCGAGTTCACACCTGTTTTAAAAATATATTGGGTCCCTGCCGGTGGGCCAGGGGCGCCGTATGTTTATCACACCTTTCACATTCTTTAGTTCTGATCACAGAAAGTGTATACATATGCATGTAACACACTCAACTGATATCAAACGAAATTCATCTTCCAGGTTTCACTACAACAATGAATATAAACTAACATGTACTATGTTAATTTTTTTAATCCTTTTTCAGACACAAATAAGCATGTATTAAGATTTTTAAAACCTTAAATGAATTTGCTGACTTCTGATAAAGTTTTAATTAGCCGATTCGTATCACTTTCTAGAAGGGGTAGGTGGGGGGATAAAACCATTTCTAAAATCGCTAAATATCAATGTTTTCGCCGCTAACTGTTTTTTTTTTCTTTTCATTTTTCATAAGATATACATTTCTGAATGAAGTAATAATTGTACGGAGGTTAGTAGATTTTATTTGCCAAAAATTCTGCTGGTGATTGTTTTATTCAGCATGTAAGTTGATCACTACTTAAATTAATAAAATTTATCGGATTGTCATCTCTGCCTGTTCAGTAGATTTTGCCGCATTTAATATTTATTTCCATATTTTACATTTATTATAGGTTTTCAGTGTTTATAACTGCAATAATCCTTATCTTAACCAATGATTTGCCGAGTAATAATCACTTCAAAGAAATTGATAGACTTTGATTTCGGTAAATGATAGGACATGGAAACTGCGCAAATTTAAGATATTAACCGTCTCTTTTGATGAAAAATTAATTATTTTTTTAAGCAATCATACCTTATTTACCTAACACTTTCTGAGTTATAGTTTAAATATGTCGATCATTGAGTGACAAAATGTATTTTCAAAACATGTATACAGTCATGTAAATTACGAATTAATGCTTTCTGAAGAAGGAAGTTTTAACCTTGTATAAATGAGTACATGTACGAAGCAGTAGTAACACACACAGTGTTGAAATTATATAAATTTTTGAAAGGGGGGTTGAAAGGTTTTTCAAACAGGGGATTGAAGGGAAAAAAGTTGTAATTATAATGTACGTTTTACATATACATGTAATTAAACAACTCGATGGGATATAGGATGAAGTATGGTTTTTAAACGTGGGAGGTTGATCAACCTCGGAAAAGTATTTGTATGGATTACCTGAAAGTTTTTGTAAAAGAAAGCAAAACATATCTCCGAACCCGAAAATCCTATTTTGTTAACGGGGTGGGGTTTCATTTTGTTTTCGCAACCAAATTTCATAATATATTACATTAGACTTTCAGTTAACATATCTATATTTCTATAGTAAAAACACAACAAAAAAATTGGGACTTCCTTCTTTCTGTTTCTTTTTTTGCAAATCCAAGGGTGGTGTGTGTGTGTTGGTGTACCCCCTCTGAATCCGCCACTGGTATCCGAGAGAGATAGAAAGAGAGAGAGAGAGAGAATTTATAAAATGGGGCTTTATGTTTCATACTGTCTTTTTAATAACCCCACAAGTAATTTTAAAATGAATTATTTTTCGTCTGTTTTTGTTACATAATTAGAGAATTTTTGTTATTATATACATTGTATATGAATATGTAACAGGTACATGTATATAGAAATCGCAGTGAATGTGTGACACAGGAATTTTAAAAGAACTGAGCCATGCAAATTTATAATATTAAAAAAATCAAGGAAGGATGTACATGTAATAGTGAAAATAGGGGGGGGGGGTCAACAATGATATGTGGGTTACGTCAGGACCAGGCACGTGTGTATACAGGTGTGTCATCTTGTGTTCAATCGCCTACGGGTGTAACTAATACAGGGTTCAGGCCTATGAGGTTATACGCTACCGACGTATTAAGACGATGTAATATTCTTTCGACATTATTATAGAATAAGAATAAATAGGAAATAGAAGTATAAAGTAAACACATTAGAATAATGTATTATCCATTACTATACTATCTAAATAAATTAAAACAATATACTTTCTTAGAACATGTCTTCCAAAAACGAGCATTTAACATTGGAATATTACTTTGATTTTATATATGTATGGACCTGCTTTGAGTGATTTGTTTGAAGAATTAAAGAATTATACAACATTTTAAGTAGAATTGGAAGAAATGCACCGTTTAACACCGTGCTGAAACACCGACTCGCACCGTGGATTAACTCCGTGTCGCACCGTGGACGAACATTGCCGCACTTTCTAGGCACCGTGTGCACACCGTGTCGCACCGTGGAGGAACATTATTGCAATTTTTAGGCACCGTGTCACACCGTGGATCGGAGACCGAACTTCAAAGACGCCGACGTTTCTAAAGTTCCACGGAAAAGCGTGGAACATAGGTCCACCGTGGCCGGTGGAATCCGGAAGAAACTCGTGAGCTGTACTGTATTTAAAAAATGGAGAGAAGACCCAGAGACCACGAAAAACGAACTTTTCCAAAATAAAATCCAAATGTGTGAATATGATGTTTCTTTGTCCTTTTAAAATCATCAGTGTGTGTGAAGCGGTGATAGCTCAGTCAGTTTGGCTATTTGTTCGGTGCACTGGAATCAAAAATTTTTTGGTTCGGGCCTGAGATGGGGCGTTATTTTTTTTTTTTATGCAAACAACTATTTTTTTGTCAGTTTTGTTTCATGCACTGATATACTAGTATTAAAATTTTGAATTAGATTAATTTTGGTTCAGTTTGGTTCTCGAGCGAAATCGATTCTAATCTTCTATTCTATATAATGTACATGTACACGTATCATGCATCTATATGCATTAAATATTTTAGGTGTTCATTTTTTTGTGAAACATTACTATGCTATAGTACCCCCTAGGAAAACGGACAAAAATGTTACAATCTCACACTTTCAAACTAATTGAAAAAAAGACAAACCTATGGGAGTGTTTTTAAACTCTGACAAACTATGTTCAGCCAACCAAATCATGGACATTTAAACCATAAATGTTTCGTACAAATGATTCCTGCAGATCACACGACAAATGCGCCCATCTTCTTTGGTGTTATGTTTTAAAAATCTTCTTCTCAAGAACCACTGTGCCAGGAAAGATGAAACTTATGGGGAAACATCCTCAGATAGTGTAGATTCAAGTTTGTTCAAATCATGACCCCCGGGGGTAGGGCAGGGCCAAACTGGCCAACCAAAGTTTTATATAGAAATATATAGGAAAATTCTTTAAAAATTTTTTTCTCAAGAATAGCAAGCCATAATTAATCATATTTATATGGAAGCATCCTCAGGTAGTGTAGATTCAAGTTTCTTCAAATCATGATCCCCGGGGGTAGGGCGGGGCCACAATGGCCAACCAAAGTTTTATATAGAAATATATAGGAAAACTCTTTAAAAATCTTCTCAAGAATAGCAAAACCTTAATTGCTCATATTTATATGGAAGCATCCTCAGATAGTGTAGATTCAAGTTTGTTCAAATTATGACCCGGGAGTAGGGCGGGGCCTAACTTTTGGATTTAAACTTTTCAATAGTAAACCAATTTCTACTTTTTCCAAGTCACAAGGCTCAGGTGAGCGATGTGGCCCATATGGGCCTCTTGTTGTGGATATATTATCTTTCTTGCAATCAACTGAGGATATAATAATGTTTTTGAAGTTCCAGTCAGTAAGTTCTTCAGTCAGCTGTTCATCGGCACGACATGTTTTACTTATGCAACTCCACTGAAACCTCTCAACATAATTTCATAAAACTTTGTTGTTAAACAACTGTGTAGATTTACAGGGAATTCTAATTTGATTTGTTTTTTCAGCAAGTTTTGGCCAAAATTACGTAATTATGCTACGGAAACAGTTTGTCAGTTAAACTCCTCTGAAACTGCTCAGCAGAAATTCATGTAACATTTTAGTTAATGTGGATACTGTGTACATGTGCATATTCACAGGAAATTCTGATTGAATGACATTCAATAATTTTCACAAATATCTGTATAAATGAAAAAAAAGGGGGGGGGGTATTATTTTTTGTTCGTAGATCATATAACATTGCCATTCATTATGTGTAGCATTATCAAGCAGTGAATGAGTATAATTATGTGAGCTTGTGCACTTTTTCTTTCATTCATTCAGACATTCAAGTTTTTGCTTTTATTGCTGAAATCTTTATGAGAAAGTGGTTAGCAGAATTAGGTAGTGATAAATGAATAAGGTTAATTACAATGTACGTTCAATTTGTTTTTTCCATTTATTTATGTATAGTATTTATGGTTATGCATTTTCAGGGTTTTCACTAACAACTTGGATGGCTAAGAGGGAGATTCCAATGGAATTACCCTTACCAGAGTATAGTCGCTTAGAGTTGTTTGAAGATCTTGGATTGGCCATGTATGTGAGGGAAAAATCTTGTAGTGAAAGCACCAATTTCAGTTCCTTGATAAATGGCTGGAATAAAGGTGATAAATTATGGTACAGAATTTGTTAAGTGAGTCATAATTTAATTGAATGTGTCCACATTTTCCTCTGATTTTCACTTTTGATTACAGAATGTCCATTTGACATACAAACAGAAGATTTACCAACAGAACTTGCTTGTCATATCCCCACCGCCTGTACTGCAGTGTATTGCTGTGCCAATGCCAGTACTCCATTCCAGAGATCCTTTTCCATCTTTCTTGATCTTGACCCTTGTGATAACAGGCTCTTGATTGGAATTGAGAATTTTATTCATAACATATCTATGTTTGATGTGGCATTTGGTGTGTACTTCCATTTATTATTCTATAATTTTGAATGCATGAAAATTTATTGATTATTTTTTTTAGTTTGAATAAGAGGGCATCGAAAGAGAGAGAATATACCTCTGCTAGCAAACATTTCAAAAATGTCCTAGCTCTATTGTCTTCTCTGCCAGGCCTAAACTAATTAATTTATTTGATAACAAAATCTGTTGAGATATGCTGATAGGAAAAAATACACAGTTGAACATCAAAATAGGGTTGAAATATACTAAGTCTGACAAATTGTGAGAATGCATTTAACCCATTTGAAATTTTTTCAATCGTATTTAATATTTTATCACTATACAGCTAACTTTCATATAAATTTTATTTCTAGGACAAGAAAACTACTTCCATTGGAAGGATATTATTAAACTCAGGTAACATGTGTCGAACTAATACATCTATTATTAATATGTTTTCTGTATTTGGAATTACTGTATATTCTGCCACAGCTGTAAAAAATTAAATGCTAAATTTTCTCCCAGACTTGATATTAAATTTAGTGAAGGAAACTTAAATTTATGCATGGGTATTATTAATCTTTTTAAGGGGACTCTTGGATGTGTATCATTGATTGTTGTTCTAATTGAACTTTAGATACAAAGTATATGATTTAAAAATGGAGAGGAAGTTCCAAGTTACTCTTCACATAAGATTTTGCTTGGAGCCAGGGGCCTCTTGTTTGTTTGAAACAGATGTCATCAAGCATGCTCTCTTACCAAAAAGAATTTGTAGTCTTTCCACTGGATTTGCTCAGAAGAGTAAGCAGGAATTCTTTGTGCAAAATTGGTTGAAAGTAGGGATCATGAAGAGTTTCTTTGCTTAACTTTGTCTTGTTGATATAAGCTTAAAATCACTGCAAATGCAACTGTATGCTGAAAAACTAAATGTAGTATACTGTATCTGTAGTAATGTAACTGATTCATATTTTTATTGACTGCAAACTGCAACTAAAAAGGGACATTAATGATGGGTTTCATGTTATCTGATAGTGATTAATCAGATTAATTGGCTATTTCAATATATTTGAATTTCATTATTTTGCTGCCATATAACCTAGATCTACATAAGATGTGGTTTGAGGGAAAATCATTACTCATTCTTTCAGTTCATAAGAAATAAAGAACTGAAGGTGAATTCATTCCAAAAGTTTTTATGGTCCATAATGATTTTATACCTTAATGCTCATTAAAATTAACTTGTATGACTTGTTGACTTCTCAACTTCACTGACTTGTAGACTTTTCCCTTGCTAAGTGGACTTCAGATCATAGCATCAACATGTCAGCAATATCAGAAGGAAATGCTGCTCTGCTGGAAGAACATCTGTTGATTTCACAATATTTGTCTCCCTACTCTTGTAGCAGAGAATCTGAAAATTACTTTTTTCATAAAAACTACTGGAATGATGGTATGCAATTTCAGTTTTCAGGAGAACTTTCATCATACTTTTAAAAAAGACTATTAAAAAAAAAAAAAAAAAAGCAGCAAAGAATTTATGTGTAAAATTAGAAAATTAATGAATATTCTTGTGCGATCTTTTTTTTTGTTGAATAATTATATTTTCATGCTATAAATATCATGCTTTGCAATTGCAAGAGCGCATTTCAAAATTTGAAGAAAAAAAATGCACTTATGAAGTGTTTGTGACTTTTTGTTTAGAATATAAGATAGAAGTGAAATAAAGTTATTAATTTCAGTGTGTGGAAAGGTTCATGGCATCACCCAGTTTACAGCCTCTGACAAAATCAACTGTTACCTGACTTCTAACTGTACAACAGTTACCTGTTGTATGTTTGACCGTGTGTTGTCTCGAAATATAGAAGTTAGACTAAGTATTGATTCCTGTAAATTCAACATGAGAGTAGAGATTGAAAAGCTTCATTTTGATATCAATCTTCTAACCATGAAATGGGGTATGTTGAAATATCATACCATTAATAAAGTCAACTGTTGAAGATGCAAATTTGACATTCTTCTTATCTTTAATCAATGATTTTAATTTTAAACTTCAATTTGTTTCCAGACAAACAACTAAAAATTGATATGTATGGAATTTATGAAATGAGGTATGTAACTATAAATGCATGCATAACTAGCTGGATAGGTGTGGGAAAAAACAGAAACTTAAATTTAGTCTTTTTCTCTTAAATTATTTTACTTTAAAAAAAAGATCTTTGATTGATTTTCTACACTGTCTACTTCATCTGAGACAAAGACTTAAATGAGTTTTTCTGACTAGAGTTTTTCTCTATGTCTATCCTTTCTAAATATCAAATGTTTGTCCCAAGGAAAAGATGAGATAATAATTAGGGCAACACTATTCACTTAACATAGGGATTTTCTGCAATAGAACTTTAAAGCTTTCTGTACAAGTCATCAATCAATCATAATGCTGACTTTTGATGACGTCTACCTTGGGAGATTCTGTCTTTTTTCAATGACCTCTTTTGAGAAAAAATAAATTTTTCGGTACATGGTTTATGTCACATTCTATGTTATTTTTTCAGCATACTGATGCACAATTTTTACAATGATCAGAAGTATCTTCTAAGTATGAACATCAGTCAGTGTATTTTCGGTACATGGTTTATGTCACATTCTATGTTATTTTTTCAGCATACTGATGCACAATTTTTACAATGATCAGAAGTATCTTCTAAGTATGAACATCAGTCAGTGTTACGAGCCAGAGAACTGTGAAGTCCACCATGTTCTTTTCAAAAATTCATTGATACCAAAAGCTGTGTGTGATTGGTCAAGGAATTTCCAGATTCAAGGTTTGTGAGTTGTCATGAATACTTTCATCTTCAATTCAGAAAATATTTATATTAATTTATGTGAAATTTCTTGGGGAAAAATGCTTTTTACAAAGCAGACAAAATGTTACCAGTTGTTTGAATTTGTTAGTCAATTTCTCAAACAAATTGATAGAGGAAAACATTTTTCTGTATCCTTCAGCATCTATAGGGATAATAATTATAGTGTATCCATTGCATTTTAATTTTTGCTAAGATTAAATGAGATTTGCATGTATTATGTTCATAAAAATTCAACCCACATAAAGCATAAAATGCTTTAAGATTTGTATATTTCTGGTGCATGAATAGCTAACTCAAAGGTGTTTGAAGCTTACAATTAACCAGACCTTATATATATTGATCTGTGAATGATTTAAGCCATATGTTAGTGTTCTTGATAAAATCCTACTTGTATTCACTATTGTCAAAAAATTACTATTCTGTTTTCTAGTTTTTGAAATGATCACTTATGGACTAGTTAATCTATGAGACTTAAATTAATCGATGATTGTATTTATTTATAGATTTCTCCCTAAACACATGGAAATTAAGCAATGGACTAAATATGTCTTTTGATGGAATAGAAAATCCTTACATATCACAGCTGATGGAAGAATTGGGTTTAACTGCCTACTCCAAGTACCCAATGTGTACTTTGTCTCCTGAAAATTCATCAGAAATATCAAAGGGATGGACAAGAGGTGAAATTAACATTAACAAATATATATTTTAGCTCACCTCAACGAAGTTGGGGGAGTTATGTGAAATATTCGGCGTCAGTGTCGGCGTCCCAGGTTAAATATTTTGGTGCAGTTTTCCCTTTAAGTAGTTCTATGCCCTACATTGATCAGATATGCTGGCAATATGCTTCAAGAGTGTTTCATTGTGTCAGTCAAGGTTACAGATGCTGCAATTTCAACTAAGAAATGACAAGGTTAATGTTTTTGGAGAAGGTTAACATTTTTGGTGCAGTTTTTGGTGTAGGTCTTATTTCCAAGTAACTTGCCTATGTTGACCAAACTTGCATGGGTGATACATCTAAGGATGCATACTATCAGGCTTGCTTCAGATGCTTCATCTGACCTACATTTTTAGGTCACCTGAGTAACTCAGGTGACCTATTGCTATCTGTTTTCGCCCATTGTCGTGCGTCGTGTGTTAACATTTGAACATTTTCAGCTTCTTCTCTGAAACCACTAAACCAATTTCAACCAAATTTGGTATGCAGCATCTATGGGTGAAGGGGAACAAAAATTGTGAATTTCATACCCCCCCCCCCCCCCCCCCCCCCCCCGGGCCTGAGGGGTGGGGCCAAAACCACTAAAATTATTGCAATCTTTAAAAATCTTCTTCTTTACTCCTGGACATCAAGCAGGCAAACTGTTAGCATGAAAGTAATAAGCATTGAGTCCTCTGCCAAAATTGTGAAATTCATGGCCCCAGGGTCAGGGGTTCCAGTGCTAGGGCGGGGCTTTATAGATTATATAGTGAAAATGCATTATTTCTTTGAAAATCTTCTTCTCTGCTTCTGGGTATTAAATAAACTAACTAAGTACATAGTTATGATGAGCAAGAGTGCCTCTTCCAGATTTGTGAATTTTATGGCCCTGGGTCAGGGGTTCTGGTGTTAGGGTGGGGCTCTATAGATTATATAGTGAAAATGCATTTATTCTCTGAAAATCTTCCTCACTGCTTCTGAGTATCAAATAAACTATTAAGCACAAAGTTATGATGAGCAAGAGTGCCTTTTCCAAAATTGTAAATTTATAGCCCCAGGGTCAGGAGTTCCAGTGTTAGGGTGGGGCTCTATAGATTATATAGTGAAAATGCATTTATTCTTTGAAAATCTTCTTCTCTTCTTCCAGGTTTTTAAATAAACTAACTAAGTACATAATTATGATGAGCAAGAGTGCCTCTTCCAGATTTTTGAATTTTATGGCCCCAAGGTCAGGGGTTCTGGTGTTAGGGCGGGGCTCTATAGATTATATAGTGAAAATGCATTTATTCTTTGAAAATCTTCTTTTCTGCTTCTGGATTTTTTAATAAACGAACTAAGTACATAGTTATGATGAGCAAGAGTGCCTTTTCCAAAATTGTAAATTTATAGCCCCAGGGTCAGGAGTTCCAGTGTTAGGGTGGGGCTCTATATTTTATTATAAATAACTCTATAATTTATTCTTTGAAAATCTTCTTCTCTGCTTCTGGCTTTTTAAATAAACTAGCTAAGTACATAGTTATGATGAGCAAGAGTGCCTCTTCCAGATTTGTGAATTTTATGGCCCCAGGGTCAGGGGTTCTGGTATTAGGGCGGGGCTCTATAGATTATATAGTGAAAATGCATTTATTCTCTGAAAATCTTTTTTTCTGCTTCTGAGTATTAAATAAACTAATTAAGCACAAAGTTATGATGAGCAAGCTTAAGAGTGCCTTTTCCAAAAGTGTAAATTTTATAGCCCCAGAGTCAGGGGTTCTAGTGTTAGGGCGGGCTCTATTGATTATATAGTGAAAATTCATTTATTCTTTGAAAATCTTCTCTGCTTCTGAGTATTAATCAAACTAACTAAGCACATTGTTAAGATAAGCAAAAGTGCCTTTTCCAAAATTGTGAATTTTATTGCCCCAGGATCAGGGGTTCAGGTGTTAGGGCTCTTTTGATTATTCAGTAAAAATACATTAATTCTTTGAAAATATTTTCCTTTGCTTCTGGGTTTATGCCAGTGATCCAAGTATATATATTTATAATGAAGAAAGGTGCATCTAGCAAAATGATTATTTTTTATGCCCCCCCCCCTCCTGGGTCAAGGGTGGGGTGGGGGGGGGAGTTACATAGTCTGAAAACAAATTAATGCTTTGAAATCTGCTCTTTGGTATTAATCAACCATTTATGATAAAATTTGCAAAATTTTGAAATATGTGGCCCCAGGGTCAGTGGTTCTTTTGGGGTGAGGTGCACAACTGGTTAAAAAGTGGAAGAACATTTTCTCTTTGTAACTCAGATCTACCTCTGGGTATTGAATAAGTAGAGTAAGCATGCCAAGTTTTTTAATTATGATAAGCAATGGTGCCTCTTTCAAAATTGCAAATTGTGAATTTAATGGCCTCTGGTTTAAAACATGAACCAAATTTGATTGTTTGAAAGTTGTTACACAATACTCAGGTGACCTATAAGGCCTGTGGGCCTCTTGTCTAGATAAGTGAACAGGTTAAAGTTTTGGTGCAGGTCCATTCTAAAGTAACTATAAACCCTATATTGATCAAACTTGCATGGGTGATACATCTAAAGATGCATACTACCAGGCTTGCTTCAGATGCTGGATCTGACGTACATTTTCCAGATGAGTGAACAGGTTAAATTTCATAGTTTGGGTGAGTACACAATGGGGGGCTTAAGTTTTATATGATAATAATATATAGGAAAAAAATTTAAAAATCTTCTCAAGAACAGCAAAACCATAAGTCACTTTTATATGGAAGCATCCTCATGTAGTGTAAATTCATTTTTAGCTCACCTGAGCTGAAGGCTCAAGTGAGCTTTTCTGATCACATTTTGTCCGTCGTCCGTCTGTCTGTCCGTCTGTAAACTTTTCACATTTTCGACTTCTTCTCAAGAACCACTGGGCCAATTTTGACCAAACTTGGTACAAAGCATCCTTAGGTAAAGGGGAATTTAAATTGTTAAAATGAAGGGACATATCCCCTCGCAAGGGGAGATAATCAAGAAAAGACAAAAATAGGGTTGGGTCATTATAAAATCTTCTTCTCAAGAACCACTGGGCCAGTAAAGCTGAAACTTACGTGGAAGCATCCTGGGGTAGTGTAGATTCTAAATTGTTCAAATCATGACCCCCGGGGGAAGGGCGGGGCCACAATGGGGAATCAAAGTTTTATATAGAAAATATATAGGAAAAATCTTTGAAAATCTTCTTCTCAAGAACCACTGGGCCAGAAAAGCTGAAACTTATGTGGAAGCATCCTGGTATAGTGTAGATTCTAAATTGTTCACATCATGACCCCCGGGGGAAGGGCGGGGCCACAATGGGGAATCAAAGTTTTTAAGAATATATATAGAAATATATAGGAAAAATCTTTGAAAATCTTCTTCTCAAGAACCACTGGGCCAGAAAAAGTGAAGCTTATGTGGAAGCATTCTGGGGTAGTGTAAATTCTAAATTGTAGGAATCATGACCCCCGGGGGAAGGGCGGGGCCATTATAGGGAATCAGTTTTACATAGAAATATATAGGAAAAATCTTTGAAAATCTTCTTCTCAGGAACCACTGGGCCAAAAAAGCTGAAACATATGTGCCCATGGAAGGATCATGGGGTAGTGTAGATTTCAAAATGTCTATATTATGATCAGTGGGGTAGGATGGGGATGCATTATGTATAACAAGGGGGAAATCTGGTAAAGAACAGAATGGTCAAAGCTTCTCAGGTGAGCGATGTGGCCCATAGGCCTCTTGTTTTTCTTTTCAAAACATGACCTCCAGGGGTGGCAACAATGGTAGATCAAATTTTTACATAGGAAAATTTAGGGGGAAAAAATGCTGCTCATGAACAGCAAAGCATGCTTTTTTCTAGCCAATATGTTCAGATGAGCCAGGATCCCTGGGTCTCTTGTTAAACCCCCTGCTTGAAAAGCAGGAGGGTACTAGTATTGAGTGTTGGGGGTGTCCATCTGTGCGCTTATCTGTCTATCTGAATGTCTCTCTGTTACACTTGGGGGTACCCATCTCTTATCTGCAACTTCTCTTATACCATTGAATGAGCTTTAATAAGACTATAGATTTGTTTTATTAATTTGAAAGATTGTTTTTGAAATTATTTTTTTTTGAACAGGTTGTGCAATGAACATCAGCTTACCCACTCTGGACCCTAGTGTAAACTGTGATCTGTTATCCTCCTGTACTGGAGTGAGATGTTGTGTGCATGCTTCACTTCTGAAGAGGAACTATGAAATCTCCTTCAACATTGACCACTGTACCAGTAGCCTTAGCATACAAATAGAACAAGTCTTCCACAACCAAACTCTGGCTGGAATGCAGTGGGGTGAGTATGAACTACTGATTTGTAGACTATGAGCTTACAAACAAACATTGAGATATAATGTGTTCTACAATGTTGGTTTATTTACTGACAGTTTTCATTGTTACATTTCATTGTTTCATTTTGCACAGGAAAAATTCATGAGTTCAAATTATTTGGAGTATACAGAATAAGGTAAGAGGAGTTTTGAATCAAAAGGATGAATATTAAGTTTCATATTTTTGAAGGGTAAATTTGTTTATTTTGGTGCTTTTCTGTTCTTTTATTTGTGTGTACTTTCAATTTTAGATACAGTGTATCAGATATCCCAGAGGAGAACTTGTATCTAGTGTCAATGGATGTGATGGATTGCTATGAATCAACAGACCCTCAATGCAAGTCAACTTCGGTGTTTACAGTGCTGGACAAAACTGCATTCCCTAAGGCCATTTGCTCCTGGAATCGAGGATTTGTCAAAACAAGTGAGTAAAGATGATTTCATAATTCTTCATATTATGGAAAATGTTTCATCTGTATTTTGCTCATTTTCTTTCTTTTATTCTAGATTTTTCTTTGAATGCATGGCTGGTGGAAAATTCACTTAAAAATTTGACAGAACTGATGAATAAGGATTATAAATTGTCTAAGCTGTTAGATGAACTGTCCATATCTCAGTACTTCGAAACAACTTCGTGCAGTCCTACATCTACCATGGCTGTTGAGGGATGGACTTCATGTAAACATTAAATCTCACAAACCTTTTCAATTTAATTTCTATATTCTATTAAACTTTTATGCACTTAAAGAACTATATGCGGTATATTGCATATATTTGCCCCCACAAAAGTCATATTTTGAAAACTTCCTGAAATGTGCTGAATTCAATAAATTGTATGAGAAATATAAATTAACAGAAAATATTATAGTGTCAAAGCAGTGTATTCACAATTTTTGTTTTTATGACGTCACAAACTAGTCCCGATTTTATATCCTTTTTCAGAAAGAGGACAAAATGGACAAAATTTCAACAATTTTAGCTTTAAAATTTATAGAGCACAAGTTTGTTCAGGAACAGTATTGACATATTTCATTGATATTATCATTCTACACATTATATCAAAATATTGATCCTGAACACACATGCGCTCGGTGACTTTTACTCAAAATATCGACGAAATGTGTTCCTTTTTCTGTAAAATTCATAAAAAACTGAAATTTACGTCATGTTTGTGACGTCATTACGTACATATGGCGTCATTACTTATGAAAATATTCAGTGCTTTGAAGTCAGCATATACTCCCCTGTTTAAGAACTTAATTAAATATATCTCCATCAAAGTTTGATTTGGGGGGCAAATATTGGTTATTACCGAAAAAAGTTCTTTGTAAGAAATACATTTGATTACTAGTGTACCAGAATGAAGGATATGGAGATAACATACAGTATTCAATATCAAATTCCATAAAACAATACAAAATAAGAGCAGAGCAAACACTAGACCTCTTAAACATCAGAGAAGGGATCAGGTGCCATAGAGGAGTGAGCATCCTCTGCTGACCGGTCACACCTGCCATGTTCTCCCTGTCATGATCGGGAAATAACGCAAAAATCCGTCATCAATTCAGTACATAAATAATGGACTAACAATTGGTATGAAAAATGTCAGTCAGTATTTGACTCGATAAATTGTATTTGGAGACAAGGTCATTATAACGACCAAAGAACTTCTGACATGATGACTTTGAATGAGACTGCTGATATTTTTGTTTCATCAACTTGTTTGTCAATAATTTACCTCGTTTTAGAAAATGATAATACATAGAGCATGCTCTTGTGTATCAAATCAACTGAGATATATAAACACCATATGCAGATGATGAAGGTATATTGCAGCATAAGTAAGGGAAGTTGACAATAGAAAAGTCATCACGTTTATCATAAAGCTTGATTGTTAGATTACCAAATAACGTCTTTTTCAATATCCAAGAATGAAACAGATGTGTCAGACTCTGTGGTATCTTTTATCTCAAGCTTACCAGGATATATCATATCAACATATATAGGAAAGGAAATTACCATTGTTAATTGACAATACGTTGCCGATATATATCTAAATGGTGAGTTGAAGGCCTCAGCAAGTGTTTTCTTCTTTTCACACATAAGATTTTGCACAAATTCTGCTTCATATGAATACAAAATCTATTATTATGCCCCTCTCTGAAGTAGGGAAGGGATTATATTGCTTTGCTTCTCTCTGTTGGTCATTAGGTGTATTTTTATCCACCAATAGTCTATGTTCATTTTCTTTGCTGAGGTTGGACATACTGAAATGAAATTTTATATACAGATTTCTTTTTCTATAATCTTAAAATATCTAGTCCAGGATTTTTTGTTTTGGGTTGGATCAAGCAATTTTTTCTGAAGATGTCCCTTGGATTAAAAAAAATTCCAATAATTTACAATCCCGTTCATTTTCTTTGCAGAGGTTGCACATACTAAATTGAAAATAGATATTCAGATTTTTTCATTTCCATATACCAGTACACTTCCTTTAATGTATACTGCCCGTAATTAAGGCTTGTGCACCCTATTATTTATGTCCAAGAGGTTGGGGCATGAGTGTTTCACAAACATCTCTTGTTTTACTTTTGTAGCATGTATAAAAACTGTTCTAAAACCTAGGATCTTGGGAGGCATTTGTCATTTAAAGAATGATTGCACCTCATCAGAATGTTGTCTTGAAGTCGACTTCGTAAGGCACAGCTTTAAGACCTTCTTAAACATCGATCCCTGTAATTCAGTCCTTAATGTTGGAATTGAAAAGTTCAGGAGAAATATATCACTTGTGGATTACCAGTTTGGTTAGTTGTTTGCTCTTTTTGAAATAAAATTCTTGTAAAATAATTATTTTAATACACCCATATCAAAATTTAATTAAAATAATTGTAAATTTTCTTTTTTTAATCAGGAAAGCTTGAGAAACATTGGCTTGGAGGAGTGGCAAGAATGGAGTAAGTTTATTGAATCATTACTGTCACAGTGATTAATTTGCTTCACAAAGATTATATAAACCTAAACTAATCATTCTTTTTTCTGTCCGTCTGTTAGCAAATTATGTGATATTTCCAAAGTCTGTGCTTATTAATGAGTCAGACATAAAGTAAATTAAATGGTTTATTTCTGTTGATGATAAAAGACAGTATTTAGCTCACATCACAACAATGTTAGGAGAGCTTATGTCTTATACCTGGGCTGCATCAGCATTCAAGATCATTGGAGCAGATTTCTTGGTACATGTACTATCATATAATGTTTGGTTATATTTGTCTCTTTGTCAATTGTACATGTACCCTAAACAATGGCATTTATTTATTTGAATTTTTCAAAACAAATTTTAGTTGTTATATTTAGTTAAGATGAAAATGGTTACAGCATCAGATCAAGTCAGTATTTTTACCTTGTCAGATCAAAGGTTAAAAAGAAATATGCTACCAATTATGTCCTAGTCTTGCCATGTTTAAGATAAATCTTTCTGACAAAGTTTGCTAAATTGTGAATGTTTTCAAATGATATTAGCATGTATATCTGTTGTAGTAGTATGCTAGTCTGGCTGTAAATGTTCTTTTTATTTTTAACAAAATTCTTCAAACATTTTTATGGGCATTATAGATTTTTCTTTGCATTGCAACACTTTGTGGAGATGAAATTGGAAAATTTTTAATTTAATAAAGCATCTTTATTGCCTTTTTTAAAAACTTGTATTCTTCATTGCTCTGTTTTTGTAAATTCAGCTTCTCTATAGAGGATATGTATGGAGAGCGATTATATCTGGTAAACCTAAACATCAGTTTCTGTTTTGAATCGGATGGAGATTGCTACCAAACTACTACAGTTTTTAATGAAACTTTGCTACCCAAGCAACTTTGCCACTGGGATGAATCTCTAGGTAAGTATACCTAACAATCATATGTCCTTTTTTACAATCATGAAATGGTATTATATGTTTCCAGCAAAAAAAACCATACTGTATAAGCAGAATTTTTAGAGAGGATTTAATTTTGGCATTATTAACGAGGGTTCTGAGGTTGCTAAAATTAAATATCACTAAAAATAAACTGTTTAATTTGTTATATCTTCGTAGTGAGCCTTTTAAAATTGCTAAAATTGCTTCTTGCCAAAAATAAAATACATGTACCATATTTTAACGAGAAATCGCTTAATTTTTGTCTCGCTTAAATTACCTCTTATATGGTAACTATAAACTTTCCAGTTAGCTCTATGCCCTTCCATTGAAAAGTTTAACCTTTTTAAAGATATTTTAGATGGGCCATGTTGAGCCAGATCTTTTATAATTTTGGAATTAATCTTCTTAAAATAATTTTTAAATAGCATTCTCATTGAGTCGCTGGAAAAATGAGCACAGTATTCAAGATGGAGAAAAGCTTCCTGACTGGGCTAAATATTTACTGCTTGAAGAGTTGGACATTGCTCAGTATATTGAAACAGATCAGTGTAAACGAGGAGAAGGATTTTATTCGTCTACCATGCTTAGTTCAGCCAATACAGGATTTAATCTCAATTCCTCTAGTTCTTCACAATGTGAGTAATATTGCATGCAAAGTTAAAGTAGGCTTTTTGTATCGTGGTTCGCAAAAAATGGCTATTAGTTTTCTTTCCCCTTGCAAAGATATAAGGTGGGTTACATATAAGAATCAATTGTCCAGCTTTCTGACCAGCTGTCTGACTATTCATCCTTTCAGTCATGTCCAGGCCATAACCACCTGACTCTAGAAAAATTAAGGTTTTCTTAAAAGAAAATAGAAAATATAAATATTTAATAATGGAAATGGGTAACCAATTATTTTTAAAATTAATAATGGAAATTGGTAACCAGTGTGATGCTTGCTCCAGAATTTAAGCCATATGACAATGCATTGCTTTGTGTTTTTTTAGGGGACTCTTTTTGTAGACAGTCCAATTATAAAAGATTTTTCTCCAGTGAGGAAATGTAATGGAAAATGAACTCTTTGATAACAAAGATTTCACAGTGCTTCATTGCAAGAGATTTATTTGAGAGAATAAGTTTATCTTTTTCCTTCACCTACTCACAGTATAGGTATTCCACTAATATAGTACAAGTGTGAGAAATCATTTCCAGTCTATTATGAAGAAAAGTTGGAAGTACATATGAAAAGTTTGAAGTACATATGTATTTCACTTAAATATAACTTATGTATGTGTCATAACCTTGACCCAAGGTCATTCTTGCAAGTCTGAGGTCACTGATAGAAAAAGCATAAAATTTTTATGCAGATCTTAACACTTTATGTGAAATGATCAGAAGTTAATGGTTCAAACAAATAATGCTTATGAACTTAGGGTATGTCATAACCTTAATATAAGGTCATTATGGCAAGTTCAAGGTCATTGAATTTGACAGAAAGTGAAAAATTCATTTCTGGTGCATAACTTTTTAATTAAGAAACGATTGAAGTTCATGCTTCACACAAAGGTTGCTTAATTGCGACTAGAGAAGGTGTCATGTTCTTGAACCAGGTCACTTTTTTTGCAAGTTCAAGGTGACTTGAAAAAAAAATGTACTGTAAACATGGAAGTGTTCAGATGGGGGAATTTTTTGTGAGAAAAAAGTTACAGAAATTTTACCAAAAATACAAAGATTTAGAAAATTTTTGGGTCAAGAATAGAGTATAGGTAAATTTAACAAGTATTCTTTTTAGTGTGTCAGTTGGCTGTAGATCTGGAAAACAACCCACTGACCTTAGATTCCGCCAGACGAGTGACCTGTTATGTACCCAGCCTCTGTACCGCTGTAGACTGTTGTGTAGATGTCTCCTCACTGGACATGTCATTCCATACCTACATCTCCATTGATCCTTGTCAGTTTATGCTCAAGATTGGAATAGAAAAGTACAGCTTCCAGAGGTCACTCAATCAGTATACATTTGGTAAGTATAGTCTGCAATAGTCTTTATTGAGTTTATGTGAACTATACTGAGAGGAAAGTGAAATGCAGAGTAAAATTCTGAACAGAACTTTATACAAGGTATTTTATTTACCTGTATGTTTATGAATGAAAATGTCAGAAATCACAAGTTTTTTTCTCATTGATCAATCAACACTAGATGATAAAAAAAAATAAATGAGAGATTCAGGCTGACTAAAATATGAGATATTTTTCAAAATTAGCTCAATTGAAAAAAATTAAAATTTAGAATGAAAACAGTGAATTCATAATTTATTTTTAATACCTCCCCAGTTAAACTTAAATAATTAGTTATACTGACATGTAAGAAAACAGATGTTGGCAAATTAAGTTTGAATAACAAAGTCTGCATTCCCACAAAAAAGCAATGTAGATGTGCACAATTTATTATTTAGTATAGATTTAATAATTGCCATTTTAAATTCCGATTTATGTTCATCCTTTCTTTCTTTAAAGGAGATGATGGTTTGTTTTCCTTTGCTGGGATCTTAAAACTTATGTAAGATTTTTAATTTTGATTTTTTAGCTCTATTTGTCATAGGCCAGAAAAGCTTATGCAATAGTAAGGTGTCTGTCATTTGTCCATCTAGCTAGCTGTTCAGCCATCCGTCTGTCTGTAAACAATTTTTCAAAATGCTACTCCTCCTACAGTTTTGGTCTGATTTTAATTATACTACGTATTGGGCATAACACAATAATAGTAGACTACTCTAAGATACATAATGTAGTGCATTAATTTTTGATTTAGATGAATGGTTACTAAAAATAGAAATTTATATGAAATACCTTTAAAAAGCTACTCCTCCTACAGTTTTGGTCTGATTTCAATATAACTTAGCACATAAGTAGACTACACTAAAGTTCATAATTTGGTGCATCTATTTTCGATTTCAATGAAGAATATTGCCATGGTAACTAAAAATGAAATTCCTCTCAAACTCTTTTCCTCCTACAGTTTTGGTCTGATTTAAATATAACTGGGCACACAAGTTGTCTACACTAAGATACATGATTTAGTGTGTGCATTTTTCATGAATGATGTCGCTATGGTTACTAAAAATAGAAAATTTTGTGAAAATTTCTTTAAAATGCTATTCCTCATACAGTTTTGGTCTTTCAATATAACTTTGCACATAAGTAGACTACACTTAGGTACTTAATGCTGTCCATGCTGCCTGTTGCAAAGTTTATTTCTATCTGATTTTCTATAAAACTTTGCACACACAAGTAAACTACACAATATGCATGATCTAGTGCATCAGTTGTTGATTTAGATGAATGGTGTTGTCATGGTTACTAAAATTAGACATTTCTGTGAAAAACCTTTAAAACACTAGTCTTCCTACAGTTGTGGTCTGATTTCAATATAACTTTGCTCATAATTAGACTACACTTAGGTACTTACTGCTGTCCATGCTGCCTGTTGCAAAGTTTAAAATTTAAGTGCTTTTGATTTCTTTTGTTCAATTCAATTCAATTCTTTATTTGCAAAAGACATACGTCTTATAGCATTTATCCTGCAACTACCCCTTGCATTGACCTAATAAAGGTAACCTAATAAACCAAAGCTTTATCCGGTCACTGCCCTAATAAAGCCTTGTGCATGTATTCCGACGTTCTAAGCGCATTGTGACGTCACGTATACTGCAATGTTTACGCCATGGCGTCATAGTTTCAACTGCAGAGATGTGCCTAAATCTGTCGGAAATAGCTTGTTTTGGACGTTCAAATGTAAAATTTTGTTGCAGGATAAACAAAATACATAATAACTGTCTTGAAATATAAGCGATATTTGGGCTCGGGTCGAAAACGTAAGAGGGCTCGGCAAGCCTCGCCCTCTATCACGTTTTCTTACCCTCGCCCAAATATCGCTTATATTTCAAGACAGTAACCATGTATTTTATATTTATACAATATATAAACAAATGAAATAAAGGAAATAATGGCTGGTCAGTCTTGTAAATCCTTATGGAACATGCACATATATACTCGTATTAACAGTCTTTACAGTTCATATGGAGAATGACATGTAATATAGCAGATATAATCATTAACAATATAGGAGTAACAAATCAGGAAATGACACACCATTACATTATTAAATCATTTCTAAGTGCGAGGACTTTATAGATAAACTTCCCTAAATTACAAAATTCTTTTACATTATTCACACTTAGCAACTGTATTAATTTGTACATAGATGGCCTATAACAATAATATTTTTTCAAAACTTTGTTCACAATGTTGAATAAATTGGGCATACAAGTAAAAAGTGATATTCATCTTCAATTTCTGTAGTACATATTTTACAGAATCTTTTGTCCCTTGTTATATTTTTATGCCTACCCGTTTCAATAAACAGATTATGCGAGGACAACCTCATTTTAGAAATACATCTTTTGTACACCTTTGGTATCGATTTTTCTAAATAATATTGCAAGCAAACATTGTCAATTAAATGCTTATAAATATAACATTTTGATTCTGTCTGCATTTTGCTATATAGGGTCTGTATAAAGTGATCAGTAAGTCTTTGACGAATGATTGGCAGACAGTATACACTTATCCAATGGTTGTGAGTTGGATAGCTCTTTTATCAAACCCGCGACAGGGAACTATTCCCCGAGGGCTTGCCCGAAGGGAATAGTTACTGTCAAGGGTTTGATGAAAGAGCTATCTCACTCACAACCAGTGGATAAGTGTTTTATTATACTGATGTATATTATAATTTCTAAGGTTTGAATTTTCTCTGGAGTTAGATAATACTGCAAGAATAAGCTGAAATCCTGATGACGTCACAATGCTACTGAAGTCATTATGACATCATCAGACTATGGATTTAACGATGGAAATTAAAATTGGCGGCGAAAACTGCATGAAAATTTTCCGAGGGGTGGGTAGCAAAAACTATACCCCGGGGTATAGCTTTCTGTGCGGGGAAATTTTCAGACTATGAAGAATAGTTATTTTACCTTCTGAACTTTATATAGGAAAGATTTTAACAGAAGTATAATAAATACGACTATTCAGATTCCTTTGGTCTTTCCACATATACCCAACGCCCAAACAATGTAATTGCTCCTTGATAAATTTTGCCCAACTTTGATAATTTTGCTTATCATTTTCACAACTACAATAAGACCAATCATAAGCAGCTCTTAATATACAATTTTCAGACTGTAATAATTTAAACCAGAATTTAAACATTCGATAAATACGAATAAGGTACATAGGTAGACGCCCTGTCTCAAAGTACAACATGGACGTGTTTGTAGTTTTACGGACACCGAGTACATATCATATAAACTCAAGATGAACCTTTTCAATGTCCTGGCCTTTGTGGGATCCCCAAACTTCACATTCATAGTTTAAGATACTACACACATAGGTATCAAAAATAGAAAACAAAGTACCGTACAATGATTTAGATAAAGCTGCTTCATTGTTGATTTAAGAGTGAACAAAGCTTTGCGACCTTGTGTCGCTAATTGTTTTTGAGCAATAAGGAATTTAATTACAGTTATAGTTAAACACAATGCCTAAATAGACAAATTGGTCTACTATTTCTATATTTTCACCTTTATAAGCCCATTTTTCATTTGCGCGGACTTTCCCACCATTTCTAAAAACAACAACTTTAGTTTTTGATACATTTACATCTAGACCCCACTCGTGCGTATATAACTCTAGTGTATTTAACATGCTTTGTAATTCATCAATTGATTCTGAAAACAATACCATGTCAGCTGCATACATTAAAAGATAAAGGCTTAGTAGCTGCAAATCAGTAGGCGTGTTACCCTGCTTTATGAACTCAATTTCAAGATCATTAAACATATACCGTAATACAAACAGCATGGGCGATATATGCAGACAAGTAGAGCTAGAGCCTAATCAGAGACTTCTGATTTTAATTAATTTTGATATATGACATTGTGTAAAACTATTATTGGTTTATACTAAGCATTTCTCTTCTGTCAAAAAAAAAAAAAAAAAAAACTCAATACACCAAGATATCTCTTTAATTTGATTATTTGAAGAAATGAATATTGGTCAATGGTGAATGTATTTATTATTATAGAAAAAATTGAATGTTTCTTTTTAGCTACAGAATAGAGGACTTGCTAGCAGAGAAGTTGTATGTGATGTCAGTGAAGCTGAGTGTTTGTACAGAGACCTCAGGATGTGAAGCCAATTACACAATATTTAACAACATGCTGCTCCCTAAACAACCATGTCAATGGAATGAGGGATTTGTCAATTCAAGTACTATTTTATTTTCCTTTTGCAGTGTAGTTTCAAAATTTTTCGGATGTTGCTTACACAATTCGGCTTAATATTGGCTGTAAGATTCATAAAAACAGGATTTTAACATGAAACAAAAACTCTGATATGTTCAATAAAATACATGAAAATTTATAATATGGGGCACTAAATTTATAGGTATATGACCTTAATGTTTAAAAGATTAGTACGGGTATAAATATAGATAATCTTCTAACTTTGCCCTAGCTTTCCTGTGGTGTCTTTATTCCCTATTTTGTGTCTAGCTCAATTTCAAATCAACTATTTTAAAATTTTTTTTCTTCTGTGTTTAACACTTTCAACTATGTCATTATATCTTTACCTTCTGTGATATGACCCCATCAGTCCTTATTTTGTGTTAAATCATTTTTAAATCAATTATAGATGATATATCTATAACATTTCTTGCACTGATACATTAATGGTGGGAGCTTGTCCTTCCCCCTTGATGTTGACTCCATAACCATTCCTCATTTTGAATTTATGTTCAAAGAAACTGTTCCTGATGTTTACTTTTTATTAAACTTTTTCCACATGTACAAATTGTTAAGAACTATTCAAGAATGTCATAACTTTGACCTTCCCTGTGACTTTATACAAAGCTTCTTATTGGTAAGTGCAATCTAAATCAGTTATAAATTTTGACCTTGACTTTCCTCATGACTTTGTTCTTCTTTAATTTTGACCTCAACCTTCACTTGACTTTCCTCATGACTTTGTTCTTCTTTTGACCTCAACCTTCACTTTTAAAGAGATCTGAATCAAACCTCCTATAATAAAATACACTTTAGTTAGTCGAGAGCTATCCCATTGTGTCATTATACCCCCAGCAAACAAAGTTTGGGGGGTATATAGTAATCATCTGGTACGTCCATCTGTCTGTCTGTCTGTCCAGCTGTCTGTGCAAACGTGTCCGGTCCATATCTTTCTTTTTGAGGAACATTAGAATCTACTACTTCACACAAAGATCCCTTGTGACCTAAGGGTGTGTCATGACCTTGACCCAAGGTCATTTTGGGAAGTTCAAGGTCACTGAAAGAAAAAGTTATTAATATGTATCCGGTCCATATCTTTCTTATGGATAAACTTGGTAAGTTCCCATTTCACACAAAGATTCCTCATGACATAAGGGTTTGTCATGATCTTGACCCAAGGTCATCTGTGCAAGTTCAAGGTCACTGAAAGAAAAAGTTCATAATTCATGTTTAGTTCATATCTTTCTTATGGAAAAACTTTGTAAGTTCCTGTTTTACAAAGATTGCTTATGACCTGAGGGCGTGTCATGATTTTGACCCAAGGTCATTTGTGCAAGTTCAAGGACACAGACAGAAAAAAAAATCATAATTCATATCTGGTCCATATCTGTCAACATGTTGAGTTCACATTTTACACAAAGATTGCTTATGACCTGAGTGATCTGTAAGGTCACTGACAGAAAAAGTTCGTAATTCGTGCCTGGTCTTTATCTTTGGTCTTTTTTTTTTTATTAGGCTGCACCTTCATTTCATTCAGAAAAGATATAATGAGCAATTACATTTGCACTAAAAATGTTTTAGCTTTTTTCTTTTCCCTTGGATCCATAAAATATTCATGATTTGGCACCTCTGAAAAACCCAGCAGGGGGCATTTTGTCCCTTTTGGACAGTTCTAGTTATCTTCTGAACTTGAACTTTTCAATGACCAGACTTCACTATTCCTTCTTTCTGCAGTTAACTAAGTGAACGGTTCTGTATAGACAAAAAAACCCCTTCTTTTATCACATTTTACTATTATCTCAAACCAAAGAAGGAAAGTACATTCCTTTTCATGTTGCAGTAAAATTGTACCTCAGATTCATGTACCACACTGTGGTTTTCTGAATCCATATCACCACTCTCTGAAACTGATGACATAGTACGCAGAAATATGACGTTATTTTTCTTGCGCGTTAAAAAGTCCCTTATTATTATGCTTTGTTTTATGGATAAATGTTATGCAATTGATCTCTAAAGTTTTCTTTTACTATGTTTTGCTAGTTATGAGGGGGTATATAATAAATTTATCATTATAACAGTAACTTGATCAGAAGGGTCGTATCATGTCGAGTTGACAGGCGCGGATCATCAGATCTTACGAGATGGTTAGACGTATCATGTCGAGTTGACAGGCGCGGATCATCAGATCTAACGAGACGCAAAGCTTCTCGTTAGATCTGATGATCCACGCCTGTCAACTCGACATGATACGACCCTTCAGATCAAGTTACTGTTATAATAATATATATGGATCAAGCCTGACATGTATTAAATGAGGGAGCAATACAAAATTAAAGCGGCAATACAGCTGCAAATCGTGTGCTTTTTCAAACAAATTTACCTAATATATCATTCAGGAATAAGGTAAAAAGTTGAAGTAAGCATTTTGAGAAAAATAAATATTCTCCCCTCATACAAAATTAACGTAATTAGAATCTGCCGGAAAATCAAGGGTCGTACAACTTAGATCGTACCAAGTGAATTCTAAAATGGCACGTGCACACAATGTAGGGTTTACAATTATAATGGAATATTAGGTAAAAGCAATTCTCAGTCAAAATATCTTAACTCTCCGGTAAATTAATAATAATTAACATTTCAGTCTGCATTTAGACAAATTTAACATGATTAAGTACAAATGTTGACGTTTTGTGTATTGGGGTGCAGGAAAGGAAAATCCACCAAATTATACGTCATCACGGCAAAATGTCAAACAAAATATCTTTCTGCAGTTCTAATACAATTTGCACTTCAAATGGCAATAATTTTTATATGTCATAAGTGCATTTTTATGTTGAGTTTACACTGATTTTTTTTTTCTTTGAAAGCTATGGAGATACGGTAAATGATAGCATGTATATCAACAAATCTGTAGGGTAGAACCTTCGCGAGCCACACGTGAATGTCGCCGAGGTCCCCTTTCTTCTTCATCCAATGATTACATTAATTTCCAAACTAAATTTTTGTCAGGAAAGTTGTTTTTTAATTTCAATCCCTATTTTGGGTTTTGTTTTTCGTTTTGGTCGACTTAATTGTCAATGTAGCAGGCCTACCGGGCTTCCCTCTCTTACCATGCTGTTTTGTTTATGAAAGCTATATGCATGCGTCATGTGCGTGTATAGCATGGAATGTGGAACCTCGAACACGTTGCAATGTATATATTTATGTACCATAAATAATTATTAATTTTAATGAAATAATCAGAATTATTTACTTGAAAATTTGTAATTTTCTGAAAGAGTATACATTTATTAGTATGAAAAAAAAATTCCAAATCCTATAGGAAAATTTTAACAAGTCTGTTTTTGAAGAGATGTGTGATATTGCCACTTTAAAGAAACCAATAATATATAAACAAAGAAATAATTCCGAGATCTATACTAGTAGTTTTTGAAGAAAATGACCATACATGATATTCTATTACTCTGCAAATACTCAATTTTGCCATAGAGAAGTAAATTGAAATGCACAAAAAGTCTTGCATAATAAATTTTTCAATTGGTAAAAAAAAAAATATATAAAAAATCTTTATCAAAACCTTGTTTCAATTTTTTGCAAAACAAAGTCAAAAAAAAAAAAATATATAGTAATATTGAACTCATTTAAATGATGTACCGTAAATCTGGAAATTTTTACTGTAGATAAATTTTTAGCAAATTTGCGCATGCATTGCATTCGCAAAAATATTTTTCTTAAAAATAAATCAACATGTGAAGAATTTTTTTCTGAGAACTCGTGTCTTTTTTAACTCAGGGAATAGGCGTCGGTAAGCACTGGTCATTTTTAAAAGAAACCTGTTTACCCGGTACACTAGTCTACTATATAACTACAAGTTAATTACCCGTGAGAGTAAATTGCCCTCATTATATGCAATATCGTCCGATGATTTGACAAGCACTGAGGCGGTATACCCCTATTTAAATTATTTTCATCAATTAATTTGCCAATAACGAGAGAACTGTCATTTTATCTAACCGTGTATCAACACGGGCGATAACTCAAACTCGGTGTATTTACTAGAAAGTTCCAAATGTAAACGCGGTGTGTAAATTTTAGGTGAGAAAAAAAAAACAAACGTTGAGAAAAGTAGTTATATTTTTTCTTCATTTGGATTATTCTTTAGGTTAAAAGGCAACCACTAAAATGTTTGTTATAATTGATTTAGAATTTTTTTTCCAGCACAAATCCTTTTGTATTTTTATCAAAATTGTTTCGGAGCGATTTTGCAATCGCTTGCAACGTTTCGAGTATATTGGTGGTATTCTAACTGGGCATATTATTTGAAACATAACCTGATATGAAAATCTTCAGTGATTTTTATTTTTAGCACCAGTGACAATTCGCAAAAATTTGAAGCGTAAAAATTAATCAACAGCTTTCTGACCCAAATTCGCAAAAATAAATCGACGTAAAAATTTCCAGATTTACGGTATATTTGCTTGGCAAATAAATGCATCATTTTAACTTGCCCTGGATAAAGTAATTATAAAGACCATACAACATAGATAACTTTATATATTATTCATACCTGTGAAAAATATGACTATATATATGCATTCTTTAGATTTCTCTGGTTCGGCTTGGATGACCAACAATGGCTACACCACTCCTCTATCGGACTCCCAATCTGCTGAGCTTATGAAAGAAATGAGAGCTGCTAGATATTTACTGTCTGACTCGTGTGGCCTAGACTCAGAAATCTACTCATCTGCTGTTAATGGTTGGACCAATCGTAAGTGAACACAAATTAAAAATAAGTATGAGTATGCATGGCCTCTAAAATGTAATATGAAGTACCTTGTATTCACTTTTGGTCTCATTTTTGTGTCCAACTAGTTGTTTCTTGACAGATAGATAAATTAAGCAGTTGCTCAATGTCATACAAATTTATTTCTTAGTTTGGTAATCTGACAAATCAGGCACTTTTATTTAATTATTTATCGGTTTGTATAAATTTTAATGACTGTATATTTCTTTTTATAGAAATACTAGTAAGTTTTTCTTCTTTTTGATTACTCTTTACTATTATTGTAGATTGTCCTGGAGATGTCACTGTAGGCAATTTAACTGGACTTCCAGTGACCTGTCATATGTCCAGCTTCTGTAATGAGATACAGTGTTGTATGAATGCAGAAAGCATCAGAAGGAGTTTCCAGGTTGTTGTCAGTCTTGATCCCTGCTCCCAGATTATGCTCATCAAACTTGAGAGGCTGACCATCAAAGTTGATCTTCTTGACTTTCATTTTGGTAAATGAATTTGATTAAAATGTTTAAAAATTCAAATTTTTCTTTCATAATTTTTTAAGAAAAAGGAAAATTCTTTAAAGTCAATGGTTTTATTATTATAATTTTGTTTTAGGAAATGCATACGAGTACAGTCTTGTTGGTATGCTGAGAGTAAGGTAAGCCAGCTTTTAGCAAGTAAATTAACACCAAGGGTAATTTAAAAATATATGAACTTTCATAATTTTTTACTAGATAAGAATAAATGCTCAAAAATGTAAATCTTGCAGGACAAGTTCAGATTATAACATTTTTTTTGTAGACTGAATCTCTATAATTTGGTACACCGGAAGAGTTATGCAATGAATCTTGGTATAGCTCTTTGTTTTGAAAGTAGCAGCAGTTGTGAATTGGATTTTACTATCCTACAAAATGCTGTTTTTCCTAAAGGCAGTTGTGACTGGACTTCAAGTCTTTTAGGTTTGATATATAATTAAATTTTTCAATTTTTTTTACTATGAAAAGCCCTCCAAGGATGAGAAAAAATCCCCAAACTATGTTCATGTTTTCATCTAAAGATATTTTTGAATTTGGGTTAAAATATCTCTCTGTAACTTTTACTGAAATCTCAACTTAAGTTTCTTCAATTATACGTATTTTCTGCAACAGTTAGATTTTATATGTTTAGATAATTTTGATTTTTAAATAGATATGCATTAAATTTTACAGACACAGGATTTTCACTACAAAAATGGTTGAACGATATTGGATTAAATTCAACCATTTCACGTCTGCCAAAATATGCGGAGTATCTGGTTCTAGAAGATAGGAGTATGTCTAATATGATGAAAGGAACACCATGTGACCGAACATTAGACTCGCAGTATACATCCAAGTCCCCAGTCAATGGATGGGTGAATGGTAATTGTTTAATTTTTTTCTTGCCACTGCAGAAATTTTAATTTACAAAAATTTGCTTTTAAAAGATATACAGAATATATTGTACGAGGCCCATAAATGTTTAATTTTACATGCTTATTTTTTTTTTTTTAGATTGTGGGTCTACTATCTACACACCTCCCCTTCCAACAGAAATAATATGCCATTTACATGTATCTTGCACAGCTATTACATGTTGTATGGATATCAATAAATTCAACAACAGATCTCTTGAAGTTGCTTTAGAGTTTGAAGAATGCAATAATTTATTAAAATTGACAATAGAAAGAATACAGCATACAGTGTATCTGCATGATTTTGGTTTTGGTATGTACAGTCTGCTTTTGTTATGTATTTCCTTATAAAGAAAACTTTCTCTTTTTGGTTTTATAAATTGATTTTTGAATTCATGCCTATGCTGAAATAAATAGACATATACAATTTTATTTATACATGTATGTTATTTTATTTCACATCACTTGCTTTAATTCCAGGAAGTGAACAAAAGTTTACACTAAGAGGGATTTTTGAAATCAGGTCAGTGATATAAATGTGCAGGTGGCTTGTTGATTAAATTTCTCTATTGAATGCTGTACAAATTTGATTATTACTGAATGATATATATTAAAGCTATTAATATCTTTGTACTGTAGATATACAATAACAAAGGATAGTGTAGCCAAGAAATACAACATTCACCTTACAACTGCTGCATGCTTTGAACCTGCTGGATGTGACCAAATAATAACCGTTTTGAACCAGACCAAATTTGACATGAAAACTTGCACAAATCAAGGAGAATTTTTGAATTCTAGTATGTTTATTCCTATATGATAATTTGTTGCACACACAAGTTTTTAGCTAACCTGAGCTGAAGGGTCAAGTGAGCTTTTCAGATCACACGTACATCTGTTGTCTGTAATATTTTCACCTTTGACCCATGCTTATTTGAACAAGTTCAAGGCCACTAGCTAAAGATGTTTTTTTTCTGGCATATTATTATTTTAAATCTTTTTCAGACTTTTCCCTCAGTGCTTGGCTGGCATCTCGTTCTATACCCAGTGTAGAGGACATGACTGTGCCCCAGGCCAGTGATCTCCTGACAGAACTAGGACTGGACCACTTCCTGGATTCTACAGACAGGTGCTCTCTGTCTGACACAGTGTATGGAGCAGCTGCAGGAAATGGATGGAACAATGGTATATACATGTATAATATATAGTGGTAGTGCTATGATTTCAGGGTTTCATCATTCACAGAGATTTTTTTTCTGGTACTTTTTAATTTTTCTTTGTTGTCCCCCGCTTTTGCGAAAGTGAGGGGACATTAAATCTCATTCGTCTGTCTGTCTGTCTGTCTGTCCGTCAGTCTGTCAGTCTGTCCGTCACAAAAACTTTAACCTTGCCCATAACTTTTGATTTAGTGGAGCTATGACTTTCATATTTCACATGTGTATTTCTTGAGACAAGATCTTTCTTTGGGTATCACCAAATTTGACCTTTTAACCTTGACCTTGGAGTTTGACCCACTTTTACACAAAAATTTCAAACTTTTACTTTGACCATAACTTTTGAATGGAAGGTACTAGGACTTTCATATTTCACATATGTATTGTTTGTGGCAAAACCTTTCATTGGATAACAACAACCTTGACCTTTTGACCTTGACCTTGGAGATTTAAGTACTTATGAAAAAACTTTAACCTTGACCATAACTTTTGAACGGTGAGGACTAAGGCTTTCTTACTTCACATATGTAATCCCTGTGAGAAGACCTTTCATTGGATACCAATAACTTTTACCCTTTGACCTTGACCTTGGAGTTTTAAATACTTTTTAAAAACTTTAACCTTGGTCACAACTTTTAAACAGTAGATAGTTGGACTTTTATATTTCACATATGTATTCCTTGTGGCAAGACATTTCATTGGATATCAAAACCTTGACCTTTTGACCTTGACCTTGGAGATTTTACGTACTTATGAAAAATCTTTAACCTTGACCATAACTTTTGAATGGTGGGGGCTAGGGCTTTCGTACTTCACATATGTTTTCCTTTTGAGAAGACCTTTCATTGGATACCAACAACTTTTACCCTTTGACCTTGACATTGGAGTTTTAACTACTTTTTCAAAAAAACTTTAACTTTGGTCACAACTTTTGAACGGTAAATACTAGGACTATTATATTTAAAATATATATTCTTTGTGGCAAGTCCTTTCATTGGATAACAACAACCTTGAACTTTTGACATGGACCTTGGAGATTTACGTACTTATGAAAAAACTTTAATCTTGACCATAAATTTTGAACAGTAAGGGCTAGGGCTTTCATACTTTACATATGTATTCCTTGTGAGAAAGCCTTTCATTGGATATCAACAATTTTGACCCTTCGATCTCGACCTTGGAGTTGACGTACTTTTAAAAAACTTTTTACTTTGGCCATAATTTTTTAACGGTCAGGATTAGGGTTTTCATCCTTAAAAAAATCAACTTCAATGTTACTTTCTAAATAAATGACATATGATAGGATGTTCATATTACACACAATATGTCATAAAAGATAAATTCTCACCCACAAAGAAACCAAAAGCAGGGGACCACAATTCTTTGAATTTGCTTGTTTATGCAACTATAAAAAGGCGTTTCTTCTTTCTACTTTAGAGTGTTTAAAGTTTCCCAACCATACTCTTACAACCATCACAAACAGAGATCAGGTCCTTTGTCATATTCCCTCATCCTGTGACAGGGTGTCTTGCTGTGTTTACATTGCTCCTGTTCAAAGACATGCTCAAGTTGAACTTTTGATAAACACATGCAGCTATCAGATGGAAGGAGCTATTGACAATCTCAAAGTCATCCACAACTTGTTCAGTTATGACTATGGTAAGGTTTGACAAATTGCTGTAAATGAGAAATTTATATCAAGGTTTCTAAACATGGTAATTATATAATATTATAAATGTCTGTTCAGAGAATGAATGTTGATAATTAATTTGTTTTCAGGGAAAATGGAAGAGCAGGGAATCCATGGTGTTGTGTTGTTTGGGTAATATAATTTATGATTTTCATTTTCTTTAATGATGTCTCTTGGATATCACAAACCAAAATGAAATTTCGAAATACATCATTTCAAAATTTCATGTTTTGCTTTAAATTGGTATAAAATTTCTGGTAAGCTTACTCTTGTCTGCAAACTAACTATTATTCAATACAAATTTATTTGCGATTTATTAGTTTGAAATAATTTGCCAATGTACAAGATATTTTTATGATTGAAAAAACTACCGTTACTTAAATACCCAAATAATTTTTCACAAGAATTAATTTGCAAAAATTCAACATTTCTCACATACAGTACAAATTTAAAGTACCGGTACACATTTATTTCTTCCCCAAGAAAGAACGGGGATATAGAGAAATCACTGTGTTCATCAGTCTCTTAATCTGTCTCGTCATCCATTTGTGTCCAGGCAAAGAAATAATGCTGCTTATGATACACTTGTATGATATAGCTCACACATGACAAAGATATACTCCTTAATGACAACAATAACCTTCACTCGATTTTATAAGGTCCAATGAAATGGCAAGATGATCTAATTTAATTTCTTGAAAATTATAGTTTTCTGCAGCTTACTGATAATTATCCCAAATCTGTTCTGAGTGTTTCCCATTTGGTAAAGTTGGGACAGCTCTATAGCTTTTTTGTAGTAACAATAATCTAGGTTAATATTGATAGAAGTGAAATGTCTTTTCAATGTACTAACATAAACTGAATTCTTTTTTCAGCTATCATGTTACTAATGTTGTATCAGAAAAAAGGTTCAGAATTGATGGTCGCATAAAGATGTGTTTTGAACAAGGCAATTGCAGTATCAATATCACAATTTTCCATGACCTTCTCCTTGCTTATCAAGATTGTAATATTAGCACTGGAGATGTGGCTATAGAAGGTAAAAACCAAATTGATAAAATATTTAATTTGATGATACTTCCCTTTTTTTTTTTAAATATAAGATCTTAACTTAGAACAAATTCTGCTGGATAATTTGTACATAATAGAAAACATATATCTTAATCTGTATCGGATTATTTTACACTATGTTAGGTCAGATCTATCTCTCTCTTTTCTTCAAAATTTAATTAAAGGAAAAAGAAACATGGGGGGTAAACTTTTAAAATGATTTAATGCTATGTGTTTGATGGTATTTTTCAGTATTTTTTCTTACAATAAAAACAATCTTTAATCAACAATTTAACGAATTTTCATTTGATTTTTACTAAAATTTCATTGCAGTTTCTAGGTGACAGACCTAATTTTGTCAATTAATTTACATGATTTTTTTTGACAGTTGCAAGATATTTTCTATTTTATGGTACTCTGAATTTTTTTTCCTTTCAAAATATATAATGATTACTTGATCCTGGTTAATTGGATATTTGTTTTCAAGCAATCTATAGATTGCTTGAAATCTAAACCTATAGGATTATAATGAACCGCCTGGATTACTGATTTGAAATATACTTAAATCATTATGAAGGGGAATCAGCTAGATTAACAAGGACATCACTGTATACATGCACATATGGCTTATGGCACATTTTGGACATTGCAAGCCACACAAAATCACACACTGCACACCCCCTCAAAATTTGAATTTAAAATTTAATATTAATTTTGTGGTGATTTGTCTATATGCCAAAAGAATTGAGGAGTAAAAAATCCTGGTGGAAAATTTGACTTATTCAAGTGTTATAATTCAGAAGTCTTTTTGTAGGTGTTACTTTTGATTTTTGGAAGCCAATTCAGTGTAAATCTTTCAACTTGGATCTCTCAGGTCAGTTTTAATTAATTACATTACACTGCTTGTTATAGTTTTGGTAATTGATAAAAGAATGAAATTTGTGATTTTTAATATTTTTCCCCTTAAATGATGTTGCCTTTCACATTTTCAAAGCTGTTTTAGGGGATTTGTTAAACCTATTTCTAATTGATTTCCCCCCAAACAATTTTTATCTTCATTGTTTTTTCTCAGGTTGTGAAAATACAAAAATTGAAGGCATTCCTATGGAAATGCAAAAACACTGCCAGTACCTGTCAGACTGTAGTGGGATAGAATGCTGTCTGGAGAACAGTTTTAATCTTGGAAATAGAAGTGTGTACTTCATGGCCAGAATTGACTGCACCAACATAGAATATCAAGTGGAAACAAAAAAAGTTATGAAATCCCTTACAGCTCTCACTGATGGTATGGTCACTGCTTCGATATTCATTGAGTTTGTCTTGACCTTTCTGAGCTGAAAGCACGATTGAACTAAAAGATTCAATACTATGTGATACCTGGTATTGATTTTATTTCATCTGGTAAAAATCTTTAATCTCTCATTTCAAATTTTTGTCCTGCAGGCTTAGAATACTCTGAGATTATTGGATCACCTGCAGTCTTCCAAGTGAATTACACCAAAACCAAAAATGGGGCAAATTATGCAATTGGTGTAAAACTGATAGTAGCAGGCATCGGTACTGAAAATTCAGGACTAGTCACTTTTAGTGTTATGGACCATAATACAACCAGAATAATTCCATCAGAATGTGGTACTGGTAGGAGAAGAAGAAGGAAGAGATCTGTGGACCTATCCAAGTAATTTCATTGTCCACAATTAAAGTTAAAAGATTTGTCTGTTTATAAGCTTGTGTGAGGCTCAATTAAATAAACTTTGAGTTAGCTTATTATACACAAGGCTTTGTTTTTAAGCTGAGAATATGAATTAAATCTGACCCAATGTTAGTTATAAGAATTAAAGGTGAAAGGAGGTGACATATAATCTAATGGTTTTAATATTTTGAACTTTGTTTTGACTTGGTTTTATTATGGTTCATTGGTTTTATTAAAGCTTGGATCCTGCAAAGTTCATAGAAGGCATTAGGGCTCTTCTGGAAGCTAATGCATCAAGTGAACTATTTGATTCATTTCAAGAAAGGGTAAAAGAGAAAAGTGTAAGTGCAATATACTCATTTCTGTTCTTCTCTCCTAGTGAATAGGCTTCTGTTTCTGACTACAGGAATGAAAAAAAAAAACAAGAAAAAAATAAAAGATGAATTTTATGATAGATGTATGTGATAGATGTACATGTGATAAGGAAATTTTGAGAAATTCAGTTATATTACTTGTTTAATCACAGCGAATAGAAAAATTGACCAACTTGGCAGCAACAGCTTTATCTAATGATGATGCTTCAACTGGAATCAAGTCTCAAGTACAAGCTCTGGGCTCTGGGAATCCATTTACCATCAAAGTTACAGAAGAAAGTGATACTTCTATAACAGTTCAGGGTGGTAAGACATTGAATTTGTTAAATATGCTTGTAATTTAGCAAGAGAGACAGTTTTCCAGAAGAATTCAGCAGTTTCTCAGATCAAGGGGGTGGAGCAAAAGTAAAATGAATGTATAATCATAAAAAATCTTCTTTACATGTGTATGTTACCTCTAACTTACTAGATCCACCTTTAAGAATTTGGGGACAAAATCACACTTATTTGTGTAATGTATTTGTGAAATGGTTCTAAATTCATCTTTACACTATGATAGCCTAAACTGAAATGAGATTGATTTAAGATGAAAGGTTCAGCACCACTAACTATATTTTTTGGTTAATATCTCAAATACTTTAATGAGTGTCCTTAGGCTTGGGACAAATTACCTGACTAATTTTGCCCCCCCCCCCCCCCCCCCCCCCGGCCCTTTTTAGGTACTGTATATGTACTTAAAAAAGAGGGCTTCATATTTTTGCAGCTTTGGCGCAGTCAAGAATGTGCTAATTCATGAATACCACTAAGAAATCATTAATAGATATACAATATAGGCAAGGACATGTGAATCGCTTATTCATGATTACACCAACAACTCCATACCCAGTAATTGCACTAAATTTTGAATATGCCAACTTATGTACATGTACAGTAATTTGTACAGCTTTCAAAACAGGTTTTGTTGTTATTTGAAAGAACCTTTCATCATTTAATTAATTGTAATAATACATCTGTCTTCTAGGAGATGCAATCACAGCTATGATGAGTGAATCAACAACAGTTTCAAGTGTTAGTAAGCAGTCATATGTAGTAGGTGGAGGCCTTACTACTGTAGGTACAAAGTTACTTGGGATGAAACTGGCGTGTATGACCATTGGGGATTTGGAAGCACTACTACATCTGAAGAACATTGATCCTTTGAAAGTATTTGAACTGATGAAAAGCATACAAGACTTGGCAAAAGCTCTTGTGAGTAATATTTTCACAGTATTGCAGACCAGATTAAAAAAGAGAATCTTAAGTTTTAAAGTTTTTGTCTTAGCATTAAATAAGGAAATTGTCTTCTTTCCTCTATTTTAGTACTCAGAATTCATAAGCAAGGTATTTAGTGATGATGACAGCATATTTAAGAACTTTGACTTGGTGCTTAAAGGAGATTTCAGTCTTCCCAAAAAGCAGGATCAATTACTTTCAATTGAAAGAATATTTTTTGTTGGAGGATTTATTACAATGAAATTTGGTGAGTGAACATTTGTGGTGTTTAAATAGGTTTGCAGAAAGTTTTTTTTTTGCGTAAGGCCAAATGACAAAAATATGTTTGGTCCCTAGTATTTTAAACTCTGACACAAAACTTTTAACCAACCTGAGCTTTTCCATCAATTTTTTTCTTTTTCTCTTGTGACATCATACCTTGTTGAAAACTCCTCAACAAATGCAAGAACTGTAGTGTTACATGTTGAAAGAAATTTATTTGTGAACACAATTAATATTATACTCATAGTAAACAAGGTTTTATGAGATTTTGATGACAAGAAACTTTACCTGTAATCATCATCATTAAGATTTCTTTGTACTGTACAAAAATACATACAATTTATCCTAATATTGCTTATTTTTGAACTGAAAATAACTTTTTTTATCCTTTATTATTTTGCTCATAGGATTTGGAGTAGACTATTACTTTGGTGTAAAGTTTATAGTTGGAGCTAAGGTACTGGAAATGAAGGGATTTGTAGAGGTAGAACCTTTTGGAGGCCTGGCTGTATGGGGAGAGCTGGGCATAGGATATGTACTGTATGGTAAACTAAAACTTGTCGGATATATAATGGACACAGGTTTTCCAACAAAAGCTGAAGTTACTTTCAATAAGTTTCCACTAGACGTTAGGTAAATTGTTTGTTTTAAGAAAATGTTAAATGAAATGAATCCATTTTTCTTTAAACAAAATAATGCCTGACCATGCATACTATATCAATATTTCTAAGTAGTATCAATCTTATGATGAGGGAATGAGTTTGTAACAGCTTATAAAATTTCTTTATAAATGTTACATTATCTTCTGATAAAAAAATATTGTACATGTATTTTGCTAATTTCCTGCATGATTTTTTCTGCTAACATATTGGTCTTGTTTCAATTTTTACTCTAAAAAGGCAATACATGTATTAATTTCTTTTTAAATATTTTAGATTGCAGATGTATTTAAGACTCAGGCCTGTAAAATTAAGACTGTATGGACTTGTTACTCTTGAAGTTGATCTTATATTTGCAAAAATAAAGAAAACACTGTATAAGAAAAGACTGTGGGAGTTTGAAACACCAATAATAAGGAAAAAACTGATTGATAATTACAAAGCAGAGGAGGATAAAACACCACCAAAATTAGAGAGCTTTGGGGTATGTTGTAAATTAGAGAGCTTTGGGGGTATGTCTTGTACAACTGATTCACTGATTCTTAAATTGAATAAAATGCTGCAATAAAAGCTACTAGATCCCGACCTTTATAAAGTAAATCCCATGTATGATATACAATTTATAAAAAAATATTGGTCAAAGATAGGCCTTATGCTATACCCCTGGCTTTGGTGTCGGAGTTAGCATCAGCGTCCCGGTTAATGTTTTAAGAGCAGGTCCATTCCCAAGTAACTATAAGCCCTACCTGGAGCAAACTTGCAAGGATGATGCATCTAGGGATGGACACTACCAGACTTGCTTCGGATGCTGGATCTGACCAACAATTGTCAGATGAGTGACCAGGTTAAAGTTTTTGGAGCAGGTCCATTTCCAAATAACTAAAATCCCTACCCAGACTAAACTTTCATGGATGATGCATCTAGGGATGGACACTACCAGACTTGCCTCGGATGCTGGATTTGACCAACATTTTCCAGATGAGTGACCAGGTTAAACTTTTTAGAGCAGGTCCATTCCCAAACAACTAAAAGCCCTACCCAGACTAAACTTGCATGGATGATGCATCTAGGGATGGACACTACCAGACTTGCTTTGGATGCTGGATGTGACCTACATTTTCCAGATGAGCGACCAGGTTATTCCCAATAATCTATAAGCCCTACCTGGACCAAACTTGCATGGATGATTCATCTAAGGATGGACAATGGAAACTTGCTTCGGATGCTGGATCTTGACATAAATTTTCAAAACGAGTGACCAGGTCAAAGTTTTTGGAACAGATTAATCTTCAATGTACTTTAAGACCTATTTAAACAGAACTTGCTTGATTATTGTTGTCAGGATAAATACTAACTGTTAAGAAAATATGATGTAAGCATTACTTAAACTGATAACATTTGTAGAGGTGAGCTTTGTAATCTTGTATTACATATGTTTTGACAAATGGGAAAGTTTGGCATGAATTTTACCAGTGTACTACATATCATTTGTGGTTATTAGTAATATGCAACTAATTTGTCAGTTAATACAAGTATAAGTCATTAAAAAACATGCATACATTTAAGGTTAACTAAAGATATTTTATCCTTAGCAGGATAATAATGATAATTTGAATTTTGGCAGGGGACAACTCCATCTGGATCCTGTGGTGTTGTACAAGTAGCAGGTAGAGATCACACAGAACCTGAATTTATCATCAATGTTATGGCAGAGGATGACAGAAGTAATGTTAATCTACACTTAGTCATTGGAACAGTACCTGGTGCTTCTGATGTTATGTCCAAAACGCAGCTAGGGGGGTTTTCTACTGCACTGAATAATGTAAGAATTATTTAAAAAAAAAAAAATAAAATATGAACAAAACTACGGTAACCATGATTTAAGGGCATGTCAGTGGTAGTTTTGAACTTTCTTGTCAAACTGTAAAATTGATATTTTCGAAAGGTCAAATTTTCATGGTTTGAGGAAGATACATACCTTTAAAACAACAAAAAATTAACCTACCCACTAAAATAAGTGATTTCACATTATTTCCTGTACAATTTTAGAGGTCCAATAATTGAAGGATCTTTGTGTGATTTTTAGCTCTTCTAAGCCAACTTAAACAGCAAATGCTATGACTAATTGTGCAATTGCAAAATTCTTTTAGAATGTGGGCCAAATCTCAAGAACTATTTGGTCTATTTTTGTCAAATCTCTTGCTTATACTTAAACTATAGCGAGGGACTTGACCCTTAAACAAGAGGAAATAATCAGGAAAACAAAAATGAAAGACATAGTTACTGAAAAATATTCATAAGAACCACTGTGCAGAGATCACCAATATTTCTTAAAGGAAATGTTGTAGATTTGAAATTGTTCAAGGCATCATCCTAGGGCAGAGAACCATCAAAGATTATCAGTTGATGCATCTTGTGTCAACTGAAAAGTTGGTTAAGTACATGACTTACTTTTGAAAATTTATGGGTATACACATGTATTGACATATTTCAGATACTAATTGGCTTATAATTTACCAAACTGTTTCCATTTTTTAACTTTATACAACTGAAAAGTAGGTCACAGAGACCTACTTTTGAAAATTTATGGTCATATTTTAGATACTCTGTTCTATGTAAAATAAATAATTGCAGCTTGGCTGTTCTTGAACAGATTTTTTTCAAAATGATTCCTATATATTCTTTAGTAAAACTTTGGCCCTTTTTTGCCCCCCTCCCCTCCCAACTGCTTGAGGACATTATTTGAGCAAACTTGATTCTACAAGATTTTAAAAGGTATTTCCTACAGTATGCTGTTAACTTTGACACCTTGTTTTGGTCATGTGCTACCCCCAGAAATTATGATTAGAGGAAAGAGGAAAAATTTAATCTAACAACTTGAGGATACTTCTATTAAAGTATGGATTAATATCTGGCTTATTGTACATTGAATGTCTTTTATTTCAAGATTTTGAAACCAACTGGAGTTCCTTTATACTTCACTGTCCATGTGTCAAATGAGGCAGGAGTGAGTGTTCCAGCTTCCTGTAAACTAGACACGTATGACATGACAATACCAGGAGGGAGGATGGCAGAGGCCTTTACCTCCACCAGTAATCCCAGTGTTCTGAAGGCAGTAGTCACAGTGTATGAAGACTCACCCCTCAAACACACCAAAGTAGCTGTGGGGTATGGCAAGAACACATGGGGAGAGCAGATTGTCAGATGGACAACTGTCTCATTAGCTGCCAACACTGTTAACTATGATGTGGGTATGGAGCTTCTTTGTTAGGACATAATATAATGTTAATGGTCATTGCTGATTAAACCCATGTAATGGTTTTCCTTATACCATACAAGTAGAATTTTTAGCGAGGATTTAATTTTGGCATTATAAGTGAGGATGCCAAGATCTCTAAAATTGAAAATTGCTAAAATTTAGTTGTATCTTACCGGTATTTGTAATAGCTTCTCAAATGAGCTTTTTCAAATCGCTAATATTACATCTTGCTAAAAATAATATACCAATTTTTAAGGACAAATCGCTAAATTTGCATCTCACTAAAAATTTCCACTGGTACAGTATTTTGTGACTTGTTGAATAAAATGAGATCTGATCAAATTTACCCATAGTATCTCCATTGTCTTAGTTTCTTTAGTTTTAGAGAGGTATCTTTGAATCTAATCAAAATTAATGGCTTTTAATAGTCAGAGCATATTTGACTACAGAAGATTTTCTGTTTGATTTTATTTCTAAAATTCTGTCATTGTAGATCAAATTTTAATTTGTTTTATATTATTGCAGGTAATGATCCATTGAATCAGAAAATAATGAGCATCTTTTCAAATGGGATATCTGGCCGTCTTGTTGGAGTAGGAATAAAAGTTGGAGAATATCGAAAACTAACAACAGTGGAGGAGTGTGCCGTCCAGTGCAACAAAATGCTTGCAACAAAGTGTCTGAGTTTTAACTATGATTTTGATGCAGGCAGTTGTGAACTTCTGGAGGCTATTGAGGGGCATGACCATAAAGTATCTGTGGTAAAGATTGTCTTAAATATTTCATTGCCCCTCAGTCTTTTTATATGTCCTTCTTGAGATGGAACATAATACATGTAGTGGTAGTATGTTTTGGCATTCATGTTTATCTGTCTGTCTGTCTGTCTGTTAGCTTTTTCGTGTCAATATAGCATTTTAATCATTAAAAAAATGCAACAAAGACCCAGATGAGCATTTGATAAGCTCTTATGCAACCAGTTGGGAAATGAATGATGTATTTTTTGTTAAAATTAATACTTACACTACAGGAGATGTATGTATATGTTATCAAACATTATAAGGAATGGAAAATCATTGTATAAGGCTGACATGATTTTCTTCCTTGCACTGCTCTTAACTCAATTAACTTTATACTATGATAATTGAAAAATGTTTGAAGGACTTATCATGAACTGTGGTTGGGTACTTTATATTATTTGTATTTTACATTAATGACTAAGAATGTGGAAAAGTTCATTCAAAAACCTTGTCTTTAGGCCAAATAAATTTCATGTATACAGGTAACTTTGTTACTATTGGAAAATCTGGAGATATCAAGGGTCTGAGGATATCAATGTTGTGTCTAAACATCCAAGATATCATTGCATAGCAATATGATATACATATACATGTATTGTTATTTGATATTGTTCAACAATTATATTTATGAAATGGGTTTTCTCTTTTGCTAGGATGGTAACTACATGCATTTTGAAAGGCTTGGAGTTGGGTCTAACAAGGGATTTGAATTTACCAATCTACAGCTGACTCACGACCATCTCATCTACTTTAATTTCCATGTTGTGAATACTTTAGGATATCAAAACATCCTGTCGTCAAAGCCAATCCTTGTTGACTTGACACCACCGAACCCAACTATTTGTATGTATTATAGAAATATCTAAGATTCTGATTTGTTTAAGATGTGATTGGTTGCATGCTTGCAATATGTTATATTTATATATTTACATTTGCAAATGTTTTCCTTTATATAACAGTATTCTGAAAGCAATGAGTTGACGCAATTTCTTGGTCAAGGTCCATTCCATGGATTACATATATGCTGTTGAGTTTGAAAAAAAAAACATTTCACACATTAACAGTCATAATCAGGCAATTATATAAAATATGAATGTCACAAATGTAAATAAAGGTAATAATTAAGGTATCATTTTTAAACATGGGCTATAGATGTCTTTATTTGTATGGTTATAGATAAGCATTGCTTTCAGTAGTGATATATTAGTAGGGAAACATTATAAAGGGAGAGAGAGAAAATATTATACAGTGTACATGTAAGTATCATATAACATAATTGTTATTCTAGCCCAAATAAACATCACTAGTGACATACTAGAAGTTCAGCCATGTAATACCATCATTCCGGGTGACAGAAGAGACTGGAGGAGGAGATGTGTAGGAGTGAATCCAAGGATGAAAAATCATCGCATCATCATAGATGGAGATGGATCTGAAACAGTTTACAATGGTCATGAGCCAAAAACAGATCTGAAATACACCAGAGCAAACAGATATATATCAGGTCTTTATAGTATGGTTTACTTATCTATGAAAGTTGGAGTGATCAAAGTTCGCATTATTTTAGCCATAAAAGGATGAGCTGATAAATGAATAATTATAAAAATAATAATAAAGAAATAAATATGATCAATGCTTATGAGAATATAATTAGAATTGAATTTATTCACATTTCATAAAAAGATTTTTTTTTAATACCCTATTTTATAGACATCATTATGTTTTCTGATCAGTGGTTCTAAGTTTGCAGTTCATTTCAGCTAACTGGGATGGTATCTATGACAACGAGACAGGAATTCTGGGATACTCAGTGACAGCTGGGGAGTCAATCTGTGAGGAGAAAATAAAGGAGCATCACGATCCTCATGCTCACCTGTTTGACCAGTCACAGTGGACACACAGTGTCATGATGACTGATTTAGAAGAACCTTTTACCATTTTGCCAGGTTTATATGAAATTTGTTTTTTGTTGCAAAAGTCTTATTTCAGATTTTTGAAATGTTTCCAAAACACGGCATGTGTTAGTTGTATTTTAAGATTGAATTTGCTGTAGAAATTTATTGTGAGTGGATTTTTGTAGATGGACCATACTTCATCACAGTAAGAGCTATAAACAAAGTGGAATATGGGGGTCCTCTGGTCACAAGCTTCTGCCATTCTTCCAAATATGTTGTAGACAATAGTCCTCCCTTTGTCTATGAAGTCTACAATGTCCTGTATGATGAGGATGTTTTCAACCTTACTCTACTTCATAATTCATCGTAAGTCTCAACACTTTATCTTTACAATTCTGAATTGTATTTTTAGTATAACTGCACAAAAAAATCAATAGATCTCTTCTTATAAGCAGAATTTTACTTAATGTATTTTCTCAGTTACTCAGTTTTAAAGAACCTATTCAAAATATTTTTATCAACTTCATATGCTAAAACATACTGAGAGCTATTCAACTGCATTTTGATCTTGACCTCATTTTTTGTGTAGTGTTAAGCCCAGTTCTTAGAAACCCATTTAAGATATTTTTTTCAAACTTCATTTGCTGATACATACTGATGAGAGCTGTTACTTGTGTCATGACCTTCTAAATACACTATGATTTATGATGCTGTGACATTGACCTTGAAGTTTGACCTAATTAAAGAATTATTACTTTGAATTGACCATCACTTTTGAATAAAAAGAGCTGGGGCTTTCATATTACACTTGTATATTTATTGTGATAAGACCTTCTAAATATACTATGACCCTGTGACATTGACCTTGAAAATTGACCTTCTTTAAACATTACTATGAATTGACCATAACTTTTGAATGAGATGAGATAGGGCTTTCATATTAAAAATGTGTATTGCCTGTGACAAGACCTTTCTAAATACACTATGATTTTTCATATTGTGACCTTGACCTTAAGTTTGACCTACTTTTCAAAAACCTTAACCTTGGCCATGACTTTTGAATGAGAAGAGATAGGGCTTTTATATTAAAGCTCTGTATTGCCTGTGACAAGACCTTTCTAAATAACCTATGATTTTTCATCTTGAAAGCTTGAAGTTTGACCAACTTTTTAGAAATGTTAATTTTTCCTTTTAAATGCTTTTTAATAGTGATCCAGATTCTGGTTTGATGAGAAATGACTTGTGTCTTGGAAGGACTACCAGGGACTGTGATGAAATGAAATGGGTTGCAATGACATATAGTCCCAGTATCACATATTTCAAGCAAATGACAGAAGGCGTACCCATCTGGGTCAAAGTCAAGGCAGTTAATAATGGTATATTTATTAACATTCACTAGAACTCTATATATAAATAAAAAATAAATACAAGATTGAAAAGAAAGAAGCATGTATGTGCAAAGTTGACAACCTAAACTTCACTTTCGTCCATAATGTTACATTTTTACTGTATTGTAAAATGTATTTTCCTTACTTTCACTGAACATGGGGGGTATTAGTTTGGATCTCTTCGTTCATCTGCCTGTATTTATTCTTTCTCCGTCTGCAACATTTTTCCAGTTCTTCTTTTTTTCCTGAAGCATGAGACACATTTTCTCCGCTTTTTACAGTGGACTTGCGTACTATTGGAGTGTGTGACTCCCCCGTAATTATTGACAGAACACCACCAGTGCCAGGCAATGTGAATGATGGAGAGGTTCATGGTGTTGACCTAAACTACACCAAATATCCAAATAAGGTTTATCAACATCATCTAGCATAAAAATATAAAGTATACAACTATCAAGTACTTTTTTAGATACGGCAAACTTTAAATAAGCACATGAACACAGGTTCAAAGTTTATAATCTCCAAATTTATTTTTGGCAGAATTTTGTGACCAAAAGCAATGCAAAAGAATTTCAAACTTGCAGGTGTACATTACTGTTTAGAAATTTCATTTTTGTAAACATTACCACCAACAAATTTCAGAAATGCTTTTTGTTACATTTTCCTGTTTTTACATTATCCTTAATGTATCCTTCATTATTATTCAAGGAAAGTATTCATTGTGATGTTTTTCAATAAAAGATTAAAAACTTTAATCAACAAAAAAGCTTTTAAAAAATATTAGAATGCAAAAAACTATGTGGTCAGAGTGATTATATATCAGCAAAGCAATCACAGCTAGTAAAATGTAATCATTAGCTTTAATTTTGACAATGTCTACAAACACAGGTATTTGGTACAAGGATTTGTAGGAATCCCATTGTTATTGAGTTAATAAGAATTTTCCTGTACATGTATTTTTGAATCCTCTAAATTGAGGTTTATTTCAAATGAAATTAAAAGAAATTCAAAATAAAAAAAAAACAAAAATTGCTACAACAGACCTTAAAATGTATTTCAGATTTGCTCAAACTGGCAGAATTTCTATGATCCCCAATCAGGAATTGCCATGTATATGGTTGGTGTAGGTGCCTCTCCCAATGAGACAGATATTGCCAACCTTACTCAATTTTCAAGCAAGATACATGTTGCATGTGTGGAATTGGAGCCAGGAAGATACCTAGAGCACAACAAGAAATATTTCTCAATTGTGTATGCATACAATGGAGGACACAAGCAATCTAATGTTTCTGCCACATCAGATGGAGGTTTGCAGAGCTTTTTGTATTCCTATGCATGTTTCATCTCCTTTTCTTCTTCTTTTTCATATTTTAGCACATAAACGTTTCACTCATTTACAGTACTGGTTGACTTGACAAAGCCTATTCCTGGAGAGGTCATTGATGGAAAGCTTTCAGAATTCAAAGACATGGAGTTTACCACAAGTCAAGCCAGAGTTGATCTTCAGTGGAGAAGTTACTTTGATCCTGAGTCCAACATAAGTCACTACGATGTACAAGTTTTGAGAGCTAAGTATGACATTAAATTTATGGCTTGTATTCATAAATTACCAATTCTTCTGAGCCAAAGGTTCAAAGAGCTAATGCGATGGTTATTTGTGTGATATGCAGTGTTTGTCAACATTACAGAATATGGGCCATATATCAAGAATCCCTAGGCCCAAGGGATCTCATTTATATTAAAACTGAGGATGTGGTTATTTAACAAGGAGAGATGATAAGGAAAATAAAAATGAAAGTACTGGTTGCTAAAAATCTGTTTCTGAAGAAGCACTGGGCAGATTATCACCAAACTTGCGTACAACAAGATGTGTCTGTGAGACACTGATGCCTCCATATGGCAGCTTATGGTGAGGGTTGAATTCTCTCAAATGCATGCCAAAATCCAAAGGTCAAAAGTGTTGGTACCCAAAAGAAGGTCTTGAATAAACATGTGAAGTATGAAAGCCCTAGCTCCAACTTTTCAAAAGTTATGGCCAAGGTTAAAATGTGGAATTTTTGTTGTTGTTGTAAAAGTTGGTTTAGCTCCAAGGTCAAGAGGTCAAATTTTATGGTACCCAAAGAAAGGTCTTGTTACAAGGAATGCACCTGTGAAATATGAAGGTCATAGCCTTACCCACTCATTAGGTATGGGCTAGGTTAAAGTTGACAACAGACAGACAGAAAAACAAAGAGAAGGGACAAAAACAATATATCCCTAGGATCTTTCAATATAGGGGCATAAAAATGAGGATATGTTGTTGATTAAAAATGTTTCAAAGCATAACCCTGAGGCAAAAACATTTTCTTAATATGATTATATACTTCAAAGTTATGTGGTTAAAATTTCGATATTTCTCTCATGATAAAGACAAGGATTATCAAATATTGTCAGTTGATGCATTTAGGTCATCATAATATCATGGTGACTCAAAATTAGGTCCAATTGATGTACATTTTGAATTTTCTCAGAGATTTGTTTTCAATTAATTTACAGGCATATTTTGGATCATCAAACTGTCATTTGATGCATCTTCGGGCATTTGATGCATCTTGGGTCCACAGAGGGCATCATCTAAAAAGTAGGTCACCATGACCTACTTTTGCAATTTTATGCTAATATGTAAATATTTCAGGTTCTAATTGGCTTAGAATCGTCAATCTTTGTCAGTTGATGTATTTTGATTCCTGTGAATGCATCAAATTAAAAAAGTTACTAAGTCACGGTGAAATACTTGTAGGATTTCAAGGCAATATCTAAAAAAATATTTTAAAAAAGCTTAAAATCATCAAAACTTTGTCAGTTTATGCATTTGGGGTATTTAAGAATGTTTACCAAAAAGTGGGTCCATGTGACCTACTCTTGAAATCTAATGGCTACCTGGTAAATCTGAAATTAAGATATTTAAGGTCATTGGATCATGAAACTTTGTCATTTGCTGCATCATGGTTTTTCTGGGTGTTTCTGAAAAAGACAGGATGCTTCCAGGCTTCAAATAGAAGTGATAGATTGTACAATTTATCAGCATAGGCACTTGGTCTTAGGATGGTGTATTATGTGTTTTTCTAGGTGTTTCTGAATACCCTAATCAAAACAAAAATTCGCTGAAATTAGCATGTTTTTAAAATGTCATATTTACTGTATATAAAAAAAGTGCTAATTTCAGGGGATTTTTATTTTAATTAGGGTATTCAGACACACCTAGAGAAGCACATAAAACACAAAATACACCATCCTGAAACCAAGTGCCTATGTTTATCAGAAGAGCGATTCAAGGCCCTTTGGCCTCTACTATTATTTTCCTTTTTTAAAAAAAATGCTTTTACATACATTCTTATAGCTTATTAAAATTTACATTGTTTCAGGAATATGACACATGATTATGAAGTTATCAGGGATTGGGCAAAATTTGAGGCTTCTTCATCCAATGGAAAATGGTTGAATTTTCACAACCACCACAAAGACAGGATAAAAACCTCTCTTAGAACCACAAATAAAGCCCTTAATGAAATTGTGAACAGTACAGATGGATTTGTTGTTGATTTAACTCCTCCACAGCTTCATTACTTATGGGATGGAGTTCAGAGCAAAGATAGAGAGTTCCAGGTAGTATAAACTTTTTTTTGCAACATTGAAGTAATATCCCTTAGAAAATGACTGTGTCACCACAACAAATTTGAGAAGTTGAATTACCTGAGAAGAATCAGTTAAGTCAAAGAATTTGAAACAGTATGAAAAGTAATGAAATCGAAATTTTAGATCACCTCGATTAAATCGAGATAAGCTTTTGCTATACTCCTGGTTAAAGTTTCAGAAGCAAGTCCATTCCCAAGTAACTATAAGCCCTTCCTAAACCAAACTTTCATGGATGCTGCATGGACTCTACTGGACTTGCTTTGGATGCTGGATCTGACTTACATTTTCCAGATGAGTGACAAGTTCAAAGTTTTTGAATCAGGTCTATTCCCAAGGAACTATAAGCCCTAGACCTGCATCTAGGGATGGACACTGTTAGACTTGCTTCGGATGCTGGATCTGACCTTTATCATCCAGATGAGTGACCAGCTTAAAGTTTTTTGGAGCAGGTCCATTCCCAAGGAACTATTAGCCCTACCAAAATCAAACTTGCATGGATGATGCATTTAGGGATGGACACTATCAGACTTGCTTCAGTTGCTGGATCTGACCAACATTTTCCAGATTAGTGACCAGGTTAAAGTTTTTGGAGCAGGTCCATTCCCAAGTAACTATAAGTCCTACTCAAACCAAACTTGCATGGATGATGCATCTAGGTATGGACACTACCAGACTTGCATTTGATGCTGGATCTGACCTACATTTTCATTCCGAAGTAACTACATGTATAAGCCCTACCCAGACCAAATTTACATGGATGATGCATCTTGGGATGGACTCTACCAGACTTGCTTGATGCTGGATCTGACCTTCAATTTCCAGATGAGTGACCAGGTTAAAGGTTTTGGAGCAGGTCCATTCCCGAGTAACTTTACACCCTACAAGGACTAATGTTGCATGGATGATGCATCTAGGAACGAACAATTGTGACTTGCTTTGGATGCTGGATCTCAGGTTTAAGTTTTTAGAACAGGTCAATCCCCAATGAACTTTAAGTCCTAGACATCTGCAAAGTAACAAAGTAATGAATATTTGTTTACACTATACAATTACATGTTTTTCACACCAGATACATTGAAATGTGTATATGCCATGGAAGGGGTTAAACAGAATTTGTATGAATATTGTTGTCAGGATAAATACGAACTTTTAAAAAAATATAATGTGATATTTGCATTACTCAAACTGATAACATTCGTCAAGGTGAGCTTTTTAATCTTTGATTACCTATGTTGGTATTTGGAACACTGAAACATGTATCTCAAGAATATTGTTCAGGGGTTGTCCCTTAGAATTGAAAAAGTAGGGGGCATTTAAAATCTTAAAGGGTGTCCGGGGGTTCCTCCACAAATGGGGAGTATAGGAGGAATACCAAAATATCTGGGGGATTGCATCATTAAAGGCAGGGGAATTCCAGGGTCTTAGGGACAACCTTGTTTATTTTGAACTGATTCTGGTCACCATGTGTCTGTCTCATTGTCTCTGTCTACCAATCTAAACTTCTCACATTTTCAACTCAAGGACCACTCTGCCAGTTTTAACCAATTTTTTTTTTTTTTTTTAGTTTTGCTACTTCTAAATTGTTTAATACAGAGCAAAACCCCCTCTAAGGGGATATTATCAAGAAAAGACAAAAATAGTGTCAATCCATTTAAAAATCTTCTTCTCAAACTCGACTGGACTAAAAGAGCTGACACTTTCACTTACGGTAGTTTAGTATGTAAATTGTTCAAATGTTGACCCCCCTGATGATAGGTTGGGGCCGCTTTAGTTATTACATGGGGGAAATTACTAAATCTCATAAAGAGCAAAATTATTAGGAATCATTATGTGGAAGCATATCATCTGATATTGTAAATTAATTTTTGTTCAAATCAATACCCCTGTATGTAGGGTGGGTCTGAAAAGGGGATAGAAAATACAGGGGAATACTTTTATTTTGAGGGAAATTTGATGTAAAACAGCAACCCTACAAAATGACTCAGGAGAGTGTTGTTACCAATGGGCCTTGTTTAAAGTATTGAAGAACCCTATTAATATATGCAATTTTATTCTTTGCACTTCTTTGTTTCAGTTTGAGACTGACAGATTATCAGTATCTTTTAAATACTCTGATAAGGAATCGGGAGTGGACCACATAAAATTGCAAATCTATGAGGCTTATCATGGAACACTAAGACAAAAATATCCAGGTATGTAATTTTTTTTTTAAAGGAGTACTGTGGAATCATTTTCATTTATGGGAACTGATTTCTTTGAGTATATATGTAAAACTAAGGCCACACCAATAAAAATTTTTGTTCGTCGGACCCGTGGGCTCGTATTTAAACAAAACTATACAAATAATATTAATTTAAAATTCCTGCACAATGGGAATTCTGTGCTGTTTTCTGTTGCATTTCCGCTCTATTTATCGTAATTTTAATCTACTTGCTCTGCAAAATCAGAAAAAATATAATTATCAGCTCAAATTTTTTCAGGCCCCACCAAGAGATTTTGCCTACAATAAAGTAATAATATTATTATTTAACCGCTAGCCTGCTCATACTTTATTCATCACAAGAAATTACTGTAGACGTACTTATTTCCACGGGTTCATAATTCAGCGGAATCTCAATTTTCTTTTAATCCGCGGGTTGAAAATTACACAGATTTCTCATACTCTCACTAAATGCCTTGCATTTATATTAAATACGCTTGGACAAATTTTCACGGAAAATTTATGACCGCGTTTATAGCGTAAATTAATACCACGCGGAAAAAAGTACTTCTACAGTAAATTGGTGTGGCCTAAGTTGGTTTGTGGGGATGTAATTTAGTGGGTAACTTGCATATTCAGAAGATTCAATGAAGAATTGATGTTTCTTCAGAACATGATAAAATATTGAATATTTAACTAAAAGACAATTTTTTTTAAAAATTCAGCAATTCACAATGAATGGAAAGACCTGCCTACTGGAAATATGACCACCTTCACATGGACGGGCCTCACATTGAGGAATGGAGCAAGATACACCATGAGAGTAGGAGCCCTCAACCATGCTGGATTCCTGGCCTCCTTTGAGACAAATGGCATTGTCATTGACACTTCTCCGCCCAAAGTAAGATTGCTGAAATTTGTCAAGATTAAAGAAAGCTTTCAAACTTTTCTGCCCCAAAAAGACTTGCACATACAGTGTGGTCTCATTACTATATACAGACTTGTTTACCATGTTATGAGTCCCTGAGACACATTTAAAAGTTGTAATATTTTAGGTTCTTTGGTTAAATGTGGGAGTAATTGGTGATGTCAAAGAGCAGAGGATAGATGGCCATGTCTGGCAGGCTGATAAGAATGGAATTCAAGCTTCTTGGCTGTGTAGTGACCCAGAATCTGGAATCTTGGACTTTGAAATTGCTGTTGGAACTACTCCAGGTCAACTTTACCTTTTGTTTTTTTTTTTTAATAAAATTTATTTGATTTTATTTTTAATGTGATAAGGAGGGGTTGGGTTGTGATTTTCTTGAAAGATTACGATGTTTATTTGTACTCTTTAGCTGAGCTAATGCCAAAAAGAAGGCTTAAAATATTATTTTCTCATAGTCACTGCTTATCTGGTACCCAAGGTTAAAGTTTTTAGAGCATTTTCTATTTTCCTAATAATTGTTCATACCCATTCTTTGATATACATAATTATTGTGATTGGCATGGATGATGCATTTAGGGATGCACATTGGTCATGCTTTTGATGTTGCATCTGACTCATATTTTTAAAGATGATTAACCAGGTCAAATTTTTATAGCAGGTGGGTTTCCAAATGATATGTCCTGTATATTCAAGAAATAAAGTCTGCATTTTCGTGAATGTTGCAGAATAACCTCCTCGGTCTCGAAATGTTGCTTGAAGATAAAAGCCGACGCGTTAGCCGAGGCTTTTATATTTCAAACAACATTCCGAGACTGAGGAGGTTATTCTGCATCATTCATGACAACAAGGACTTTATTTCTATTCTACCATGTATACTACAATCCCTTAATTACGAATAATCTTTTCCTCTATAGAGAAACGAATTAGGTCACCATGTCTCGATTACACTGTTTCATTTAACACTAGAGGTAAAATTTGTTTGCTTACCTGTGTATAGAATGCAGACAATTTGTGCTTTCGTTACTTTAAAAATAGCCTTTTTAAATTACAAATTTGTTCGTAATATGTATTGATCAGTTAAAATGAATATACAATAAGAAAATCATGTTCCTGTTTTACTGCTAAAATCCATTGTTTAATGTGTAGGGAGGTCCGTGGAATAGCTCCGCTTATAGCTATAAAAACGACATTCATCAGCAACTTGATGCAATTTACAGTGTTTATACTGCAAAAGACGACACATCGATGTGGTCTAAAGAAGTATTTCATTCTACAGATAAACATGCATTTGAATTGTTCAGATTTGATACATGTTTCTGATCTGATAGTTTTTTGATGATGTTCGTGATTTATTGGAGAATAATATCTGCCGGTTTCCTTTGATCTTTACAATAATCGTGGTAGAATTTCAGATATTTGATGAAAGGTCTACAGTGTTGACCTTTCATGCCACAAGTAAATCTTGTTGATCATCCATGATGTAGATAACATTCATAATGGTGAGTTTCTTGTTCTATAATTACCCTTTTATTGTAGGAGGAAGTGATACTCTGCCATGGAAGTCTGTGGGAACAGAGAGTCATCAGTATATCAGTGTACTCAATCTAGAACTGACCAATCAGACCACAAGATCTCCTGTGTACTACCTATCTCTGAGGGCCAGGAATGGAGCTGGGCTCATCAACTCCCCTCCTAGGGTTTCTACTCCTATTATTGTGGTAGAAGAAGACAAAGCTGGTAGTCATTTGTAGTCATTTAAAAAAATAATTGAATTATTTTTCATTTTCTTTAAAATTGAACTTTATTTTCCCACTTTTAAGGATTTTCAGAAATTATTGAATATATTTCAATTTTTTTCAGGTATAGTAGTGGATGGTCCTGATAGTGTGGACCAGACAGTGATGAAGAAACAAGCTGTCAACATCACATCAGACATTGACTACCAGCTGGACTCCTCCACTGTGTCTGTCCAGTTTACTGGCTTTGAGAGTTCCCTTCATGGAGTCATGCATTTCGAGGTGGCAGTTGGTACAGAACCCAGTGGAGATGATGTGCTCCCATTCACAGCAGCCAACATTGTTCATATGGAGGAAACAGATGTTACTGGGCATGGTAAGAATTTCAATTAGTTTTGAGATATTGAATCTTCATATTTATCTTATAATGGAGGATCAAGAGGAATTATTTTGTATTATCTGACCAAACATTTGGGAAGAATTATGAAAATAATGATGCCTTAAATTTTATCCATATTCATTTGAATGATGATAATTTCATAGTCAACTGCTATGTGCCTGTCTATTAATACTCAAACTTTCAAATATTGATATAGATTGTGCTTTTATTTTGTTCTGCATATATTTACTAGAACTAAATGATTTTCTTGACTACAGGTTTAACAAGTTCTGGATATGTTCAAATAAATTTACCTCTTGAAGCAAACAAAACATATTACTCAACAGTAAGAGGTGTCACAAATGGTGGAAATACATTAGAAACAAGTTCAGATGGGTTTACTATAGATCAGACTCCGCCCATTGTAGAAATTGACAGGTAAAAGAATGATAGGTTGTGACTAGCATTTGGACTTTAAATTAAGAGATTCTTAAAAAGGTTTTCTATTATATTTTATATATTTTTTTAGACTTGGAGATAAAGCCTCACAAGAGATGGACATATCAAACGGAGGGTTGATATATAAAATGACAGAAGATTCCTTGTCAGCAATGTGGCATTATAATGAATCAGAATCTCAAATTGTAAGGGCTTGGTACTCTGTAGGAACCTATCCATTCGGTCAGGATATTACTAAACAACAATTTATACCAGTATCCCAGATGCTGTCAAGTTTTCTTGCCAACAATGAAATCATACCAGATGTTAAAGGTATTTAATTTTCCTCAATGAATTGGTTTTGATTAATAGGGAAAAGAGCTGTTCTGTTAAAAAGCAAGTATGTTCTTATATTTGATTAAGCTTGCTATAATTTTAAAAAAAATGTAGTTTACTTAGTCACTTGAATTCCACTGGTGATTATTGCTATCTGTTCTTATGCATCATCTGTAGGCTTTCAAATTATTTAGCCTCTCAAAAAATTAAACCATTAAAAAAAAATTGATATAATAGTACCAAATCTTTATGGACAAAAAGAATAAGCAGAAAAAATAATTTTCTATTCATACTCTTTCTTGGTCCTGATAGATTGGAGCAAATAAACCAGATTTCTTGAAATGCTTTTGATAATTGGAAATCTTGTAGCAAAACTGTTTCCTTGAAAATAAGTGCAGCAAAGAGCAGAGCAACACCATTGTAAAGGAGCACATTGATCCCAATATAAATTAATTACACACACACAAACAAACATGGTACCATAAAATCTTGAAAATAAGACGGATTTAATAATAAGCCGGTTTTGAAAATAAGCCACCTATTTCTTGCATTAAAAATTACTCGAAAATAAGCCGGTGATGACAATGCCATTTAGGAAAGATGTTAAACGTTTGACGATTTCCTCGTCTTAAAAATTTGACGAGTGAAAACTGTGTTGATATTTTTACTGTGCCGATTAAAAATGAGTTATCTTTCTTGAATTCATTAAAACTTTCCCAATTTCTGCATACGACAAAGTACGAACGAGTACGAGTATCAAGGACATAACACAAACTAAGTCTGTAGCTACTAATGTACTTATGTAAAATTACTAATAAAGGGTAGTTTTTAAAGTTAAATTTTTTTTTACCAGTAAGCATTTTATGCTGGCTAAAAAAATGTCATTGCGGAACCAGCTAACATTGTGTATTTTTTTCATGAAATTGTCAGAACAATAATTATCTCATCTAGACCTGAACTAGCTAACAATGTATTTAAAGTTGTTATAATTAAATAAGTAAATGGATAAAAGGAGGTCTTTGTTTGTAAAGCATTTAACTGTCAGGTAATACTGCCCGAGGCAGGAAACCTGCTAATCGACAGGGCTTGGTAGTAATTATATTTCAATGTACCGTATACATGTAATTGAGTTGTTTAGATATGTGTTTGTTTGATAAATGTATTGAAAATAAACCATGATTGTGCTCTCTTCTCTTACCAGTTTTTTGCATTGATAATAAGCCGCAATTTGAAAATAAGCCGGTTTTGAAAATAAGCCCCCAATTTCTTACCAAAACTTAAAATAAGCCGTGGCTTATTTTCAAGATTTTAGGGTATATTTCTCTTCCAACTTTATTGATTTGAGTAATAATCACATAGCTCTCTACCTACTCATGAAAATCTTTATTTATTTCTGGACATTTTGCATGCCAATTTTATGCATGCATGCATAGTGGTACATGTAGTATGCCATGTGCCCTTTATTTGGTTTATGAGTGTTTGAAATGCTTGTGGCCAGACACTGGACTTGCTTGATTATTTAACATGCAATTTTTTTATGTCCCGCCATGAATATGGCCGGGGCATATAGTGTTTGTCATGTCCGTCTTCCGTCCTTCCGTCCTTCCGTCACACTTTGCGTTTAGCTCTGTTCAAAGCTAAGTTTTAAAGAAACTATCCAAGATATTTTCATCAAACTTCATATGCTGATAGATATTGATAAGAGCTGTGGTTCATCTAGGGATGAACACTACCAGACTTGCTTCGGATGCTGGATCTGACCGACATTTTCAAGACGAGTGACCAGGTAAAAGTTTTAGGAACAGGTCCATTCATAAGGAACTATAAGCCCTACTTGGACCAAACTTGCATGGATGATGCATCTAGGGATGGACACTACCTGACTTGCTTCGGATGCTGGATCTGACCTACATTTTCCAGATGAGTGACCAGGTTAAAGTTTTTAGAGCAGGTCCATTCCTAAGGAACTATAAGCCCTACTTGGACCAAACTTACATGGATGATGCATCTAGGGATGGACACTACCAGACTTGCTTCGGATGCTGAATCTGACGTATATTTTCATTCCCAAGTAACTTTAAGCCCAACCTGAACCAAACTTGCATGGATGATGCATCTAGGGATGGTCACTACCAGACTTGCTTCGGATGCTGGATCTGACCTATATTTTCATTTCCAAGTAACTATAAGCCCTACCTGAACCAAACTTACATGGATGATGCATCTAGGGATGGACATTACCAGACTTGCTTCGGATGCTGGATCTGACCTATATTTTCATTCCCAAGTATCTATAAGCCCTACCTGAACCAAACTATAAGTCTTACCTGAACCAAACTTACATGAATGATGCATCTAGGGATGGACACTACCAAACTTGCTTCGGATGCTGGATCTGACCTATATTTTCATTCCCAAGTAACTATAAGTCCTACCTGAACCAAACTTACATGGATGATGCATCTAGGGATGGACATTACCAGACTTGCTTCGGATGCTGGATCTGACCTATATTTTCATTCCCAAGTATCTATAAGCCCTACCTGAACCAAACTTGCATGGATGATGCATCTAGGGATGGACACTACCAGACTTGCTTCGGATGCTGGATCTGACCTTATATTTTTATTCCCAAGTAACTATAAGCCCTACCTGAACCAAACTTTCATGAATGATGCATCTAGGGATGGACACTACCAGACTTGCTTCGGATGCTGGATCTGACCTATATTTTCATTCCCAAGTAACTATAAGCCCTACCTTAACCAAAATTGCATGGATGATGCATCTAGGGATGGAAACCACCAAACTTGCTTCGGATGCTGAATCTGACCTATATTTTCATTCCTTAGTAACTATAAGTCCTACCTGAACCAAACTTGCATGGATGATGCATCTAGGGATGGACACTACCTGACTTGCTTCGGATGCTGAATCTGACCTATATTTTCATTCCTTAGTAGCTATAAGTCTTACCTGAACCAAACTTACATGAATGATGCATCTAGGGATGGACACTACCTGACTTGCTTCGGATGCTGAATCTGACCTATATTTTCATTCCCAAGTAACTATAAGTCCTACCTGAACCAAACTTGCATGGATGATGCATCTAGGGATGGACATTACCAGACTTGCTTCGGATGCTGGATCTGACCTATATTTTCATTCTCAAGTATCTATAAGCCCTACCTGAACCAAACTTGCATGGATGATGCATCTAGGGATGGACACTACCAGACATGCTTCGGATGCTGGATCTGACCTATATTTTCCAAACAAGCAATTCAGCTGCATCACTATTCTGGATATACTGATCAAATTTTATACACATACAAATTTTCTTGTTGCTTTATTGATATATCCTCGGCGGGGCATTCATGTCCTATGGACATATTTCTAGTTTTTCTTCTGCCGTGACCATCAAGTAAGAAGCCTCATAAATATGGAAGCAAACATTGAGTCTTCGACAAATAATTAGTGTCATATGAGTCCAGAGTTTGGTGCTTAGAGTTGTTCAAATCAAGGGAAACTCCATCGTCGGAAACCCAAAGCAGGTGGTCTTGTCTTTAATTATCACCCATGGGCAAACTCACTGAAAAATCTTCGCATGTAATTAAATATGCGTGGGTCATTTGATAGGCTGCTGCAGAGAGTCATGATGACACACAACAAAATACAGTTCACGTTACAGTAACATATGTATGTTCAACTATTCTGAAAACTCATTCTGTAGTTAACACACCAATTGCTAATAAATCTACTCTCTGACGGCATTTTGCAGTTAGAAATAGGTACTCCTATACAATTTATCACTGGTATTAATGTCAGTTACCTGTATGAATAGACTTTAACCATCATAAATCAAACTTCACACATTTTAACGGGCGTCAAAATATTTACCACAATTAGCAAACTAATAACATTTTTTTTTTAAATTGAAGAGTTCCAACTTTCTGATTGGTTGACTAATATAAACAACAAATTAGCATATTTTACCGCGATATTTCAGCTTGTTGCTTACAGGTGTTGAGTAAAGATGAGATCACCTGTGGGTATCCGACAATGGGGAATCTCATGATACTTAAGTGACTGCCATTGGCTCATGGGCCTTTTGTTGACATAACATCTTTCACAATAAAGGATAAATCAGGCAGTGAATATAATAAATTGTTATGCCTTGGTCCTTTCCAGTTGTCATTCTGTTCTTCAATTACATTAAAACTCTCAAACTTGCTTTAGATGCTGGATTTGACTTAAATTTTCTGGATGAGTGAGTAATTTAAGTTTTCAGATAAGTCCATTCCCAAGTAAATTAATGCAAGGTCTATCAGATTAAAATTGCATAAATGTAAAACTAGGAATGCACACTACTAGATTATTATTTTAAAGTTGGATGTTAATTGCCTTAAAGAAACATTTGATGAGGAGAAATCTGTAATCTTTGATTTCCCATATTATTTTAGTCTTCTGGACTTGAACTGCATGTCATTGGGGCCATTCATATCAATTATTTGTTTTAAGGGAAACCTAACATCATTAGTACATGGGCAGAAAACTCTGTAGGCCTGGTCAGCAAAGTTGAAGCAGGAACAATGGTCATTGACACGACGGCACCAAAGGCTGGAACAGTCAATTGTCCTGCTTTTATACATGTAAGTAGTGAAGATTTTGAAGAAGGACATTATTATTCATGCAGACACTTGGAGGGGTAATACCAAAATATTTGGTGTCCTTGAAAATGCATATTGGGTGAAGTGTAAGCCAAGCCGCATATGCATTATTTCAAGGACTTCATACATGTATATTTTTGTGTTATTGGTACTCCTCTGTCTGCATAACAAAATTTATCCTAGCTGTCAAAGATTTTGTAATTAAGTTCATTTTCTTTTGAGTTTAAAGCAAACCATTTTATAAAAATTATTTACTGTGTACTTGACATTGTTTGATATGTGACATCAGTTATGATTGGCTTTTTGCGTGTTCAAATATAAAGAACATATTTAACATGGCACAGTGGGGGCATATAATTGATTTGATGTGTAGTGGGTAGGTCACATGAAGGGGGCATTTTAACAATGTAATGATAGTAGGCAGCATAATATCATTAAATACAGTTTTCTTCTTGACCAATAAAATATCAAGATTTTTATCAGAGGCAGAATAATCATCTTGTTTTGAAAACATATGCCTTTGTCCAGATAATAATCAGTATCCTGTTTATTTACATTTGAAATAAGTATTACAAGGGGGAAAATCTACTGAAAATCAGCAGGGCCAATTAGTTACTCAGGTGAGTATTGTGGCCCATGGACCTTTTTGTTCATCAATTTGTACAATGTATGAACAAATTTTAGTCTTCAGTTCCCGTGGTGTGTACCTGGACAGGATTCGTGGATACAGAGTCACCAATTAAAGAATACAGAATCATGATGGGGCATTCAAAGGGAGACAACTCTATATTCTCTATGGGTGTAGTTCCGGGTCATATTCAGACTTTCACTATACAAGGTACATATAAAGCTTATAACAAAGTGCAAGGGATATGATTTTACTTTGTTATAAGCTTCATTTGTTGTATGTGTTAGATTGTGAAATCACTTATTTTCGTGGTGGTTTAATTTTGTGGTTTTCAAGGTATGAAGAGATTGACCCAAGATTTTATGTCCACCACAAAATGCAATTTTTCACATAATTATATATACTACTGAGCAATTCTTCAACCACAAAATCAAATCCCCATGAACCAATGAATTTTCCTCAAACCACGAAAATTTGACTCCTTGAAAATATGTGATTTTACAGTATATTTTGGTGTGTAGTTGTGATAATAAAGTTGTGTTTTTGTATAGATACAATGAACCAGAAACAAAAGATATGAAATTGCTAATATTGTCATTTTTTTGTAGAAATATTAATCAATCATTACTTTCACAGGCGTTGGAGAGATAGTGGAGCATAATGCAAAGTACTACGTTACGGTGACAGCAGTGAACATGGTTGACATGACTGAGAATGCTTTCTCTGATCCTATTGGGGTGGATCTAACTCCTCCCCAGAAAGGAATGGTGGTAGACCTTCACTCTGTGTACAGGATTGATGCTTCTAGCACAGACAACACTGTGGCCATGAATGCCAAGATCTGTCTGACAGAAGATGGTAGCTTGGTTTAACTTTATAATCTGAAGTGGTTTCTTAAATGAAATTATATGCAGACAAGTTTCTAAAATCAACCAGAAACATGATGCTCTAGCTAGCCCAATCAGATTGACTGTTCTATTTTTGAAGGAAATAATACAATGTATATATATCTTAAAAACTTTTTCCTTTGTTGTAGAATGCAAGACTTTGGATGCAGTATGTTCAGAATCCTTGACCTCTCTTTCTGTCACTTGGATTCCATTCACTGACTTGGAGTCCAGCATTGTGGAGTATGTTCATCTTTAAAAGTCATTTGCAAGTTTTTTTTTTTGACCTAACTACAATTGTAGTTCTAATGTTAATGCTTTTCAGGTATCAGGTAGCTGTTGGAACTAGCCCTGGAGGGGGGCAGGTGAAAACATTTTATAGAATTCCAAAGAGCAGTAAACATCATACAGTTACTGGACTCAATTTGAATGGATACAGACAGGTACTGATACAACAATCAATTGCTTTTACAGTATATCCTTGTATATAGTATATGCCAGTATCTTGATTATTCATTAAAATGTGTTGCATCATAATGATGATCAGAAGAAATTAAGGTACAGTGAAAACTGTCTAATCCGACACCTGAATAATCTGTCGCCACACTGTGAATTCCGACGTTAAATCTTTCTTTCCCATTTCAGTATTTTCATTGTTTTTAACACTGTGCAATCCGACACCCTGTCTATTCCAACACAAAATTTGTCTCCTAGAGCATGTCGGATTAGACAGGTTTCACTGTACAAACACGCAGCTGTACAATTTAGCAAGTGTCTTGAAAAAGTATGCACAATTGCAAAATAGAGAATTAATTTTTGGAGAGAGTTAAATTTATTGCAATAAATTAAATATTGAATAAAGTTAAATAAGTTTGGTGCATGATGGCTATACACATGTATTTAAGGAAAAGAGTTATTTAAAAAAATGTAAGATAGAATTGTAAATAATTTAGAAAGGTGTCTGACTCTCTGTCATTAGAATAAAACTGTTCCATATGATAATCTAAAAAAAGTTGCACATTTAAGTCAATGCAAAGCAGGTACTATTGGAGTTTTATGAAGAGACTTACTTTTACATTCGACGACTGACTTTTACATTTTAAACAGAGACAAACCCCTATTATTAAAATGTAAAAGTCAGCTGTCGAATGTAAAAGTAAGTCTCTTCATAAAACTCCATTGGGAGACTTGATTTTCATCGTTATTTTACACTAAGTTTTGTTAAAGAAGATTGATCTAAGTAAGGACCTTTATACAATAAAGCTTGGTTATAAGCGAAGACCTGTGAATTTAATTCGCTATATCGGTAATTCGTTATATCTGTATAATGAATTCATTTAACCATATATAGCAAATTTGCAATATGCTTATTTTCCTTCAAGTATTACTACCAATATGTTAGGGAAGCAAATATTGCAAAACATACCTTCAATAACTATGGTTTTATTATGAATTGAAATTATATACAAATGCTAAACGAAAATAAAGTCAGTTCATTTTATCAAATTTGAGATCTTTGAAAATTTGTTATAAAAGATGTAAATTTCATTATATTTAACCTCAATGGGACTCAGAATCAGTTCCGTATATATCTGTAGATTTGTTGTATCGGAGTTCATTTTAACAGTAAAATTTTACAAAGATTTGTGAAGAATTTTGCCGGGAACTCGGAAAAACTTCACTATATCCGTGAATTTGCTACATCAGTGTTCGTACTAAACGAGTTTTACTGTATCAATTTCAGACTTTTCTTAATGTCTTGATTTTAATCTATTATATCTTGCTTACAGCTATTTGTATCAGTAAAAGGGATAAATGGAGCAGGATTGAGCAGTGTGTCTACATCAAATGGGGTTTATATATCCTATCTTAGCCAAGGGAGGCCTCCACTGGTTCCCATTGGAGTCATGGACATGACTGATGGAGAGGATGTGGACATGTAACTTTTTTCTTTCCTTGATTTCCTTTTTCTTCATTTTGTTTTTTTTTTTTTTTTTTGCTGCTTCAAATCATTTCAAAAATGTTCTTGCCTATAATTTGTAGAGATTTCCAGACAAGTCCCAATACAATACAGGCAGGATGGGATATGTCAGGTGACCCCTGTCCAGTTGTGAAATATGAGTGGGCCATCAGAAGAATTGATGGACTGGAAGTCTCCAGTTTCTTGGATATGGGATGTGAGGACCTTTTTTGTGTTTCTGAAAATAAAAAAAAAAATTTTCTCTAAGGATTAAACTTTAAAGTTTTGGAAAAATCAACCTTAAATACATAATTGCATAAATGTAAAATGTGCCTTTTATTATTTTATTTTGTTTTGTTTCAAGTGAAAACATCAGGACTGAATGATGGTTTGTTCATGAAGAACTTGGAAACCTACATAAACTTGGTGAGGGTCACCAATGCCTTAGGATTTCAGTACACAATGCGATCTAATGGAGTAACCATCCAAGAAACTCCACTGCTGCCAGGCAAAGTGTATGATGGAGACATTGATGGTTTTGACCTGAATTATCAACCAACAAAATCCTCTGTGTCTGCCAACTGGAATGGATTTGGGCTACCAACAAATGCTATCATTCAAGTTGATGTAGAAAGTGGTTTGTATTTTTGTACTGAAATTTTACTTTTAATTCATGTCAACTTCTGATGTGGAACTTCTGATAATTAATGTTTCCTAGATTGTGGGAACATACCCTGCCTTTCTTTTACAATACATTTTGAATCATATGTACAGTTTTTCTGTTAAAAATAAACATATTTTAATCCTAATCTTTAGAAAAGAAATAGCTCATTTCCCTTGCTTTTGAAGTTCCTTGAATAATTTTGGCATTTTCTGCTTTGGATTATATGATTAAGTTATCCAGACTTGCATAAAACTTGTGAATGTTATTTAATTTCTGTATGCATAGGGAAATTTTTTTACCCAACAGGCAACCCTGGAATACAAATAGACAAGAACAAGCTTGAGGCACAGGATGGAAGCCAACAGGTGGCTTACTACTTAGTGGCACTGGGAACTGACCGCCGCTTCAACAAAACCAGGGACAATGTGGTACCATACACTAATGTGGGAACCAACACCTCAGTGACCTTCTATGACCTTGACCTGACCCCTGGCATTGCTATTTACTACTTCTCTGTGTATGCCATCAGTAAATCTTTTTCCAGGACATTGGTGACATCAAATGGGTTTTATGTGGGATATGATGGTGGAGTAACAGGTAAATGTCACTAAGTTTTAAAATTGGAATCTAACATGAAGTATATTTGCAAGTTAACAAAATGTTGCAAAAATATTGCAACAAATTCAGTTTATGTTTTGAAAAAATCAACTGAAATTTTTCTCTTGTTTAGCTGGGAAAATAATAAGTCCAGGTTTGTGTGTACCCAAAGCAACAGAACTGGAAGTACAGTATGAAGGGTTTACTTCCAAACTTGGTATTTTGATGTTCTACATTGCCATTTCAAACCACACAGAGGCAAATACAACCAACTGTAAAGAATATGTAAGTAGATATATTTATATAATTATTTCTCTTTGAAAATTTTCAGGAAATTAAATTTGATTGTGAATTTAATAGATTGATGGTGGCAATGTACCAGAGCAGGAGAGAAAGGCTTTGTTTTCCATTCTGGATGTGACCAATCAGGGACAGGACACTTACACAAAAGTTACTGGACTGAGGCTGGAACAAGGAAAAACCTTTTATATTTGGGTCATGGGTACATATATAATTTACCCTGAATCTAAACACACATATTATGTTAAATGCTGAACCAAGTTATGTTGCAACAATGTACAATGATATACCTTTAATTATTTCAGGTACTGATAAGTCTGGATCTTGTGAAATGACTTACTCAGAGTTTCTGGTAGACATCACTTCTCCTGAATTGGGAAGCATTAGAACTGGACCCTGGTATAATATGGTATGTATATATTTCAGTTTAAATTTAAAAACATTTCATCTCATTATTGCTAAACTAAGTTTTAAGTTTTGTAATATTGCAGTTAATGGAAAGAAAAATCTACAGGAGGATATTTGAGATTTCAGGATATTAATTACTATGCTACACATTATAATTTTATCTCGTATTATATATTATAATCTAATTATTTTTAAACTTAACCAATGCTTAAAAATTGTCTTCATTTCAATTCTTTCACAATTATAGTGGATGACAAATGTACATGTCTTTATCCTACATAAGATGATTAATTTTTCCAGTAAATTACACGTTTTCCCTGTTTACAGAGTGTAGCCTATTCTACAGACAACAGTAGCATAAACGTAACATGGAAAGATTTCAAGGATCTGGAGTCTGGGATTTCTACATTTGAAGTCTCCTTGTGGAGGAACAAGACGTGTTACAGAGACAGTGAGACTGTTCTGGTCAATGATTGGATAACACTCAGTAGTAACTACTCCTTCTATCAGCTGGTGGACCAAGAACTGAAGGTTAAAATCATAGTTTTAACTGCTGATGTATATCTTCTTACTGTTGATATTGTGCAAAAAGGGAAGACTTCATGAATGGGGGCTACCATTGTTAAAACCCAAAAATTCAAAACCATTCTTTATACAGTGAAAATTTAAATTTTGGCTGCAAATTTTGAAATTTAGTTGCCGACTCGGTGTAAAAAAATATAATCATCATAATCTTAATAGTCTAGTCTGGATCTAGAATAATTACTTAGCCAATTTTTCTCTGTAGGAAAGTGTGCCCTATTTTGTGAAGTTAAAAGTGACAAACTGTGCTGGTCTTTATGTAATAGTGCAGTCTCCACCAGTATTTTTGACTAAATTTTACTGGGAGAAAAACTAAAGGAGTTGTAAAAAAGATGGGAAGAATTTTGACCAGGATCAACTATGGTTCTCTGACCCAAACTCTGTTGATGGTAAATGTCAATGTGAACATTAAAAAAAAAATTTAACATTTCAGCAGAAGTTACCTCATATATTTATATTGTTTTTCAAAAGTCATAAGCACTAGGGCTTTTTCTCTTGGTGCAAGATAGATGACATCTAGACTTGGTCATTTTCGGTTCATAAAATTTGTTACTCAAGTACATTCATGATTTATTTGCTAGATCATAAATGGTCAACAGGGACAAACATTTCCAAAAAACTGTGGTTATAGTAACCAGAAAAAGGTTTTATAATATCATTTAGGTTTTTAACCATATGAAATACTATTATTTTGTTTTTAGTTGTACTTAAAATGTGTAAATTATTTGCTTGTTTTATATTTTATTTTACAATAGGAACCTTCCTGCATTTTGCCAATCCAAATTTCTACAACACACTTGTCCAAATCGTGAGATATCAATGAAAGACACAGGATGGAAACAACTAAATAAACTTGGAATGTTAGACCCAGATGGGGAAGTGTGGAGAATTAAGTATGAGGACAAATATGTGATACCAGCTCCTGTTGAGGACAAAGTGGACCTCAAGTTGGTCCTCACCAAAGATTCTACCAACAGAGATATCATGGGAGCTGGTGCTGTATACAGAAGGGCAGAGCTCTATAATGGAGGGACATACAAGGTATAGTTAATGTGTAACAAGGCTTAGAGACTGCATTGTCATTGCAAACTGTAAACTTTTACAATAAAATGATGGAATGTTAATTTGCAAATTTTTTTACTGACCAGGTGAGATGTGTCAAGCTGCTGGTCCCAAGGGAGGCTGTGACAAAGATCTGTTTTGGTCACTGACAGAAAAATCCTACCTAAAATTTTCAGTCAAGCACTTCTATTTTGTGAATTGTGGCTGTTGTTATGTTGATCCTGTTCCAGAGGTATATTGATAAGGACAACTTTCAGAGTCTCTTTTTTAATGTGAAAAGATTCAACTCAAAATAAATCTGACAATGCAGTGTTTTTAAATATCAGATTTTCATTAAATAATGTACTATTTGGTAAAGGTTCATATTGTACTGTTTTCCATTGCATGATAGGCATATTTAAATATTCTTCCTTCCTCTTTTCATTTTACAAAAGATGTTAATTTTAAAGTTTAATTACAGTTTAACTTCAATTTCTCAAACTTTGATATCCTTAATATCATGGATATGTTGTAGTGATTGAGTTAAAAAATCAATACAATTTTTGTTTATTTATTGTTATTATATCATCAGATACTTGAAAATTGTTCAATATAATTATGTTTGAGATAACAAGGTTTGACTGTATTTCGATTAAAGCCTTGTTATTTCAAACATAAAAAAAAACATGGAAAACACATATAATTTTGACTTTAGATGTGTGAAGGATGTAATTGCACCAGTTACCTTATGGAACGTGGATATTATTTGAACGAGACTTTCACTACAACTCCAGTCCCAACTACTACAGCTCCAGAAAATATAACCTACCCACCATATGATGTTGTAGATAAACAAGGAACTAGTGTCATTGACAAAGCTGATCCTACAACTAGCATTGCTCAAAATTCTTGTGGAGTCCAGATATATTCAGGTTACTTTTAAAAAATTTAATTTACATTTCTTACATTGTTTTAAATTCAGTATGGATAATAGTGCTATAATATAGTTATATAAATATGCATGTTAGCATGATAAGTAATATTATTTGTTATTTTCAGCAAATACAGAAGCTAATTCCAGTGCCTTCGTTGTGACCTGGTGCAGGTACCATAATGACAGCTATAAATTGAGAAAATTAAGAACTGACATTGATGTAAATCCAAGTCAAAATTTTCATGACTACAGAGTGAACTTTGCAGTGAAAAATGAGGATGCCCAATCTGTAAGTTGACCCATTAATGTATATGCATGTACTTAAAAGGAGGGCTATGTATTTTTAATTAATATGGCTTTGGGGTGAACAATGCATGGTTTACTTTGAAAAGAAAATGCTGTAACAGTTTTATAATATATCTTATTATCCTTCAGAATTATACAGTCAATCTGATTGGTTTAGAGCAGGTCATGTGCAGGGAGACAACTCGTGATGTCTCCCTCACGCGCAGGGTGACAACTGTTATCTCCCTTCAGATGACAATGAAATAGCGTAAGCGAGCATGCAGGGTTACAACTGTGTTGTCGCCCTTTGAATTAAACTACAGTGGTTTAAGCGAGATAACTCCTGTTTATAAGTACAATGGCTAAATATGCGGGATCGGTAAAGAAAAAATTAGAGCAGGTCATGTAAATGAATAAATGAAATGAGTAAATGAATAAACGATGACGTCAAAATTGTCTGTTGACATATTTTGAAAGTATGGAATCGGAGCAGTGTAGAAGAAAACAAGAGGTTTGATTACTATTTTTTACTCTATCTAATTGATAATTGTACTATTTTTTACTCTATCTAATTGATAATTGTACATTCTTCAGGATAATAAAACTATTATGGACTGTTTAGAAAGGAGACATCACCAATTATCAGGTCTGAGTAGGGTTGTCACCCTCGGGCGCAAGCGCCCTCAGGTGACAACCCTTCTCAGACCTGATAATTGGTGATGTCTCCCTTCTAAACAGTCCATAATTGTATATTATGGAGAGTTTAGGATGAGTGTGCTATATTCATCTTCTTTTTCATTATTCAACATATTCAATGTCTACAGTAAAGTAAGTTTTATTCAGGATATTTCTTGGTTTGAGGAAGAGAAATATGTAATTGTATATTATATACTGTAGATCACTAAATTTTCGCGACACCTTATTTTCGCGAGATTGTCATTGACTCTTTGTAAGTGAGACATAATTTTCACGAATTGTTGTTATTCCTCTATATAATCGTAAGGAATACTTTAATATGCGAGAATTTAATTTTAGCGAACACGTTGTCTCGCGTAATTATGCGAAAATAAAGTTCTCGCGAATAAAAAGTGATTTACAGTAAAGCTTACTGATTTTTATTCTCTGTAGATTGTGATGTGCATGATGGTATACATGGATGAGAATTTCCTAAATGAGATCTGTGATGTTCCTCAGCTGTCCACTGATGCTTTGTTGTTCATCCATGTGTTCAAACGACTGAACAAGTTACCAGAACACACAGACAAGTTCAGTGTTTGGTCAGCTAGAGCCTCTGTGTCAGCACTAGAGATGCCACCCCCTGTAGGAACTCCCTGTAGATCAGGTCCACAATTCATCGGATATACTAATCCCATCATGAAATATGAAGCAGGAGTTGGTATAGCACCACTGGGTACAGATATTGTTGAATTCAGAGAGGTAAATCATTAGTACCATAAGTCATATTAATCTAAAATCTTTTCTCTTTATTGAAGATTGCAAATTAATTCAGATAAGAGCCTATAAGGTGTGACCACAATGTAGGTGGATGATGCTCAAATCTTGACTATGCCCTCTTCACATATTAGTATTGTTCATAGGTTATTTTTTTAGCATCAAATATAGTTGTTATCTTTACCATCTACATTATTAAACAATAAAATGCTTTCTTTGATTGTTAGTATGGGAATGTTGCAGCTGTTGCAAAAAAAAAAAAATACATAACCTGCAAAAGGTGTTATGTAATTTTTCTGCAATTATAGCTGCAATCTTAATTCCTATAATAACAAATAAAGAAAACATTTTATTGTGCCTAAGTCAGATTAAGTAGATTATATATTGTAATATTGATGTGTACGTTTTTTAAGTTTCATTGATGTACTAGAAGAGCCACTGCAGAAGAAATATGTTTAGGTGATACATGTATATTGTTAGTGGTTTTTATTTAATGATAAATAAGAGAATATCCAGTGGATTTAAATTTATACATGTAATTTTGAACAATAAAGTATACATAAGATCAGAATTGTAGAGGGCTTTGAAGGGGTAACGTCATTTACATATTCATCAATCAAAAAAGATTTTTTAATTCTGATGATTTTTTTAAAAATTTCACAGATTGATCAGCCTTGTATTCCTTGTACTGGGAATTGCTCTCACTATGTGTGTGATACAAACTGTTTGACTGCACAGACTGTCCAGAAAACATTTGTCCTCACCAATATCAATTTACCCTCCAAGAGGATCACAGTAAATGACACTGGACATCAGACGGAGGAAATTGTAACATACTATCTAACAGGTAGAATTCCCGACTTTAAGCCAATGCTTCAATTGAAATCCAAATATATTTTTATCATGTCTAACCCTAAAAAATTGTGTGTTTTCGACTTTTCGTATTGTGTTACAAACACAGATAAGAAAATCTTACCTTTGGCAAAATGTTATGTTTGACCTGAGAGTGTTACATTAATGTCAAAAAATAATTTGTATTATGTTCAAGTACAAGAAAAATGTGCAGTTTATTTGTCCACAAAGTTTCAACACAATAGAATGCTGGTGTTATACTTACTGTTACAGTAAGTAACATATTTAGGAAAATAATTGTAAGAATTTTCTAAACTAGTGCATAATACCTCTAAACTTTTAATGTTATGTATGAACATGCTCCATTTTAAAAACTTTTTTAAAGAGCAAGAGCCAGGTTGGGCCTTATTTGGCCCTGAGAATTTCCAAAAAATCAAAACCGCTCAGTTTAGGTTGCAAGTGCAGTATATATTACTTGGAGTGTTGGTGACCACGTATCTATTAATTGTGACATAATTTTCCATCTAGTCAATGCATTATGACGTCATAAATTGCGTCATTTTCCTCATATCATGTAAATTCCTTAGAAAATGGACTAAAATTGAAGCATTTTTATGGCGGCGAGCTTTAGCTCGGGGCTCATCTAGCAATGGGGAAAATCTCTGACTGTTCACTGCTTTCTTCATGCGCCAAATAATATAGTTCTTGAACCAAGGCCTTCATGTTTCTGACGTAGGAAAATACATGCCAATTGTTTGTGTTTATTCTATTTAAAAGCACATTCTGAATATGCTTGTTAGTCATTAATATCATTTTGAACTTGTTTGTCTGGCATCAGACAGTACTAGATTTAGCCAAGGCTTGTGGGACAAATCGTTCAGTAGAATTATTGTGATAACTGGATCTTGGAAACTTCATATTATTCTATCATAACCATGGGAATTAATAGAACCATGCTAAACACCCAAACAACCCAAAGCCTTGGACCTAATTATTATCACATTATACATTACACATTACATAACATTTGGCCATTCTGTTATGCATCACTTTCATTCATCTACATCCAGTAAAGCTTTTCAGGTCAACGTTATCAGATTAACTAATAGATGTTTATTTTCACTGCATACAGTCTTTCTGCCTTTAGAATTACACATATTCCTAACTTTGCAGACAAGTGACTAAGTCATGGTTTAAAAATTTCAAGAGAAAGATGATGATAATTGATAAACTTTTTCTGTATTTATAATTAGAAAGATTTTATATCTCATTTATAACAAGTATATTACAATGCATTTTAAAAGAAATACATGTATCATAATTCTCCAAATTCTTCACCAAATAATGTCTAGATTAATTTTGTAAAATGTGTGATATTGATATATATTGGCAAAAATGGGGGGGGGGTCCCTCCTCTTCATGTTTCCTATGGCCATAAAAAAAAGAAAATTGCAAGTAATACAGGATAAGTCTATGTAGAATAAATTCATCTCCAAGTTTTATTTCATGTAGGTAAAACTTGATTGAACTTTTTTTATCAGTCGTATTTGGGCTTAAATAGTCTTGTCCAATGATTCCTTGCACTTCTTATTTGGGTCATGTAACGGCTGTATCCATTTTTAATGCTTTTATTTCATAAATGCCAAAAACAGGGGGGTATTCTAGATATACAACTAAACTCATAAGATTCTGTAGACATATGCATACTTTTAAACATCTTGAAAATCCAAAAATTTCACTGTATCACTGCCATATCTAAAGCGCGACGCCATTGTGGCCCTTCAGGCCTTTGATTTCAATATTTCATATAGAGCACAACCTCTGATCCAAAATATTCAAATACATAATGAAAGCTTTGTTTCTGAAGATCAAAAAACATGTTTTATTTTTTAGATCGTGGGCTGTGCTCATAATTTAATTCTTTGCTGAAGGTAGTCTAATACGCATGTTTTCTGCAAATTTCAAAACATTGCAATTTCTCAAACCTATTATCCAATATCTGGATTCTCAAAACGAAATTTTATTATAGAAAATGAAAGCACCAAGTGTCTACTTTATTTTGACATATAAAATGGGAAAGAGGGTGATAGTTAATTATTTGATATAAGTACAGGGCCATTTATGCAGAACTTGGCTCTACCTCTTTTTTCCTTTTAGTTGCTCCATTGATAAATTTGTGAAATTGAGGATAAGAGATTACTACTATGTTAAAATATCTTACAGTGTTGACTAATTTTATATTTGTGTGACTTAATTATAAGTTGTCCTAAATTAGGTGCCAAAGGAAGAATTAGTCAATTCAGAATCTTGTTAAATATTTAACTCAGACTGTACATATAATTATGTTATTACATACAACATGTATTTTTATAGTGAGGGCTGTGACAGGATCAGGAGACACTGCTGTAGCCTCCTCTAATGGTTTCTATGTGGATGACACACCTCCCGTGTTTGACTCAGAAATCATGAGCGGATTCTTCTACTATGATGTAGGACAAGGAGAGAATACACCTGTCAAGTTCCAAAAATCTAATGACACAATTAAGTGTATATGGAAATGTGATGATGATGAAAGTGGAATTGTGGTATGTCAGTTGTCTGTCAATTCATTGGGATGTTTGTAATTGATAACATACGTGTCAAATAAGAATTAAATTCTAGAAACTACACAAATAAGGAATATAAATAACTGTCTTGTTTTTTTTTTTGGGGGGGGGGGGGGGGGTTATGATATGATCAATCAATATGCTCACATGATAATTTGCATAAACGCCAAAAGCATAAGACAGCTGTAGTTTTGCTGCTCTATAACAGGAAAACTTTTGGGCCATTGGAACATCACCAGGAGCAACAAACATTCAAAACTTCACTTCAACTGGTCAGAGTATTATTGGAATCAACAATGAATTGGTTGGAATCCTAGAACATGGCAACACTTATTATGCTAGCTTCATTTGTACCAATGGTGCAGGACTAAATGCAACCTACATTGACACTGAAGGTGAATTTTATTAACTGTTCCCTCTTTCTCTCTTGAAAGAGTTTGTTTAACTTGCACTTGATGCAACTGTGAAATAAAGAACTAATATTACATTGTGTTCAGGTGTGGATGTGAAGCTGATCCCACCAGATGTTGACATGGTGAACACCACTATACCAGGAACCTCTCCCTTCACTGAGGAAGTCTACCCTAAAGATTCCCTCCAGCAACAGGACCCCACCTCTATAGGAGTCACCTTTACCAAGTGTGAAGATCCTTCTGTAAACAGATATGGTAAATGGAATTTCATTTATTTTGACCATGCAGCTAGTGAATTTGAATGAACATAATACTCATTTAAGAAATTTATTGTGAAAAAGTGAGACTGAGATCAAAAGTGAGCTATGGCCCTGAATACAGAAATTATTACAGATTTATTATGATCTTCATTAAGAATTAAATACAAAGAAGTATACAGTAAAACAAATCAATGGGTTTATTGTTTATTGTATTACATGTATACAGTCAAACTTGTCTTAGCGGCCACCCAAAATCAACGGCCACTTGCGGTCAGCGGCCACTTTCAGCTACCCCTGACGATTTTTCCTATATATTTCAACTGGAATAAACGGCCACCTGTGTAACGCGGCCAGCGGCCACTCAAATCCTCCCCCAACAGCCTTTTTGACACTGTAATAGGCGGCCATTTCGTCACTTGCTGCGATTCTATTATGTCTTTTAAACTCATTCGCTTGGGTAATTATATCCCGATAGCCAATTTAACCCAGTTATTAATGCAATTAAATAAATTACTATTGGATACACTGAACTCTTTTTGTGTTTATAAAAAAACCTGTTAGATGAATTTGTAATTATTTTTCAAGATCGCCGATTGAAAAATAAAAAAGAATTTAAATATAATTGATACTTTCCTCTACCTAAAGAAATTCACACCTTTTAGATTTTGGTTCCATGTAGAAACCCTAATTGCTACTCTTGTGAAAACAAAGTGCTTCATGTAACATGATTATCTCGTGAATTTCACAATCAACAGATGATCGATAGGGATTAGTCACGCTCTACTGCATATGACACCTGTGTTATGGAATGATTTTCAACTGCGTCAATACATCTCTCTGGTCAAGTGGTGAATTTTATTTGTGTGTTTGTGTATGTTACATAGAAATTCTGACAGCTTTATAAACAATAAAATTTACCAGACTTTAAAAACTAGTACTTCAGCAAGTAAGTTAATAGCCGATGAATTAAGGGGGGTGGGGTACACTGCTGACCATTTTTGAACATATGCAAGTGAAATTTTTAATGACATATTCTTACTTAATTTTCTATGCTTTATTTTATTTACCACTAAAATGTATTTTTGTGTAATTTTTTTTCTTTATAAGAAAGGATAATAACTAGACACTGTATGTATTTGGTATTTAACTAATATGTAGGAACAGAAACATGCACACAACCTTAAAAAAATTTAATTTTTTAATATATTTTTAATGAGCTTGAATTATTATATATACACATAAAAAGCCTTAGTTTGTTAAATTGGCCTGTTTTATTATTATATTAATTAATTTAACTGTAGTGCTTAATGTTGTTTATTCACTGCCCGAATGTCTTTTTCGAGGGCAAACTGGAATAAGAGGCCACCTGTCTTAAGTGGCCAGTTTCCAGACTTCCCAAAGGTGGCCTCTTAAAACAAGTTTGACTGTATATTAATTTATGTTTCCTCAACTTGATTTATTTCAAAATTTGAATGCATTGGGGCCACATATTTTAAACTCCTTATCCAGAAGTTAAAATTCAAACAAAGATTCTTTGGTTATGAATCCATCATAAATTCCCATAAAATTTGTTCTATGACAGATCTTTGTGTTGGGTCTGAAGAGGAAACAGATGACATCATTCCATGTACATGGGTTGGCTACAATATGTCAGGTTCTGCAGAAATAAAAGATGGTGCTCTTTGGGTAAATGGATTGAAAATAAGAAAGCTGTCAGACCTCAAACCTGTGCAGGACTACAGTGCCAACAGTAGCAATTCCAGAGACAGTTTTACAATGCCAGTGGGTCAGCAGATGTTTGTGACCCTACGATTGTGTAATGAAGCAATGTTGTGTACCAACAAGAGTCTTGGGGTGGTAATCATAACTAACAGTGATTCTGTGGTAGCTACTTCTAAAAATGGTAGTGCTATAGAGGAGAAACTATCAATCACAAGCAGAAAACGAGCAGTAGCAGAGCTGGACATAAGGACTCCAAGTGGTGAGTCTTTCGCTACTGAAAAGGAAAATGTGATGAATCATACACATAAAACAATTTTTTAAAATTGATGTATGTTTTTTCAATAGGGTTAGCTAGTGGTCAGGCCATTGTTGTTACCAAGCTGAGTAACTCTGATCTTGCCAAAAACTACCGTTCAGATGCTTCTATAGATTTTGTATCTTACATACAGAATCCAGCAACATCCATGGACATGGTTGAAAGACTTCTATACAAAAGGTTCATACAAGTTTTAAGTTAAAGAAAAGTATTAACGAATAAGATATTATTTATACATGTAGTGTGTACTTTTTCTCCCCAGGCTCGACCTGGCTTATACTTCACTTAAAGAGTTCTCTTTGGAAATGAAAGCTTTGAGCTTGGTTTCTTGGTCAAGGTTAAGGCAGATGATCTTTTAGTTAACTCCAAATTAACATTTTTTGTGCTTAAACAAGTTTGTCTGTTTCACACTCTAATAAGAGAGTACCTTTGGTTGAGTGTGTGTAGTGTTTAACTGAATCAGAAGTCAAATCAGACAAATTTTACAATTCCCTTGATCATTTTATCCTTGACATTTATTAACAGTGATATCTATTAAGTATAAGACAATGTGTTTTAGGTTTTATGGGCAAATTTTTGCATTCTCCCTGGTACCTCTTGGCAATGTCCCAATGCCAGGTCCAGTCACCATTACATACCCAGACAGTGTGGGTCACGTAACCACAGGAAATAGAACAATGTTACTGCACTGGAACCCAGGTTAGTATGTTTGTGATATCAAATTTAGGTCTATGAGCAATTTTTTTTTCAATTTAAAAAATTTATTATGTCATAAATTATTGTACTTTGTAGTGATGCAGCAGTGGGAGATTTCTAGCAGGACCTGTCAACATCTTCCTCAAGAAGAACAAGAAGTCTATGATGCTACCAAACAAACAATGTCTATCAAGGTGTCTTATTAATTGTGTTGATGGTTTCATTTCGGGGGGCAAAAACAACACTGCAAATAACAAGAAAATAATTAAAGAAATGTGCCTTACTTTAAATGAAACTGAGCTAATGGGGTAACCCTTTAATTTGGTTGGTAGAACATTGCACAATCTCATTTCAACTCAAGCTGAGATAGTACTCAGTTTCTACCACATATATAATGTATTTTGGACCTGAATCTGTTTGCAACAATATCAGTGCCACTTATAAGGCTTAATTGTTTCATGAATTGTTGTAGCCAGTGACTAGCTTAATTGTGATGACAAATGTGTATGTGTTTGTCAGTTACAGTTGGGTTTTAGATATTTTTTCATACATTACTGTAAATAAATGTAGATTTTCAGCATTTCGTGAAATTTGTCTTGATCAGAGAATAATAAGGACAGGGTTCTGAATTTAACTTGAATGTGCATGTAATCCACTGAATTAACAGGCTATTTATTGAATCTAGAGGCATTTTTATCTGTAAGTCATCTTTTATTTATCCCAATCAATTGTTCTCTATACATTCTGCATTTCTTAATAATATAATTGTAGGTTTGTAATACATACTTGATTGATGAAACTGTGAAAGGGAAAGAGAGGAGAAGAAAAAGGGCAGTCTCAGATACCACTACTTATTTTGGAAGAGAAACACTGTTTGCCCTCTCTATAACAAGGGCATCCATCTATAATTCTGCTCCAAAACTAAACTGTCAAACTGATGTTAATGTAATAGAAGATTCAGGTACTAGCAATATCACTATTAATTTTCCTCTCCAATTCTAAGTAATCAATGTGTACTGTTTTAAGTCATGGACAAGTGATGTATCCTTCACATGATTTAAAATAATATAAATGTATTTGAATAGGTATCTTAAACTATCAGCTAACTGCTCTAGATGAGGAAGGGGATGTGATCTTGTTTGCATTACAAAATCAGACTTTGAAAGGAGAGGCACATTTGTCATCAAGTGGATTGTAAGTTCAACAGAATTTCCAAATTTAGATATATTAATGCCCTGCCATGAATCCATATATGGTGGGGGCATCTAGTGTTTGTTTTAATATCTGTTTTCCATTAGTCTGTCCATCACACTTTGTGTTTTGCTCAGTTTCAAAGAAACCGTTGAAGATTTATTAACCAAAACACTAATGTTGAATTTCAGTATGTTAAACATTTTTAGTTTTGATGTCATTTTTGGAGTTGATACATCATAAAAATAAGAAAATGACATTGAAATATGTAAAAAAAATTTCCCAGCTCTTATCAAATTCATTTACTCCAATGGAACGGTTAAAATTTTATCAAATAGTTCTCAGAACTTTTAAAATGCCCCTCGTATTAATTACAGTTTGAAGTACAACCCTTGTCTTGATTGTGTTGGTCAAGAGATGCTTAAAATTGTACTATATGAGAATCAGACCAACCCAGAAATTCCAGCAGCCAGCACAGAGGTTACCATCAACATTCACATTCAGCCCATCAATGATCCTCCAACAGTGTTTTTGACAGTGAATGGTTCATCATTGCTGAACAAAGATCCAACTGAACCAATAATTGTATGTAGTAGACCTCAGAAAATTTTTCTGTGTCTTGAAATACTTAGTAACACTTTAAAAGAACATGCATTAAACACCTAGCTCGTAGAATGCTGTCAACATATTTCCTTGTGTGTTGCTGAATTTGTTTTGTTTTCCTTGCCTCTTGATCTTCAAGGCTATATTGTATTTCTAGGTATTGCTAGAAGCCATCAATGACTTCAATTCTACAAAAGAGGGAATTTGGAAAGCTAGACTTGGTGCCTATGATGTAGAAAAATCTGATACTCTGAATCTGAAGATATCTAACCCTTTGAACTTAAACATTTCCATCTCAGAGGAAAAACATGTCATACCTAAACTTGTTAAGAATTGCAGCATTGAAGAAGAAATAAGTGTAAGTCAAGTGTTATAGATAACAATCTATCTACTTTAACATTCCACAGAAATTTGGGTTTTTCCTAGAAGGTAAAGCTTAAGTAAAGTGCAAAAATAGGAATTTGTTAATTCTTTAAAAAGTACCTGCATGTATGCATCTCTGTTTTTAGCCCACAATGATGCCATGTGCAGAAAACTTCTCACAGAATCTACCACATAGTGAGGACCAACTCAGCTGGTTTACCTGTAATATACAGTTTACACAACCCAAAAATCAGTTTGGAAATTTCACACTTAGTCTCTATTTTGAGGACAGTTCTAATGGAACATCTGTGCCTATAACAATAGCCTTTGGTATTATGGAAATGCCTTGTCACAACAGTGGAACATGTGAAGGTAAAGTGTATCTCTCTCTCTCTTTCTCTCTCTCTCCTGGCAGATGGAATATATGTGTAGCTGGGTGCGTATCATTACCGCTACATTTTCAAAATTTTCGTTACCGCTACAAAGTCATTACCGCTACTAAAAACCTTACGTTGTCGCTACATAAAAAAGTATACATTACCGCTACATTGCCTCTTTCGTTAGCCAGCCACATATGCGTGTACAGTACAACCTATAAATGCATAAGTCCAGGTTCCCCTACTCACCATGGGGAGGTGAAAGTTGAACTTTGAGCAGGATGTTTTAAAATCAATTTTATTTCATAAAACACACACACACACACAAAAATTAAAATCAAGCACTGTTCATAGATAAAACTCTAACTCTATATATATATTTTTTTTCGCTATCGCTAAAGCCTTGAAAGCCATTTGCTTGACATATTGTTGTTTTCTAAAGATATAACCATCGATAAGTAAGCTGACATTCCCTCGATTTGTAACAAACTTCTCAATTGTGACCATAATGTTCAGATGACACTAAATAATCAAATTCGACTGCATAGTTATTTATTTAAATATACTCATTCTGATTAGATAGTGAGTGAATTCTGTTGATTAGAACTCATATACTGAACCATACCTGGCTAAATCAATATGTAGCGGTAATGAGTTGATTTGGGCTGATTCAGTATGTAGTGGTAATGAGTTGTTTTTGGCCGGAAAAATGTAGCGTTAATGATCGGTCGAAAATCTGAAAAAATGTAGCGGTAATGAGTTGAAATTTTTGGCAATGTAGCGGTAATGTTGACCTCCCGTGTAGCTTATCATTTTCTCGGTCAGTTCAGTAAATATAGTGTTATCTATAAATTTTTGATTGATAAATTGTGCAATGATGGACAACAAAAAATGTGTTACATAACTTTTCCTCTCAAACAGCTGTATCAATTTCAGTCAATTTTGTTTATAAGGGACACAGAACAGAATTTAAGAATTCCATGGTCTTTACCTCACTTGAGTCCTAGGATTATATATATAAAGTGAAAACCATTTTTAAGAAAAATTAAATCTTTTCACTTCTGGAGATCAAGCAGTCAAACTTTTGACATGATTACTATATGCAAATACCCTTTATCTAACCCATGATTAATAGCCCCTGGATCCAGTTTTCAAAATAAGATTAAATTGATCAACTTTTGAAAATGCATTATATACATGTATGAATCTTATAAAAGTTTCATCTTGATACTCATAGTTATCTATCAGACAAATTGTTTGCATGGTTACAATGAGTAAAACTTATCTATGTTACAAAATTTTAGGCCAATACATGTTTTGTTGGATTCTAACAAAGTAGAAATATCCATGATATTAAATAGTTCTACAAATTTTGATGTTTTTTTTTTTCTTCCTTACATTGTAGTTATTGGAATCTACCCCTGTAATGACACTCACAGGACCCACAGCTTTGATGCCTACTACAGATGTCAGTGTACCGGAGGATACCAGGGTAGATACTGTACAGAGGACATCAATGAGTGTCTCAGTGACCCGTGTGAACCTCCCTTTGTCTGTTACAACAACAAGAACAGCTACCACTGTGCCTGCCCCTTTGACAACCCTAACTGTGAAATAGTTACATGGATGATAGTCGTCAGTGTGTTCATTGTTGTCATCATCCTGGTACTGATAGGAATAGCTGTCTACAGATACAAGAAGCAGTAAGTTATTGCTTGTACTTTTTAGCTCACCTGAGCCGAAGGCTCAAGTGAGCTTTTCTGAACACATTTTGTCCGTCGTCCATCTAGCTGTCTGTCCATCTGTAAACTTTTCACATTTTCGACTTCTTCTCAAGAACCACTGTGCCAATTTTGACCAAACTTGGTACAAAGCATCCTTGGGTGAAGGGGAATTTATATTGTTAAAATAAAGGACCAAGTCCTCTCACAAGGGGAGATAATCAAGGAAAGAAAAAAATGGGGTGGGGTCATTTAAAAATCTTTTATTCAAGAACCACTGGGCCAGAAAAGCTGAAACTTATGTGGAAGCATCCTAAGGTAGTGTAGATTCTAAATTGTTCAAATCATGACCCCTGAGGGAAGGGTGGGGCCACAATGGGGAATCAAAGTTTTACATAGAAATATAAAGGAAAAATCTTTGAAAATCTTCTTCTCAAGAACCACTGGGCCAGAAAAGCTGAAACTTATGTGGAAGCATCCTGGGGTAGTGTAGATTCTAAATTGTTCAAATCATGACCCCCGGGGGAAGGCGGGGCCACAATGGGGAATCAAAGTTTTACAAAGAAATATATAGGAAAAATCTTTGAAATTCTTCTTCTCAAGAACCACTGGGTTAAAAAAGCTGAAACTTATGTGGAAGCATCCTGGTATAGTGTAGATTCTAAATTGTTCAAATCATGACCCCTGAGGGAAAGGCAGGGCCACAATGGGGAATCAAAGATTTACATAGAAATATATAGGAAAAATCTTTGAAAATCTTCTTCTCAAGAACCACTGGGCCAGAAAAGCTGAAACTTATATGGAAGCATTTTGGGGTCGTGTAGATTCTTAATTGTTCAAATCATGACCCCCCCCCCGGGAAGGGCGGGGCCACAATGGGGAATCAAACTTTTATATTAGAAATATATAGGAAAAACCTTTGAAAATCTTCTCAAGAATCACTGGGCCAGAAAAGCTGAAACTTTTATGGAAGCATTCTGGGGTAGTGTACATGATGTAGATTCTAAATTGTAAAAATCATGACCCCAGGGGGAAGGGCAGGGCCAAAATAGGGAATCAAAGATTTACATAGAAATATATAGGAAAAATCTTTGAAAATTTTCTTCTCAAGAACCACTGGGCCAGAAAAGATGAAACTTAAGTGTACATGGAAGGATCATGGGGTAGTGTAGATTTCAAAATGTCTAAATTATAATCAGTGGGGTAGGGTGGGAATACATTATGTATTACAAGGGGGAAATCTGGTAAAGAACAGAATGGTCAAAGCTTCTCAGGTGAGCGATGTGGCCCATGGGCCTCTTGTTTGATCCTGTAATTCTTATTATCCTTCTATACATATACACAAAAAGGATTTAGTACTTTTAGACCTGCAGTAAATCTCCTTAACTATATACCCTAAAATCTTGAAAATAAGCCGGGACAGCTTATTTTAAGTTTTGGTAAGAAAGTCGGGGCTTATTTTCAAAGACTGGCTTATTTTCAAATTGCGGCTTATTATCAAAGCAAAAAACTGGTAAGAGAAGAGAGCACTCTTGTATTCATTGGCGTTTCCCGGTGTACGTTCTTTAGGATCGTCTAATTTATATTTTGAGAATGCTGATTCCGAAAAATTAATTTCATTTTATAGAGCATATGAATTTACATGAAATATAAACTTGTTTTAAAAAAGTAAAAATAATATATAAGATATCCGCTTGCAATTGAATCACTTGATAAATTAATCAAACAAAAACATATTTAAACATCTTAATTATACGGTACATTGAAATATAATTACTACCAAGCCCTGCCGATCAGCAGGTTTCTTGCCTCGGGCAGTGTTACCTGACAGTTAAATGCTTTACAAACAAAAACTTCCTTTTATCCATTTACTTATTTAATTATTACCACCTTATAACACATCATTAGCTTGTACAGGTCTAGATGAGATAATTATTGTTCTGACAATTTCATGAAAAAAATTCACCATTTTAGCTGGTTCAACAATTAAGTTTTTTTAGCCAGCATAACATGATAACTGGTAAAAAAAATTTAACTTTATAAAACAACTCTTTATCAGTAAAATCTTCAAAGTTTTCACTCCTCAAATTTTTGAGACGAGGAAATCGTCAAACGTTTAACATCTTTCCTAAATGGCATTGTCATGACAGGCTTATTTTCAAAACTGGCTTATTTTCGAGTAATTTTTAATGCAAGAAATAGGTGGCTTATTTTCAAAACTGGCTTATTATTAAATCCGTCTTATTTTCAAGATTTTAGGGTATGTGAGTTTGGTGAGTATTCATTTAATAAACCACAAACCAATTATTTTATTTGTATTAATTTGTAAGGAAATTTCTTCAGTTATGAAAATTAATTGTCACATATTGATTTGAAACTGATGAATCGTGGATAAAAGATGAATTTAGCGAAAAATAGTTGGTTTACAGTGCTTTTATCGCAAATCTACTTTTATGATACAAATGTACTTTCAGCATTTGATTTGTCCAAGTGTAGTAACTAATAATAGTAAATTCATTTTTAGAAAAAGTTCTGCAGAATATATTCCTTCATATGAAAGCGGTGAGTACCTCAATAGAAGCAACATGTTGCATATCAGGCTGCTATTAAAAAGCTACCTTCCTTAAAATAGAGCATAGGTCAATCTCATATACATCCATACATTGTAGAAAATATCAAAGAACTTTATTCGGTAATAACCAATATTTGCCCCCCAAATCAAACCTTTGATGGAGATATATTTAATTAAGTTCTTAAGCAGTGGAGTATGCTGACTTCAAAGCACTGAATATTTATGCCCCCGTAACGAAGTTTCGGGGGTATACAGTTTTTGTCGTGTCCGTCTGTCTGTCTGTCTGTCTCTCTGTCTGTCTCTCTGTTTGTCTGTTTGTCCGCAAAAACTTTAACCTTGTCCATAACTTTTGATTTGGTGGAGCTATGACTTTCATATTTCATATGTATATTCCTTGTGACAAGACCTTTCTTTGGGTACCACCAAATATGACCTTTTGACCTTGGAGTTTGACCCACTTTTACATGAAATTTTTAAACTTTTTCTTTGGCCATATCTTTTTAACAGTAGATACCAGGACATTTATACTTCACATATCTAATGTTTGTTGAAAGACCTTTCATTGGATACCAACAACCTTGACCCTTTGACCTTGACCTTGTAGATTTCTGTACTTGTGAAAAAACTTTAACCTTGGCCATAACTTTTGAACGATAAGTAATAGGACTTTCATACTTCATATAAATAATCCTTGTGAGAAGACCCTTCGTTGGTGTACCACCAAATTTGACCTTTTGACCTTGACCTTGGAGTTTGACCCACTTTTACATGAAAATTTTAAACTTTTACTTTGGCCATATCTTTTGAACAGTAGATACCAGGACATTTATACTTCACATATGTAATGTTTGTTGAAAGACCTTTCATTGGATACCAACAACCTTGACCCTTTGACCTTGACCTTGTAGATTTCCGTACTTGTGAAAAAACTTTAACCTTTGCCATAACTTTTGTAATAGGGCTTTCATACTTCATATATGTAATCCTTGTGAGAAGACCCTTTGTTGGTTACCAAGAACTTAGACCCTCTGACCTTGACCTTTGAGATTGACCTACTTTCAAAAAGCAAACCTTGACCATAACTTTTAAAGAGTTAAGGCTAGTGCTTTCATACTTTACACATTTGATTCTTATGACAAGACCTTTCATTTGATAACAAGAACGTTGACCTTGACCTTGGAGTTTGACCTACTTTTAAAAAAAATGAACGTTGGCCATAACTTTTGAATGGTTAGGACTAGGGCTTTCATGCTCAACATAAGTATTCTATGTGGCAAGACATTTCATTTGATAATAATTACATTAACCTTTTGACCTTGACCTTGGAGATTTTTGTACTTATTTAAAAAAAAACTGTAACATTTGGTTACTTTTAAATTTCACAATTGTTTTCCAGTGAGAATACCCTACTTTTGGTACTATTTAGTTAAATTTGCATTTAAGAAAAGCTTAATCTTTGCTATGTTGCCATACGGGGGCATCAGTGTTTCACAAACACATCTTGTTTCAAAAGTAATGACGTCATATGTACGTAATGACGTCACAAACATGAGGTAAATTTCAGTTTTAAGCTCACCTGAGACGAAGGCTCAAGTGAGCTTTTCTGATCACATTTTGTCCGGCGTCCGTCTGTCTGTCCAGCTGTCCGTCCGTCTGTCTGTCTGTCCGTAAACTTTTCACATTTTCGACTTCTTCTCAAGAACCGCTGGGCCAATTTCAACCAAATTTGCCATAAAGCATCCTTGGGTGAAGGGGATTCAAGTTTGTTCAAATGAAGGGCCACGCCCTCATTTAAGGGGAGATAATTGAGAATTAGTGAAAATTTGGTGGTATGTTTTAAAAATCTTCTTCTCAAGAACCACTGTGCCAGGAAAGATGAAACTTATGGGGAAACATCCTCAGGTAGTGTAGATTCAAGTTTGTTCAAATCATGTCCCCAGGAGGTAGGGTGGGGCCACAATGGCCAACCAAAGTTTTTCATAGAAATATATAGGAAAATTCTTTAAAAATCTTCTTCTCAAGAATGACAAAGCCATAATTCATCAAATTTATTATGAAGCATGCTCAGGTAGTGTAGATTCAAGTTTGTTCAAATCATGACCCCCAGAGGTAGGGCGGGGCCAAAATGGCCGACCAAAGTTTTACATAGAAATATATAGGAAAATTCTTTAAAAATCTTCTTCTCAAGAATGACAAAGCCATAATTCATCATATTTATATGGAAGCATGCTCAGGTAGTGTAGATTCAAATTTGTTCAAATCATGACCCCCAGGGATAGGGCTTGGCCAAAATGGCCGTCCAAAGTTTTACATAGAAATATATAGGAAAATTCTTTAATAATCTTCTTCTCAAGAATGAAAAAGCCATAATTCATCATATTTATATGGAAGCTTGCTCAAGTAGTGTAGATTCAAGTTTGTTCAAATCATGACCCCCGGGGGTAAGGCGGGGCCAAAATGGCCGACCAAAGTTTTACATAGAAATATATAGGAAAATTCTTTAAAAATCATTTTCTAAAAAATAGCAAATCCATGATTGGTCATGTGACTACTTTTGGATTTAAACTTTACAATAAAAAGCCATTTTCTATTTTTCCTACCCTTAGTGCTCAGGTGAGCGATGTGGCCCATGGGCCTCTTGTTTATGAATGTTACAGAAAAATGTACATATTTTGTCGATATTTTGAGTAAAAGTCACCGAGCGCATGTGTGTTCAGGATCAATATTTTGATATCATGTGTAGAATGATAATATCATTGAAATATGTGTCAATATTGTTCCTGAACAAACTTGCGCTCTATAAATTTTAAAGCTAAAATTGTTGAATTTTTGTCCATTTTGTCCCCTTTCTGAAAAAGGATATAAATTTGGACTAGTTTGTGACGTCATAAAAACAAAAATTGTGAATACACTGCTTTGAAACTATAAGATTTTCTGTTAATTTATATTTTTTATACAATTTATTGAATTCAGCACATTTCAGGAAGTTTTCAAGATTTGACTTTTGTGGGGGCAAATATATGCAATATACCGCATATAGTTCTTTTTAAATTCCCCCATATTCACATATACCAGGTATTTTGAGCTTGTACCCCCCCCCCCCCCTTTCTTATTTCTTCTTATAACTTTAACCTATACACCTCTTTCTGTTTCTGTATTCCAATATACAGAACTTAATTGTTATAAATAATGTAACCCTTTCAGCATCTTCCCAATTAAGTCGAGAGTCTCTGATCCACTCAACTCCACATAAACCCTTGACTGAATAGAATAATTTTGACCGGGTTAGAAATGTGTTCTCTGATTGGCCTCATGCAAGTCTGCATAAACCAATCAAAATCATTGTTTTATTTAACCTGAAACTAAATTGAAAACAGAAAAACACATCAGTTTTAGTCTCAATGATAACATTTTTATCATTAAATAGCTGTAGTTTGTCTCAGCTTTTTACCGGTAGTTGAGTTATATTGAAATTATTATGGACCTCCAAAATTATCTCATATTCTCTGTTGAATTCATTTACTCTGATTGGCCAATAGCAGAGGTCAGTAGGGTTCAAAATGTGTAATCTCACTAGATGGCGACAGGCGTGACGGTAAACCCTGTCAAACTTAAAGCCTATTCGGTCAAGGGTTTATGATGAGCAGAGCGGATCAGAAACTCTTGACTTGGGAAGATGCCCTTTCAGTTCTTAGAGCTTGGTTTTGGCTCACCTGAGCTGAAGCCCAAATTAGCTTTTTCTGACCTATACAGGTTTGTGTGAGTTTTTTGTTTGTGCATGTGTAAATCACACCAAGCTTATCACATAAGCAATTATTTCATAAAGTGCACTAAAGCAAAATATGCCTATATGTGCAAGTCATGTGCTTAACACACTTATAATTCACACATAAATTAAACATCCTAATTTTTTTTACATGTCTAAAAGTACCAAATATATTCTCAATGTATGAATTTCACTCTGCTCTATCGTAACATCTCTGCACCCTCATTTTGATCTCACTTTTGCTCAAGTTTCACCATGTATAATTTATATGTAAGTACACATGAATATTGCTTTTAAATAATTTTCATAGGTTGTTATAAAGAAAATCCCAGCAAATATAAATATTAATAATGGTTTTTATTTTCAATAAAAAAACCCAGGTTTATTCTAGTTTATTGCCTTTGCATATATAGTTCCAAGTTCAAATTAAAAGTAAAACCAGTAGAGCTACAGTTGTATTAGAGATTTTTGATTATCCTGCTTATTAATTGGTATCGGATATATTTTGAATTTGGTTACGTAAGAGGTTTCAAGTAGCATTTCTGATAATTATACATATATTGCCGAAATTAATTGCAAGTAAAAAAAAATATTTTTGCTTTATTTCAGAAACAGACCCAGCTGAGAAAATACATGACATGGTATGTTTTTCTTACATGAACTAAGTAGTGAAAACATTGTAAAACTACCCGGTAGTTTTCCAAACATAAACTACACAGATACATACTTATTTTAGCATATCTGCACGTACTTCTGTAAAATACTAAAAGCTGCATCCATGAATTTAAAAGACGTGTATTGTATTTATAATTATTTTTTCTATATTTGAATGCAAAGTTTATAAAGTTATATGCATGTATATCAACATTTGTTAACCCATTTTATTAAGTTAGCAAAGGAATTAAAGGCATTTCATCAAAATTTAACGCAGATTTAGAAAATAGAAGGAAAAATTGACAAAATATTTGGTCATGCATAAAGAAGGCAAAACTTTTTATTTTACATTTATACAGGAACTGCAGCAGCTAGCTGGAGAGGAATATATTGAGTTTGACCTAGATGTTTCTGCCCATGTAAGTAAAAAAAAAATCAATATGACTTAATTCCATTTTAATAGCAAACCATTGAAACTACTATTGGCATGCAGGAACCAATAAAGAATTTTTTTCAGGGATTTGCTCAAATTATGGACAATGATGAATCTGGCTTTGATAATGCTGTTTTTGCTGATGATGAGAATAATGATATCTTAACATTATTTTATTTTAAAAAATAAAATTCAACTAGTTATACAATGTAAATCTATTGGGTCTATTATTGAGAGAGTTGGTTGCTTGATTTATGAAACTGTCATTTTTCATCGTTTGTATTATTTTCTCACGCATGCTGTATCATATGTGTTGTACATAATTTATGTTTGTATTTTCTCTATACTGTTGTGCAGTTTAAGAGAATAAACTATTGAATTGAATGGCCCAAACATGAACAAAGATGATCCTTTTTCACATTTTTCTTCCCTTTCCCTTGTAAGTTTAAATCTGGAATTATTCAAGAATATTTGAGTAAAATCAAAATTAAGTGTGATATTCTGTAAAATCATATATTTTTGTAGGGTCATATTTTCAAGGTTTGAGGGAAAAAAATATTGGTTTGTGGGGATATGATTTCATGAGTAGAAAATGTTTAGTAGTGATCCGATGCATATCAAATTTTACATTTCATGGTGGTCATTAAATTTGTGGGTCTCTTCATACCTCAGAAACAACAAAACCCCCACAAAAATTAGTGATTTCACAGTACGTATCCATAAAATTTGCTTTATATTTTGTTTGACTGTATTCTAAAGTTTCTCAAATTTAATTCATTTCATGATTAAAGCTCCTAGATGCTGCCTTCCTTATGATAATAATTATTGCACTACAGAATTAACAATAGAATGTTTTTCAGGGATTTGCTCAGACTGAGGACACTGGCCAGCCCTCTGCTGAACCCGGTGTTGTCAATGAGGCTTTTTCTAAGGATGAGAATGATGATGGCCCAAACTTGAACAAAGAAGATGATTCACTGTCTACCCCAAGAGATGATCAATCTCCAGTTTATCCTCCATCAGTAAGGGAATTAACAATCATTAAATAGTCTTTATGAAAATTAATTTTTATTACATTAACTGTATTTTATAGCTTTAAAGAAATTTTGACAAGTTCTGGATTCATTTCATGATTAATGCTTCTAGTAATTAGTACCAAAGATATAATGATGTCTGACTGTGCTCTATACTAAGCTTATATAGAATTATCACAAGTCAGTGTGCCCTTGAAATATTTTTACTTTGCATGTGATGTTCAATACTAGTACTCCTTAGAACACTAAAATATGCTTCTAAACGTATTTCAGGAATACAGCCAATCTGATGAAAGCCTGCAGACTTCAATGGTAGACAGGAGTCATTCTCGGAGATAAAGAAAAGTGGCATCAAGTCCAGATTCGATGTCTAGTGTTGTTACTGAAAAAGAATCTGAGTTCTAAATGAATTTCAGCTAATGTGGCCATGAAATACTTTTATAACAATTGTGTAAATGATATGACTGGTCACACAGATGTATAATGTTTTTAATATGTGGACTTTTTTTGTTGTTTGCTTCTTCATATGTAAAGATGCTCAATAAATATAGAAATCTGTGCAGATTATAAGGATGTTTCATTTGCTTCAGTCTGTGTTCTTTTTCTTGTACTCTGATTTCTTTTAAACATTGTGTTTTAATAAACTTAACAATTAAGTCCTTTTGCATAATGATTGTTTTGGTTATTAAGGAAGATGTGCCCTTGCTCATTGTATCTGTATGCTTATATAGTTCATTATATCCATCTCTCACAAGCAGTTAATTTTTCATCATATCTAGACTTTATTTCATTTACCTATGAGTCGCCTGTGTGTCGCAGTGGTTAGAGCATCTGCTCTCAAGTCGTGAAGTAAGTAGTTGATCCTTACTTCTTGGGTTCGAATCCCACTGTGGGATGTGGAGATTGGTCCTGGATGTCACAGTAGGTGGTGGCATGTAAAAGACCCCTCAATGCTCAATGGCCCCCGAGTGCTGAGTATAGGTCAAAATTTGCAGCTCTCCACCGGCAAACATTGGCGTCTCTGTACGAGTGAAAAAATTTCTAGAGGGACGTTGAACAATATATAATAAATCAATCATTCACCTATGAGTACATAATAAATTATCAAAAAACGAGAAATACATGTACAGAATATTATTACATTTTTACCAGTGAAATACTGTAATTTATTCATTGAATAAAAGTGATATCCTGTCACAGTGTGAAAGGATATCAAAATGATATCCTGTCACAGTGTGAAGAATATCAGAATTGCGGGAAAACTCTTGATTTTCCTTCCAATAACAAAGAATGTTGCAAATAATACCCCTTGGTCCATTGGAAAATAAATATACCATTCTGACATAGAATAAAACTGCCAAAAGATTCCAAAATATATTGTTAAAATCCTTGTTCACAACGTTTTCAATCTCACAACACTAAGCTATGACGTCTCAACCGCTCAACTATGACGTCATCTAGCCTATGACTGCATGAGAAAAGACAGAGGAAAAGGGAAAATCAAAGAAAAATGTAATAAATAGAAAAATCAATGTTTTGTAGTTGCACTCGTGAAAATATAAAAAAAAATCCTGTCCCACTCGTGAAATAAATTCCATATTCAACTACAAAACATTGAATATCCTCTATTTATACAATTATGGACCCTTTTGGTGTAAAATAATTGGTTTGTTATTTGCCAGAAAAATATCAATATTGACCAAGGCAAAGCCAGTGCAAGTACTGCACATGCACTGACCCTCTGATGAATATGTCACCAAATCCGATAAATATGTACACAGGCACTTGAAGGATGGACCCCCTCCATTATTTTTCTTTTTAAATCTTGGGTCGACACACCTTTTTTCCTATTTTCGCAGTCTATTTGGCATTACTTGATATCGATAATGTAACTCTTTTGTCTCTAGAAGCCGTTTTTAAATATATTGTTTTCAATAAAAGTTGTTAATATTTTTATGCGCCTGGATCGATAGATCCGGGGCGTATATTGTTTTGACCTGTCTGTCTGTATATCTGTTGTAAACTTTAACCTTCACCATAACTTCTGAACCTTGAGAGATATATTTCATATTTGGTATGCATACTCCACTAATTAAGCTATTTCAAGTGACATTGAGGTCAATGACCTTGTGACCTTGACTGTGACCTTTATGCTAAAAAGAGCTTTTTCGAACTTTATTTTTAGCGACATGTTATTTTAGTGATTTTAAAATGCACATTAAAAGTTCTACTTATACGGTATAGTACATGTACTGTATTCTAAAATTTTAAGTGCATATTAACTATCATTTTATACATGTATTGTGTAAAGTGGGGTCTAAGGTTTCTCTACTTTTTATAAAATTATACCAGAAATGACCCTTATCATATGTATATGATTTTTTCTAATTTCAGGTTGGAATTAAATCTCGATCTACCATCAGCACAAGCCACTTCCTGATCAAGCACAGCGCAGGCCTCTATAGAACAAGTAGGTTCTAAACAGTTGGGTTTTTGAGATGTGATGTTTTGTAAATCAATCAAAACTTTCACTTTCATTTGAATTAATAATTATTGACATATAAGTGTCTCAATGATCAAAGCATTGTTAAGTCATAATGCAATTTACAATTCACAAAGCAGGAAAAGTACTTCACCAACTTTGTATCTACCAGTATAAAATTTATATTTTTTCTCAACAATTGTGTATTGAATTATTCCCTGATATTTGTGGCTGTATAATTTACAAAATTAACTTTAATATGTAGGTACAATTGTTACAGGAGCAGTTTTGTACTTGAAACTCATAAGAGTAAATACAATGCAAAAGTCATTAAAGTATAATATTACATTAAAAGTACAGTATATAAATATTTTTTTTCCCTTTTTCCTAGGATGAGCTTTCACAGAGACTGGCAAATCTACGACAGTTGTAGAACAAGATTGTTGACAAGAGCCGTGAGAGAGAGCCGTAAACTGTGATTACAAAGGCTTCAAATTAGACATACATGTACACCATATTAAAGCATTCGTTCTAAATACTGGCTCATCATAGCTTATTTCAATTTTTCTTCATAAGAAACCCTTAAAGGAGCACTGTTTGTAAAACCAAAATAAATTCCTCCAAATAAGGAAGAACTTGGTTTGTGCGATTGAGAATAGTTATAAGTGTTTTAATTTGCTCGGTTAATAACTTCTTCCTAGTACATGTTTAGTGCGATAATAAGACATTGTATGTGCATACAGTAAAACTTGGTTATAACGAAGTCACTGGGACCTATGAAATATTTCTTCGCTATATTCGTAATTCGTTATATATCCGAATAAGAATAAAGAATTCCTTAAATTTATATAGCTGAGGATCAAAGATAACTTTGCTCTATCCGTAAATTTGCAATACCCTTGTTCGTACTAAACGAGTTTTACTGATTCAGAAATTACATATTTGCCCACCAAGCTATTCATTCAATGTCAAGCAGATTTTAACCGCAGGATACAGTAAATGACTTGGTACTAGGTAAAATTAATGTGTATCAAAGAAAGTTTCCATAACCTTTTCTGTGGTTATTTTCATGAAAGGCAATTAACTTGTTTTTTTAGCTCTACTGGTCAGAGACCAGAAGAGCTTATGCGATAGTAATGCGTCCAGCGTCCGTCTGTCTGTCCGTCTGTCCGTCTGTCTGTAAACAATTTTTCAAAACGCTACTACTCCTACAATTTTAGTCTGATTTCAATATTACTTGGCACACAAGTAGACTACACTAAGATACATCGAATAGTGCATCGGTTTTTGATTTCGATGAACGGTGTTACCATGGTTACTAAAAATAGAATTTTCTGTGAAATTCCTTTAAAACGCTACTCCTTCTACAGTTTTGGTCTGATTTCAATATAACTTGACACGCAAGTAGACTACACTAAGATACATAGAATAGTGCATCGGTTTTTGATTTCGATGAACGGTGTTACCATGGTTACTAAAAATAGAATTTTCTGTGAAATTCCTTTAAAATGCTACTCCTTCTACAGTTTTGGTTAGATATCAATATTACTTGGCACACAAGTAGACTACACTAAGATACATAGAACAGTGCATCAGTTTTTGATTTCGATGAACGGTATTGCCATGGTTACTAAAAATAGAATTCTCTGTGAAATTCTTTTAAAACACTACTCCTTCTACAGTTTTGGTCTGATTTCAATATAACTTGGCACACAAGTAGACTACACTAAGATACATAGAATAGTGCATCGGTTTTTAATTTCGATGAACGGTGTTGCCATGGTTACTAAAAATAGAATTTTCTGTGAAATTCCTTTAAAATGCTACTCCTTCTACAGTTTTGGTCTGATTTCAATATAACTTGGCACACAAGTAGACTATACTAAGATACATAGAATAGTGCATCGGTTTTTGATTTCGATGAACGGTGTTACCATGGTTACTAAAAATAGAATTTTCTGTGAAATTCCTTTAAAATGCTACTCCTTCTACAGTTTTGGACTGATTTCAATATAACTTGGCACACAAGTAGACTACACTAAGATACATAGAATAGTGCATCGGTTTTTGATTTCGATGAACGATGTTACCATGGTTACTAAAAATAGAAATTTCTGTGAAATTCCTTTACAATGCTACTCCTTCTACAGTTTTAGTTTGATTTCAAAATAAGTTGGCACACAAGTAGACTACACAAAGATACATAAAATAGTGCAATGGTTTTTGATAAGTACAAACCAGTAGAGCTACAGTCTCGACAGAGACTTCTGGTTTTTTTATTTCTGTATATATATTGAATTATGTTTTGTGTAGAACAATTTACTGTTGTAGTATTTTGTGAATTTTATGTTTGTTTGAAATGTAGACTTATTCATTCAGGTTTATTTAAAGAGATGAACATTATTAATGATATTGTCCAAATTCTGAATTAAAAAAAATCTATAGGGAAAACATAGTTTGTTATTTTTGTCATTATACATATTTAAAAATATTTCTCAAAATTGCAGTGTACAATGTAATGTATACTTTATTTGGAAATCAAATGTGCACAATACTTAAAAAAATAGAGAGAATATATAATTATACATTGGGCTGAGGTTTATATTATTCAGTCATAACTGAAAGTGTTGCATTGTCGGAATGGGGGGAGGGGGGGAGAAGGGTGAATATGAAAATTCACAAAAAAGACAAAAAAATTTGACTGAAGGCTGAAAATCTACAGGAAAAGTAGCTGTAAAAGACCTATTAAATCTGTAAAATAAGATTTCAACAGAAAATAGGGGGTGTTTAAAAAGTCCTAAAAATGATGAAAGTAAAACAACAATCTGGAACCACAAGTTTTCAAAAGTTTTAAGCGCTATGTATAATCTCGGTGAGGTTTGTAGAGATTAAAAATTTTGGTCTAAAATTTTTAATCTCTACAAAATCCCGCTGAGATTACAATATGTAAAGACCTACAAAAATTAATGAGAGCAATATGAATGCTTCAATAATTTACATCTTTATAAATATTAAAAGTGTATATGTAAATGGTGGCCTGATGTTAAGTTTACGTTTCTTTTTAACCACTGCTCTAGAGGCATCTTTTCTAAAAACGTGGGTGGCCCTTAAAAGGGCCGTGGGGTTTTATTTAGTGAACAGCTGCTCACTTAGCCTTTGTTGCTTTCTTTGCCTTTCTTGGGGAGCTGGGCCTTTTCTTTGCCTTGGATTTGGTCTTCTTGGGCGACTTCCGTGCTTTGGGCTTCTTGGCTGCCTTTGCTTTCTTTGGTGACTTGGCCTTTCTTGCTTTCTTTACTTTCTTAACTGCTGCCTTCTTCTTTGCCTTGGGTTTCTTTGCCTTTGGTTTCTTAGCTTTCTTGGGCTTCTTAGCTGCCTTCTTCTTTGTTTTTTTGGCTGCCTTCTTCTTTGGTGCGGCTACTTTCCCAACCCGGAAACGTCCAGTGGCGCCATGGGCACTAGAACCCTTGGGTCTTACAAGAGCTCCACTTTTCAGTCCCTTAGCAAATGCTGCTTTCATCGACGACGGTAATTGTGTAGCGCTTACCCCTTTGAAATTGGCGAGGATGTATTTCTTGATGGCTTGGGCTGAAGATCCTTTACGATCCTTCATAGCTGTAATGGCAGCGCATACCATGTTCAGGGTCGTCGGATGGGCGGCTTTCTTTGCTGCAGCTCTAGGTTTGGACGCCTTCTTCTTTGGTGACTTCTTGGCCTTCTTTGCTTTCTTTGGCGATCCACTTCGGCTTCGGCTCCTAGACTTGCTTCTGCTTTTACTGCGGCTACGGCTCCGGCTTTTTCGTTTCGCCATTTTTGGGGTAGCTGGGGCTGGTGATTTCTTTGCTACGGCCGGTGATTTCTTTGCTACAACCTTCTTCGGTGCTGCCTTCTTGGGAGAAGTCTTCTTTGGAGATCGACTTCGGCTGCGGCTCCTACTCTTAGACCGTGACTTGGAACGGGAACGAGATCGCGACTTCACCATTTTCAACGAACTGGCTGGAACTCTTGCAAGAACAAGAATGACGCTGGAAACTGATGACGCGGTATTTATTGACACGGCGCGGACGTTGGAGAAAGCTGCTGGTGCCCGGATGCCGATAAGTCATGGCCGTCGAGAAAATTCACAAATTTGTGCTTTCGATGTTACGTTTTCCTGAAAATATCGACATAAAATTGTTTACTTGGATTCCTTTTGGATTATACTCTGATGGATATTATAGTCAGCTATCATTTGAAGATAAAATTGCAAAATTTCCGTGAAAGGTGACTATTAAAACGTGCATCTCAATCAAAAATTTAGATCCGCAAGTCACATGAAAGTTGAATTCAAGCAGTATTACACATCATTATTGTTGTTTAAAGTATGTTTAATGCACTGAAAATTGTAGTACACTTTGTTAGCTTTACAGTGTATCAGCTATTTTAATATAACCATCTTTATTATGATACTTTTACAGCGAAAAACAAACGACTGCTAGGCCTTAAGTTCAGTACAGTGTACGTTACTATAGAATCAAAACAACAAACATCAAAATCGTAAAGAAAATACAAACAACTAAATAATATTTTAAATGATAATTATGGATATTGAATAACTTGAGCAATGAAATCTATATACTTTTTTAAAATGGTGTTAAACTTTTATTTTTACTCAAGAATAAAAAAAAAGATGCAAACACTGAAACAGAAAAAAAAATCTGTATGATACATACAACAGCTTTAACAGATTGCATCGATACATATCACAGCGGCAGAAAAAAATGCGTTTTTCTTTTTTAGTAATCTTCAGGTAGATTTCAATGAATTTTATTGAAAAATCTTCAATATAGGTAATGTAGTTAAATATCCAGACGCCATGAAATCTCAAACAAACAAAAAAATGAAAATTGTGCCGTTTTATTCAGTAGATCTAACTAAAAAGTGATTAGGCTTATTTTTTAAGAGGTGCCCAAAATATTTATTCTATCATTATTTTTTGAAAGTTAAAAGAAAACCTTTAATATCAAGGAAGATTAATAGATCTATGTTTCGTACGTAAGAACACGACGAAGGAAGCCATTTTGTAGATTTTATTCTAAATAAGTAGCCTTGCAAGATTTTACATTACTGAATGATTAGATATATTTCAGACCATTAGGCTATTGCCATTTGTGACAATATAATAGATTTTGAATTTATTTCAATAGGCCCTATTGATTATTTCGTAAAATTGGACACCCATCCACAAAATTAAGATAGGGCCTCGATCCTTTTTTTTTGCATTAGAGCCTAGCCCCCCTCCCCTTCCGAAAACGGGTTTTCATATGTTTCTTATAAAAAATCTCTGCTTCATTTTCATTCTTAAATGCTCGTTTGTTTTCATGTTGCTTTGTTTGTGTTGGTTTAATTTAAATTCCCCTTTTTTTAATCAGAGAGAGAGAGAGAAAGAGAGAGTATTTCTCAAAAAGTCAAGGAATTTTTCAATGGCAAATTGTCTGCTTTTTTAAAGCATTGAGCCTTGGTAAAAATTAGAAATAAATTTGAACCATAAAAAAGAATTCTTAAGCTGAGAGAGAGAGAGAGAGAGAGAGAGAGAGAGAACTAGCAATATATTTTCTCAATAAGTCTAGGAGTTTTTCAATGACAGTGTCTGCTTCAGTTACTTTGATTGGAACTTTATCTCAGGTAGGTTAAAACATTTCCTATTTTGCTTTAATTGTTGTATCTAATATTTTAGGGCTGCATTAAGTCAAAGAATATGCATTGATCATGAGCATTTACTCAATATTAAGAAAGAGCATGCTCTACGTATGTATATTTTCTTAAACAAGGTAAATTATTGACAAACAAGTTGATGAAACAAGAATATCAACATTCTCATTTAAAAACATCATTTCTTAAGTTCTATGGTCGCTACAATGACCTTGTCAGCAAATAAAATCTATCAACAAGTCAATGCTGACTGACGATTTTGATACACATAATTGTTAGGCCATTATTAACACACTGATTTGACAGATTTTTCTGTTAGTTCCCGATCATGAAAAAGAGCACACAGTGGGTGTGAAAGGTCGGCAGGGGGTGCTCACTCCTGCGTGGCACCTGATCCCACCTCTGATGTTTTGGAGGTCAGTGATTACTCTGCTACTATTTTGTATTGTATTTTGGACTTTTGAGCTTGGATACTGCTTGGAATCTGTATATTTTATAGTATTACATAATTTTTTTTTAAATTCTAAGCCTTTGCTTTATGTTGAGGTTGTAATCTGAGGTTAAAAACAAACTTTACAATTATTATATATTTTTTTTAATTCCATACTATGCACAGATTATTTATTAAATTTGTATGGTAATCAGATACATTTTATTTTCAAAAATAAAATATATATACAACAACCTTTGATATCTTGATCAATATATTTAATTAATAAAATTTTACAAACAAATAAGAATGACATGCATCTTCTTTCAAAATAATTCAAAGGCCACACCTATTTAATTTTTTGTTTGTTGGATATCTGGATGAAATATGTATGAGTGGGCAAGTGATAAGATAACAATATTATTACCAATACTTTTTGTAGGCAAAATATTCAGGCAGAACATGTAAAAATTTGATCAGACAGTTATATTTTTCTGTACTTTTTTTCTGATTTAAAGAGTAAGCAGATTTAAATACGGAAATTAGAGTGGAAATAGAACAGAATTTTTCCAGAAATTTAAATGTATTATATATATTATCAATATATACTTTTGTTTAAATGCAAGCACAGGTCCAATCAGCAAAAAATTAAATTGTTGTGGCCTTATGATTACCGTCATTGCAACAAGGATAAGACAATTACTGTAACAACAAAAACATTTACGAGAGAATTAAAATAACGTTTCACAACAGTCATGGTAAAAATTAATTACCAAAGAAAAATACATGTAATTGAAAAAATCATTATTATAAATATGATTTAAGTAAGCAGGAATATTATAATTAAAGGAATGATATTTTGCAAGGAGACATAAATAAGAATTAAGTAAGTAGGAATTATTCAAGGAATGATATTTTGCAAGGAGACAATTATATCCACAGTAGCAAGTTATAAAATTTTTTGGATCAAGTCATTTTTAGCTAGTTGTTTCAGAGAGGGTACAAACAAGCTATTTTTTTAAAAATAGCCTCAACAGAAATTTACCTGATATTTTTCAAAGCAGAACAGTTTGAAATGATTTGTTAACATTTTTCTATATGTTCTGTATGTGAGATTATTTGAGATGTATTTTAGCCTCACCTCTTTAATTTCTGTTTGTGTGCATTCAAAAACATAATGAAAACTTGACATCAGTCTTAAAAGATCACATATAAAAGTGCAAAACATTCATTTTCTAGCAATACCATTTCATTTTCAGTTGGGTGTTAAATTTTTAACAATATACAAACTGACTAGCAACATGTCCTTTTTTGGGTTATTGTAAAATCCATAATGTTCAATCATTGACTGTAGTTGCACAAAAGGATGTAAAAAACTACTATTGTATTTTTTTACCACTATGTATTCGACTATTATAACATCAAAACACACCTAAATCACACATCTAAGGCACATACATGTACGTACATTGTTCAAGTAAATATCTTTAAAAATAAACAGAAATGACAAAGAAAGAAAATTCACTAAAAATTTTCTACTTTAATTATTCAGTTATTTCAAAAGAAAAGATTTACTTCCATCAATCCATTAACTCTTAACTAGTTTGATATATTTTTTTCAAAGTCATCTGTAAATAAAATTTCTCAAGCAGTGGGCTCTTCCTTAATCAGTTAAACATAGAGATCAAAAATAAAAACATACTTCATACAGATTTTTATGATTATTTATAAAGACATGAATATAAAACATAAAATGTCTTTCTTACTTTAATCAGGCCAAAATAAAAAATACCTTTGTTTCCCCTAACGCGACCGACCCAATTAAATCGCGCCGACTGAAAAGATTTTTTAAATAGGATAACTCCAAATTTTTTTTTATTGTCAAAAAAGTTTTATAATGTACAACTTCATCGAAATCGGTTTTTATCAGAACGGCAGACATTGTTCTACTGTGATTTTGAAGCATTTGATGGAAACAAAATAGCGCCCAGATGTGATTACAGAGAAGTAGTTCTTCATAAAACAACGGCAATGTCTCAGTCCTATGCCTTTAGCTAACTAGAATTCTTCACTCTTGAAACAATTTGATAACTAGTGCTAATTGTAACGGGGACCGTTACAGATGTTCCCCAAACGCTCCCCAACTTCCTTTTGGTGCCACATTCCCTGAAAGCTTCATTAAATAAGACAAACTCTATGCATTTGAGGCTTTAACAACATTTACCCAGGAGAAAGTACCAAGTTCATTCAAATTTTAGAATTCCACATGTGTGCATGTGAATGCATGTGCATAATGACCATATCATCTTGTCTATACAATCTATATATTTTAATATACTAAATATTAAAATAATTAATCCAAAAGTATTTAAAAAATACGCTCATATAAACTGTACATGTATTTTTGATTTTACTCATTTCACGTGGAAGCACGTGCATACATGAGAATGATGACCATACCTTCTTGCAGAAGTCCATTACATCTATCTATGTTCTAAATCCCACCCCGTTTTGTTGAAAACCAAGGGAGTTATAGCTGTTTTCAGCCAATCAGATTGCAGTGCACGTACACGCACGTGAATGCATGTGCATGATGATACTATCTTGTAGACGTTCATTATATCTATCTATGTTCCAATTCCCATCCTGTTTGGTGGAAAACCAAGGGAGTTATAGCTATTTAAAGTATAAGCCAATCAGATTGCAGCGCATGTGCATGCACGCTTTTTCATGATAATTGCTATATATTTTATTGTAGGATATCCTAATACATGCCTATGTTTAAAATTTCAAAGGATTTCGTCAAAAAAACAAGAAAGATATTGAGACTTTAGTTTCAGCCAATCAGAGCGAAGCGCACGTGCATGCGCATGAGATCTTGCTTTTTTGACCATGTCATCTTGTCTATGCTACTAATATATACTTATGATATGAGTTTCAAAGCATTTCATGAATAATTAAAATAGTTACGTCTGTATCAATTATGTTGGACATTTCTCATGTTGCACGTGCGAGCTCTTGCAAGCACACGTGCATGCACATGCTTTCATGATACTTCTTATATTACAGGCTGTAGAACTCCCTAATGTATGACTATGTTCAAAATTTCAAATGATTTTATCAAAAAACAAGAAAGATATAGAGACTTTAGTTTCAGCCAATCAGAGCAAAGCGCACGTGCATGCGCGTGCGATCCTGCTATTTTGACCATGTCATCTTGTGCATCCTACTAATATATCCTTACATTATGAGTTTCAAAACATTTTGCTAAAAAATAGAAAAGTTACGGTTTTATCCATTATATATTGGTCATTTCAAGTTTTGCACGTGCGCGGTCTTGCAAGCACGTGCGCGCAAAATGACCTTGATTCCGCAAATCTACATAACATGTCTACTGACCCTAAAAACATTTCACCTCAATCGGATGTGTAGTTTACAAGATCATTCGCGGACAAAATTTTCCCGAGAAGAAAAATAATAATAATAATAATAAGAAACAGAGTAAAAACAATATGTTCCCCAACTTCGTTTGGGGAACATAATAATATTCACAATGACTAATTAAGAGTGTTTCGGAGGTGTCTTGGCGTCTCCATGTGAGTGATTATATTTTCGAAATGGAGGTAAACAACGAACAAACAAATCTGTCTGTTGAATTTCAGGTACGTAATACATGTAAAGGCCAGCCTCATGAGCAGATGAGGGGCCCACCTAGAGAACACATTCAATTTCAATGCATTTTATTTAATTTGAGTTTTGATCTAATAAACAATTCATCTATGATCCTATGTTTACTATATACCATTATAGAATCATAGGAGTTGAAAATATGTCTTCATATTCATCCTGATAAATATTTTTTTAGTTGTACTTTTTCATGCCTTTATTTACGGTTTAAACTTCGTGACATTGTTTTATATAGCATTTTTATCATTTGTAGATTTGGTTTGGTTCATTTAAATATTGTTTAAATACTCTTTCCAAATAGTTTCGAAATCAATATTCAGCTTTCTTAGACGCCCAGTGTATTTTTCTTTAATGAGGCCCGTGAAAATTGGTTATTTCTTTGATTTTATTCCCTTCGTGATTTGTTGGGACGACATTTGAACATTCCCCCATTGCTCCAAATTTAGACGTACTACGCGATTTTTTGCCATTAAGCTGTGGGGATCTTTTTTGAACCAGTATCTTCTGCGACATTGGACATAAGTTTTTATGGTCCCTTTTGATGGACTGTTTTCAACGTTCCTCATTGGTATTTGAACCTGCGACTTAAAATTAGCCACTTACGTCTTAACTCCAAAGCAAAATGCTCTAGAACCACTGCAAATCTCATGGCCCTCAAAAAAGTACATTGACTGTCTATAAGCACTGGAGGATGATTGCAGGTTTGAATAAATATAATCGGATGTCCAGTCTTTGCGTATTTGAGAATCTTGTCTTTTTTATTCGATTTATATAAATGTACTCTAGTGTGAGATATTTCACAAGTTCATCTAAATTACAGTTGTAAATTAATTAATCATGAATTTTGCTTTTAAACGGCATATGTATGATACTTAGCATTTTGTTCACAAATCACTTTCTTTTGTACTTTTCTTATTTATAAATGTAATTTTCCATTAAATTTTAGAATGTATAATTTTCAAAGCTGCTGTCAGAAAATAAAATAGTTTACCTACCTACCGACCCAACTTGAAAATTTAGGGTCGGGTTAGGGGAAACAAAGATATTTTTAATTCCGGCCTCAGTGCAGAATTTTTCTTCTACAGACAATTCTGTCAGACAAACCTGCAAACTTTACTCAAAATATGAGGAATTACACATATTATTCTTAGCATGCTTAGATACCTGAGAAAACTAACAATGTGTTACCTCTGATGGACTTTAGTTTTTTAATTTTTATTTTGTTTTGCAGGATTTCACCTGTTTTTTTTTGGCCATATATACAGGGTAATACTCTTTTTTCCAAAATGGAATGGATTTCACAGTGTGAATTACTTAAATTTGACTACGGTGTGATTATTTCTGAATCTCATTCTTAAACTCCTGATACACAAATCTGGAATAACATTAATTATTATGACAGTGTAATGATAAGAAACTATTACAAATATAGCATAAGGGGAATAAGTCAATTTTATTTTTTCACTTAAAAAATGAAAAAGTTATTTCCCTTTATATTTTTTTTTACTTGAAATTGATCATTTCGACAGTATTAAATCTAATGCAGCAATACAGAGAAACTTTTATTAACTGATTTATTTTGTTGGTTTTTTTTGTTATTTTAAAACATGATTATCCCTTTTCTTCTCACATACCGGTATATCAATGATAAGGTTTACTGATTTGTGTAATAATGTTCAGATAATTAGCTCCATTAGTTTAATAGAATATCAATTTATTTAAATTCATAGCATCTCACATGTTCCTTGATATTCTAATTTATTGAGCAAGACTACTCCAGTCTCTGAAATCCTGCAATTTAAAAGCTATTATGCATTTCTAAACTTAAACCTTACACCGTGAGTAAAATTCGAGATCTCTTTGACTGACCACTTTTCTCGGACTGATACTGAAACTGACGTTTACAACTAACTGAAGGGTCTAAATTATTCCACAGAGCCCCATATCTCTCAACGTCACACAAATTGAATAACTTGTAATTTGTAAGTGATGGTAACATTTCTACATGTAGATCAGAGACATTCAACGTGTGACTGGGATTCTCATTCTCTGTGCCTAATTCATCGTACATTGCTTTCCTTTGTAAAATGTCACCCTTTATATCCTTGGTTTCAATGTAAGTAGAACTGTTCTGTTGTGTCGTGGGTTTGAGGTTAAAAGGATCACCTTGTCCTTCTGTAGTCAGCTTAAGGCTACTCTCCTCTGTTTCATCAGAGTCCATGTTGTCTTCGTTGAAGGCTTGGCTGGCTACGACAATCCCATAATCTGTGTTGCCGTGTTCTTCGTTGGGGGGGTCAAACACGTTCCGGTCAAGGTTCGCCGAGTTCTGACTTGAGTGGGAGGGTGAAGGGTTCATGGTTCTTCTCTGTGTTCTCTTTGTTTCCTCGTAAAGAATCATCAGCTTCTCAACCTGAAATAGATCAACAGGATTAGAATTATTCCAAAACATGTTGGAAAATAAATGACATAGATCAATAGGCTAGTTTTATGTGAGTTAGTTACATACATGTAATTATTTTCCATTTCCTAACTATTGTACTTTAATCTTTTGAGAGTCTAAAACACCTAGTAAGCCTCCTTTCTTGTGGCAGTATAAATAATGAAAAAAGAAATAAACTATTCATTAATACAATTTTCATCAAAACAACTTATCTAAATAAAACTTAAATTCAAATAAATTAAAAAATGAAAGATTAGATTTTGAATTTCCGTCACAATATTCACTCACCTGTTCATCAATACATTCAAACTGCCAGGGCCACTTAACGTTGTACAAGAATTGTCTGTGGTCATAGCGATTGTCATCAGGACTGTAGGTTTCTGCATGATATGAAGGGGTCAATGTGGTCATTTTGTGTCGATTGATGGAATAGCAGCGGAAAAAGTGTTTCACCTTGACTGCCACCTTAAAAAAAAATTTCAAATCAATATCTTTACATTTATGCTTCCAACAAAGTAATATTTGATGCCTGACCAAGTAAAAATTTAGTATAATGATGATTAAAATACTTTATATGGGGAAAGTTTTGCCTCTACTTCATTTTTCCCTGATTGCAAGTGTGCAAATTTAAAATGGCTGGAGCAAATTCATAGAAGACATATTAGTATAACAAATGTGTCTGCATGGTCGATTTTCAAAAAAAGGGCATATTAAAGGTATGATAAGGCTAAAAAATAAAAGGCAACAAAAAAGAAACAACCCTGTAAACAGCATGTAATAATTTGATTCCGTTAATCTCTAGGTTTACACCCACCTCCTCTGGTGAACACCTGTCTTTCCACACGTGAACCAGTTTACAGAACATACTGTATGGGCCGCAGCAGTTTTGTTTACGTAGACGACCATACAAGGAGAGTTCATCATACGTCATACCCATATCCTCCTGTCAAACAAGTTAGATTAACTGAGGGAACATTATGTATCTGCTCTTTCACCACAACTGTGAAACTACTAGTACCGCTTTTATTGTGAAATGGTCAGGAATCTATATATACTAACTGAAAGAGTTTCTGATTTTAAAAAATGATGAAAAACATCGAGCATACAAAAGGACAACTAAAAAAAATAAAGATTTTCCCATAGTAGAAAGCTTTTCCTTTTCTACATTGCTTGGCTATGACAATTTCAAAATGAATGTTTTATTTTGAATGATAAATAGATTTCATTTTTAATTTTTTATTTTACATTTTTTATATTACATGTATTTTGCTAACTGGATATTAAGGGCTGTAATGTTGGAGGGGCATGGTATATCCTACAAAACGGTCATATACCATCATTATGCAGGTCAGTGTATCAGAGACATGGTAAAAAATCTTAAATATATGCTACCTCATATCTTCAGTGAAGTTACTGTACACCAACTTTTATTTGCGATGACTTTATTTCCTGATTTACCGGAGATAAACTAGTTTGCGACGATTAATTTTTGCGATTAAGCCTTTTTGATCTGTTGTTAATGGACACTGAGAAACAAAATTTTAAAGGTATAACAATATTTGCGATGACAAATGTGTCAGAACTTAGCAAAAATTTCTCACACGTGAATAAAAGTTGGTTTACAGTAATTAGTGCAGTATGCATTAAGTTATTTTATGTTAAGTTACAGAAGAATATTAAAAACAATTGATTTTTGCTATAATCATTGAATTTTTTAATGTAAATCCTTACTTATTAAGAGCTGTAAAACCAAAATGCTGTGAACAGTAGAGAATGAAACGACGTAGGTCTGTTTTACTAATTCCTCCGATCGGATTGATGTCAGCGCTGGAACAATCATACTTTGTCATGTAGCCCCGCAAACTAAAAACATACAATGTAATATAAACTTAAACAATTTAAGAATGAACTGCTTTCTCCAAAGCCTTTTAAACACTTATTAGATACTTGCTCATATCTTAAATGGAAATTTTTTTAATGGGTTCATGCCCTATTACAAATCAGCAGTCAATCATGTTAATATGCATTATGTTAAAAAAAAGTCCAAGAATGTCTAAGCTAATTCAAAAGACTCAAAATCTTGTTAAAAAGCCCCATTTCAAGATTTTTTCTAAACAAGACCAACTTTCAATTTTAAAGTGAAATTATTTTAAACATAAATATAACAATATACAAAGTCTTACAGATAATTTCTTTCTATTTACCCCTTCCACATTAGCTGACCGTTTTATAAACCTTCCCCTGGCCCACAGACAGAGCTGGGCAAAGAGTTAAAAACAATTTATTTTTGCTGTTCATTGAATTTTTTAATTAAATCTTACTTGTAAGAAATGACAAAGACAAAAACAATGCTGTGTATAATTACAATCAAGGCATTGCCTTTGTTTCTTCTGATTTCTAGTACTTTGATGTCAGTCACTGGAACAATCATACTGCTTTGTACTTATAGCAAAGGAAACTAAAAACATACAATTGGGAATAAACTTTACAACAGCAATAAAAAGAATTTGATCCTTGATAAAGTCTCTTTATGTTCCTAAAGCCTTGTGTAAAGTTATATTGAAATCAGACAAAAACTGTATAGCATTTGGAAATTTTTCACAGAAATTTGGTTTCATAACCACGGCAACACCCTTCATCGAAATCAAAACCTATAAATAGAATTATGTATCTTAGTACAGTCTATTTGTGTGTCAAGTTAAATTGTATATTGAAATCAGACCAAAACTGTAGTAGGAATAGCAATTTTAAAGAAATTTCACATAAATTTCTATTTTTAGTAACCTTGGCAACATCATTTATCGAAATCAAAAACCAATAGACAGAATTATGTATCTTAGTGTAGTCTACTTGTGTGCCAAGTTGTATTGAAATCAGACCAAAACTGTAGTAGGAGTAGCATTCACATAAATGTCTATTTTTAGTAACCTTGGCAACATCATTTATCGAAATCAAAAACCGATAAACAGAATTATGTATCTTAGTGTAGTCTACTTGTGTGCCAAGTTATATTGAAATCAGACCAAAACTGTAGAAGGAGTAGCATTTTGAAGAAATTTCACAGAAATTTCTGGCCCACAGTAACCAGCGGCAAAAGAGATCAAAGGATACAGAATTATGTATCTTAGTGTAGTCTTGTATGCCAAGTTATATTGAAATCAAAACTGTAGGATTAGTAGCATTTTGTAAATGACAAAGACAAAAACAATCAGGCATAATTACAATCAAGGCATTGCCTTTGTGTTTTCTCCATTTTTGGTACCAATAAAGCTAAAAATATGATACATTGTATAATCTGTTTTACCTGAACATTCTGCAATGCCAAGTTCTCTCGTAGACTACCTCCATTGGCCTTGAACTTTGGCAGCAATTTCAGAGCCGCTGTAAACACACCCAGGACTGCTGCCACAGCAACGTCAATACTGATAGACAGGTGGAAACTGTAGAAAAAATATGACTACATGTACATGTATTAACTACACTAAATTTTTATATACAGTTTATAAGTATATGTACATTTATCTACTTGTCATTTTACTATGTTGCAATAATCAAGTGTCCCAAAATTTGGTGATTTAAATAGCATTTACATGGACATGTATAAGAATGTTAAAATGATATAATTATTGGCCTTCCATCACAACAACTCATTTCATGATCAATTATGTTCATGGTACATGGTCCTGAGCCTATATTCCTCATCAAATGTATTTGTCATAAATCTGAACATAAAATATTTCCATTTATATTTAGACCAGATAACTCTTTGAAAGCTCTTGACCTAGTTTCTTCAGAACTAATATTCTGTATGTAGATCAATAGGTCATGAGCTAAGGAGCTAAGGACATTTCCCACTATCGTCCATTATGCAAATTATCCCACTTTTCCCTCTATCGTTAATGCCCTGGCATTACCAGACCTGGGGTCAATTACTTTGAAATGTAATGCATTACATTACAATTCTGCAAGGTACTTTTTTGACACAGACCTATTTCTTTTAACATTTTTCAGATCTTATTGAATTTACAATTGTTTTAATTGTCAAGAAGATTTCTATTAAAAGAATTATTTAGTTTAAATTATATTCAATAACATAAAAAATATTATAGGATATAAAATTAAGTGTAACATTATCAATAAAAAAAATAACCAGTCAGTGATATTTATTTGTTTCAGATTCAAAAATAAAAAGAGACTAATATACAAAATGTAATTGAAATGTAATTGCTGTGTTGTAAACATTTTTTTAAAGAATGCATTACATAAATGTGTACATTGAAAGAGATTAAACATTACACCCCATTATTGAAAAAATGCACATCAAGATACCAGTTACACATGTTGGTCTGGGCATTAATTTAGGCTAACTAACATGTGATTCCATAAAAATACATTCCAATGTGTGCTCTGCAGCTCAATAAAGTCATGTATATTTATGCCCATGTAGCAAGTAGTGAAGAGTTTGCCAGCTAGTTCACTGGGGTCAGTGTGAAAAAATTTTTAACATTGAATTAACTGAAAAAAAAAAAAGTTAAATGTTCACAATCATCATAATACAACAGATTGACTTTTGGTCAATATGCTCATGCTGATAAACACATTGAAGATCTTCAAATTAAATTAATTAAAACATCAAGATATATATCAGACTCCAATGAAAGACAACAGCACTTCTGTAGATGGCTAATTGTAAACAAAATTACCTCCTCTTTGGACAGATTCTACCACCAAGTGGCACATTGAAGCCACTATACAGGCAGTGCTGGAGCTGTCTATCCCTCCACTGAGTGGGAGGAAATATCCACCCTGTCCACTTCTCCGCAGGTAATCCCACAGCCAGCAGGCCGGACCCAAGCTAACAGAAATAGAAATGAATGCCAATCTCACAATAGTTTAAGTAAAATGTACATGCTGGACTCGGGCTAACATAGAAAAGAAATTAATGCAAACCTCAAAACAGTTTCTGTAAAATGTGCACATATATACATGACTTTTATCAGGCATTTCATGCTTTTATTGTCGATTTTGCAATTCATAAGCTTTCAGGTTTGAGTTTGTACAAACATAAAATGTTTAAATTTTAAAATATTATCCAGTATATCCAGTTCTTAATCAAAATAAGATAAAAGTTGTCAATATTTACAATTTTGGGGCTTGGAGGTTGAGGTGGGATGGGGTGGGGGTGTACATGTACCTGATCTCCTCCTCTGGTGTGTGGTAATTCCACTCAATAGGGTCAGTGGTAGGCTGGAAGAAGTCAGGATGAGACAGGGCAAAGTCACAGTGAACTCTGGGAAATGACTGGACATTGGAGGCCTGATAAATCGACAAAGCAAAATATATAAATAAAGAAGATTTGAAGGTTTGTCATCGTGTCAAAATCTTCAATTCTAATTATTGTTAAAATACACACCATTTCGGACCTACTGCGAATAGCATTCCTGTACATTCTTACATCCTCCAGATCAATTGTAGCTGTATTAACTATCTGAAATTATAATGTAGAAGCTTTAACTCAGATAATGTTAATTATGGAAATTCATATACAATGTAACATATGTGCCAAAAATGCAACTAAATTATATGAAGACATTTAAACTGGTGATTGTTTTTGGTGACCCCTATGTGACTTTTTAATAGCAACTTTTAACAAACTATGTTTTACCACTTCCTAGATAGAGGATTGTGTTAACCAAATTGTTTCTCACCACTTCCTAGATATGGAATTGTTTCTTACCACTTCCTAGACATCAAACTCTCTTACATGTACTATTTCCTGTACACAACACCATGTCGTACCACTTCTTAGATACCAAACTGTGTCTCTAACCACTTCTTGAAAACCACACTGCATTTTTCCACTTTCTGGATTCTAAACTATATCTTACCACTTCCTGGATCCCAAACTGTGGCCCCTGTGAGAGGATTCTTCCATTGATTGCAATCATAGAGCAGCCGTCATAATAAGTCCTCTCTCCATCACAGCCCATCTGATTGGCAAATATGTAAATCCCACCACACTATAAACACAATTATGTATATCGCAAGATATAAAAGAAATGGTCTTCCTTATATAAAATCTTGTCTATTAGACATTGTGCATTTTTTTCAGCAGCCAACAGGAGAGTGCTATTTACCTAATTTTATGTGAATGTTTAAATATTATCACATTTCAGTGGAGCTGTTCTCTTATATGCATTCTGTATGGCAAAGACCAGAACATATTTTAGATAATATGTCAGAAAAAAGTCCTCGTGAAATGCAATGATCATTTTAAATTTTTATTTTTTAAACTTCAAAGGGTGTGCACTTCATATTAGTACATGCTCACATTAAATATTTTTTAAACAGAGATATCAATCCTCAGATACTTAATTAAAATATCCTCTACTATTAACATCTACTCAAAGAAGCCTAATTATTTATGCATACTAACCTTCATGGTGGCTGACTTGATCAGGTCAACCCTGACATAACCTTTCCTGAGTTCATGGTGACTTCCGCTGCCATTGGCTATTATTTCTACTCCATCTAAACTGAGGTCAATGTGGTGTCTAAAATAAGAGATGCCAGGAAAAAATTAGAACTAAATAACCAAATTCCAAAGTTTTTTATTGAACCTCAATTCAAATTTGCAATTATTGGCTTAGTCACTTATAATGGCCTGAATAAAATTGTATATGTATATGCATTTGCTTGTATACTTAAGCCAAATGCAAAAACCTAGATGAAATAAAATAAAATGTTGTTCTTCCTTAATTCCTTCACATTTTGACTTGCATTTTAAAGAATATGCATTAATATCTGTAGTTAACATAACTTGCAAGAAAATCTCATTACCGCTGAAGGGCAAGAAAATAGGGGAAGTTAATTTTTGCAAAAATGGACACTTTTCCTAGCCTAGAAAATTAGCTCTATTTGGCTTTTATTTGGGGACATGAAAATCACTGAAACTGTACCAAAAAGTTTCTGCAATATACTTACCCATCTGGGGACCAAAGTTCTTCACAAATTTCACTCCCCAGGCAAGTGTCAACAGTTGATATGACAGCATCTCCTATAGGCACAGTTTTCTGAAGGAGAGAAAATTTCTCTGAATTTTATTTAAAATACCTTAATATGGACCTATCCTCATGTCTTTCTCAGGAAAATATTATCACATAAATGCAATTATTAAAATTAATAGTTGTGTCAAAAAACTCAAATTATAGTTTGATGATCCAAGACTTTTAATCAATATAAATGATTTTAATTGATTCATTTTTTAAATGTCTTAATTTCTAATTTCTGTCACCTGTCCAGTAATTTCCTGAATCATTCGCGGGAGGAAGTATTCCTCCGTACACTTGTGTCGTTTCCAGGATGTGAACCACCGAGTTTCTCTGTAGTTTCCATCATTACATAGTGTCATCTTTGGGCGGATCAGCAAAATTTTTCTACAATAAAAACATTATAACCAAATTCTTTATTGCCATTCAAACCTTGGGCCAAAAAAATTAATAGTTTCTTAGGCACTGCCGCATCAGTTCAAAAACAGTTCCATTGATCAATTTTAATTGACATTCTTACAAGGGATATAACTCAATTTTCTATTTTTCCAAGTTTGAAAAAGAAAATTGAGTTATTTTCCTTTTTATTACAATCAGTAGATAGATGTTTTTATCAGATAATTAATATTCTTCTAGTCTATACAGTCCTAAATTTACTAATTTAAACAAATATTTGAAATAACATTACTTAAAGTTGAATATATAATATGAAATACATATATGTATCTTTAGAGAAAAAAAGAAGTAAGAATTAGTTAATATCATCTTGTTGTACGACTGATCTGATTGATTGATTGATTGTATACTGTTTAACGTCCCTCTCCAGAATATTTCACTGATATGGAGACCTCACCATTGCCGGTGAAGGGCTGCAAATTTAGGCCTATGCTCGGCACTTATGGCCTTTGAGCAGGGAGGGATCTTTATCATGCCACACCTGCTGTGACACGGGGCCTCAGTTTATACGGTCTCATCCGAAGGACCGCCCCATTTAGTTGCCTTTTACGACAAGCAAGGGGGTACTGAGGACCTATTCTAACCCGGATCCCCACGGGGCTGACTGATCTGAAAAAGAAAAGATGCCTGCTTCAAAAAAAAAATAAATAAAAATACATACCTGTTGACAAATATCACCCTGCAGTTGTATGCGACATTCTTGTGCATGACAGGCCTTGAAAATAAAAATTAAGAGACATATATAGTACATGTATACCGGTATATTAAATACATGTTAAAATGTACTACAAAACGACAAAAAGCTCTCTGAGGCTGTACATTATCTTTCATTTGCTGTAATATGTCAGATTTGACATTGTCTTTGAAAGCAAGAGGAAAAAGATCATTTTTTACAAGCATGCCGAGTAATTCCTCTATAAAAGTCAATGAAAATGTTAGCTCAACTTACATTCCGATGTCGCACATGATGTCCATATTGTCCCGGTTTGATATCAGTTCTGCTAATACTTGCCAAGAATGAAGAAATGTGTCACTTTCCAGGAAATGGTCGCCACAACCATAACCTCTGTAAAGGCATAGAAATGAGTTTCTCATCACAATTAAGTTCAATGTAGAAACATAATCAAATATCATAATTACTGTATCTCTAATCAAATGTCAGTAGAATAATGAATGAATCTCTGATCAGAATTTAAATAAATTAAAAGAGTAAAAGGGAAAATTCTATATTTTAAGTTTACTTTATATAAGGACCATTCAACATATTTTTTTTGAATATTACTACTTTTATTGACGACCAACCTACATGTAACTTTTCTTCATATGATCAATATTGTTTACGGGTATTTATATGTAAAAAGCAAATTCTGCTGTATTAAGTCAGTTTAATCTAATATTATAATCTTTATGGTACTTTCTTAAAGAATGAAATATACTCATGATGAAGTAATATTTTTCGAAATCATTAAACCAGTTAAATTCCAATGTAAAGTGCATTGAATGATCTCTTTGTAAGGAAGACATATTTCAGATAATAAACATGCTGATGAAATCATACGTGACTTCCAATTCAGGGCCCAGACGGTAAGTTGCACCTCTCTGCTTTGCAATCTTGATGCCTGAAAAAGAAATCATCACTCCACATTTTGATACAGGACTTCAGTAGGTTAAAATGCATGAAATGATGACAAATCTCATTAGTCTGATAAAATGTTTTCATCAGATTGTATATTTTATAAATGAATCATCAAAACAATGTTGGTAAGTACTTACAGTATTGTACTATTGATAACTTGTACGTTAGAAATTTTTAAAATTCATTTTGCAAGTGTCTAAAATTAACCCAAGAATGCTGCCTTCGGTACGTAATATCGCGAGTACCTCACAGTTATCTAACTTACTACTGTTCTTTTGCGGGGGAGTTGAAAAAGCTCTAAATCTCGCAAGATTTCTGGGGCACATGACATTGTTTACAGTAGTGACAATTGAATGATTCAAACAATTTTATGTCGAAAGTTCAATGTATTGCCAAGGATTGAATTCCAAATAGTAGATTGTCAAATAAGGAAAGCCTAGAATATCTTATCAGCTTTAAAATGTGATGATTTTCCATGAAAATTTAATGAGAAGAGTTCACTTACTTAAAAATATTGTAAAAAATGTAACAATTTAGGATTATATCCTCTCAAAAATTGATTAGGCTGGTTCAGCGATTGTTTAGCAAGGTATTCCACCAGGATTTTTTACTTTTCTGTCCTTATAAATTCTACAATAATCAATCTTGCATTGTATTCAATAGCACATTTGGCCCCATCCAACAGACGTTTCCTACCTCCATTGCGAAAGAGTTTTGCCAAGTTAAGTAATCAGGATATCAAGTATTGAGGCACGGATTCCCCAGTTTTTGTAATAGCACTGGTTCTGACGTTTTCCTGGCCCATAAAATATAAAAATCATAAAGCCAGGAAAACTTAATTAAGATATTTCGGACTACAATTTGAAAATAAAAGCTGAATGTTGGGCGAAGCAGCACCACAGTTTTAGTCAAAAAGCCCCTTAATTTTGATCAATGCATTCCTGAAATGTATAATAAGGTTTTGCTGTTTCAAAACCATTTTTTCATTTTTGTACCCCGCCCCCTCCCATTCTGGATCCCCCAATTTTAGTCAAAACTTTCTATTACACTTTTCAAAGAATATTTATAGTAGACGTTTTTCCTTAATCTCTTATAATATCAAATGAAGGAAACATGTTCCAGGGATTAATTAAGAACCCTTGCATGCAAGTCCGATAAAAGGACCCTTTCACAACTTTTACTTTTTCTCTTACTTTCCGATATTCGTGCAAGATTTCCTTTAAAATCCATGGCCCATTGATTTAAAGTACTAGTTGCTAATGTTGCAGTCCTCCCCATGGTTAGAGCCTCTTGCACAAAGAAAGCTAGACAGTTATGGTTTTATCGACTCTCTTTGCGTTTGTTGCTTGGGATTAACGAAATCCAAAACGAAAGTAAAAGTGATTTCAGTTTGTCGTAAAAAAATGATTTGTATAAAAATTAAGAAAAGAAAATTTTAACGTTCTTTTCGATATGTATTTCTTGTATCTCTACAGTTTTTGATTTTTAAAATCTAGTTGTAATTTTTTAATCATCACCTTTTATAAAATTTACGACAACCGAGAATGGGTATTGCTCATCGCCATTTTCTTTCGAAGAAAAGGATGTTCGATGTAAATCCGATTACGTAGGCAAATCAGCCTCCTGTTATCTATCTGAAATAAATTCTTCAAAGGTAATGATAAAAGAAGCAATTTCATGTTAATTTGCTCAGAGAAAATTTTGTAGACTTATGTTCTTTACATTTCAAAGAAATACATGCGGATAACGCTGTCTGGCGTGTAAACAACGTATTTAACCAGGTAAATTTATTTTTCCCACATTGTATTATGTAAATGTATTTTCACTTAGTCGTAGAGTTATCAAATACAGATAATTTAATTCATGAATTAGAAATATTTACAATATATTTGAGTGAGAACTAATACATTTTAGTAGATCTGTCTAAAGAGTAGCTATTAATAGCTACCTAGGTATTTAAAGCTACCCAAAGTAGCTAATACTTTGTATAATTTCTGCATTTTAACATGGTGAATACCATATCTTTTGATGTCACACTAAATGATGAATACGACAAAAGCCAAAAAATGATTATTTCAGCAATTTTACATTAGTTTCTATGCAAAATTGATTATTTTGAAGTAGAAATTTTGTCATATCCATCATCAGTGTGACTGTACTAAGAAATGTTGTGCTCACCATGTTGCGCCGTTCCTGCATCGCCACAAAATGCAAGTTAAGCAGAAAGTAGGTAAAAATAGCTACTTTGGGTAGCTTTAAATACCTAGGTAGCTATTAATAGCTACGTAGGTAGAAATAGTCTTTGGACTGGACCTGTTCTAATTATAGATATTGTGGGGTACTTTGAAATGCTTTCATATACTAAGAAATAGCATCCTTGCAAAACACGACAAAGATACCGTTATCAGTTATGGGAAGAGGACAGGCTTGCGCCTGTATCCACTTCTCTTCGCTAGCCTTAATGTTATTCTGGAAAACGTGTAAAATGTAGAACCTAGCTGTGACGACCTACACGTCAACTTAAATTTTGTCTGAAATATGACTGATTATATGCAACAGACATGTTAAATTAACAATTTCAACATAAATACATACAACTGTCACAAGAAAATCAACCTTTATGTGTGGTTTATCTGTTTTCACAAGTTCTCCATCCCGGATTTAAATTTTGAAGAAATATGTCAAGAAGTACACCCGGAGCTCCTAGGGTGGCTGATGCCTCCTAGACTGAATGGAGCCTAGCACTCGAAGAGTCAACTTAGAATTGCCGATTGTAGTAGAAAAGCATTAGTACGGGAATGAGAACTTGAATAAAAGATCTGTCAAGGGAAGATATGTGGATGTAGGCAAAAGCCTGCGCACTTCTTTAAAAAGAGTACAACAAAGATAGTCCAGTGTTCTTACACATTGATTTTTAATTTCAATAATATTTAACTTAATTAATATCTTTTATTACAGTGATACTTGGTCCGAAATGTCTGACATTTTCCAAGGTTTTTTTTACTTATTTGATATTTATGTGCCAGGAAAACATCAGAACCAGCATTTGGTAGTTTGAAAAATATATCAATTTATTCTAAGAATTGAAATATCAGGGGAGCAGGTGAAAGGGGCTTGGGGTTCCTCCCCTAACAGGGGATAGATTGGGAATGCCAAAATCACTAGGAGAATCAGTCATTACAGGAGAAATAAATTTGTCAGCCACTAGATCTTAGACAACCCTGTTTGTCAGTTTATTAGTATCTTGTGTCAATTTAATACATGTATGTAACTTTTTTTGGAGGATTTAGAATTTGACCAAATCTGGCTCAATGAGAGTGTTAGAGTCTGGAGCAGCCCCGTCGTACAACATGGGAAAGAATAAAAAGCACAAACTTCGTAAAACCAAAGAGGTGTCGGACTCTTCAGATGATGCTTTAGGAGGTGAGTGTCTACTCAGTACATTGTCATATCAGGGCTCTTAAGACACTGATTTGCTACAAAGTTTAGGGTTAAAGTTGACGAAATTTTCAAATCATTGAAGTTCTAGGAGGTGGGTTGGGGTGGTCTAAAAATCAATTTAAAAACTTGTTACATTTTGATTTTCTTGATCATTACAAAGGACAAATGATAAAAAAAAAACACTATTGAATTTGAAGAATAGGTACCTTTCTGAATTTGAAATTGGGCTGTTTATTGACCCCTTTTATAGACAAGAAACCTGCATGGACATGAGAATAACTAGAATGATTGAAATGTGTGTATTTGTAGTACACTATTTACTTTTTTTTTCGTCAATTTAACTTCAATGATTTTTCATGAAGCACAAATTGATCTAAATTGGGATGGAAGATATGCATTTAAATGCACAAAATAAATTCAATTCTTCTAGAACAATATATGTAATGCAGTATGCAGTGACCAGTGTAAACAAAGTCATGTACATGTATTTGCATTTTCTACATTTTTTCAGTGCCACGCTGTAATCACATTAACATGGCGGTAAATGTGGCAGCCATGAAAAAAGGATTAATGAAACAAGTGTATGGAGAGTGTGCTGTAAGTTTTTTGGCATGTTGTCATTAATTTTCTATTTTGGCATAAATAGTGTTCTTGTTCCATTTCTCAAGCTAAGGAATTAAATATAAAATCAACACCCTCAAAATATTGCATTTGTAATTACTTTGTAAAATATCATTATTTATTCATCTTATAGTTATACTTGTAGAATCTGTCTAATTTTAGTGTGAACTGTATATTTTAGACTTGAGTTTTATAACTGGAATGTAATTCACTATGTTTTTTTAAATTCTAGTCTTGTACCAATGAAACAACTCGTAAAACCACGACAGAAGGGGAGACAGGCCAGGAGGCTGAGGCGAGCCCTGCCCTGGACGTAGAACCAACTCTGTGGGTGTGTCTACAGTGCGGAAATCAGGTCAGCCTTCTTCATTAGATGTAGTTAATTATTGACATATACATGTATCTAGAAGATCAGTTATTATTCTAGCAGAGTGATGAAATGTTGTATGTATCTGTATGAACATTTAATATGGATCATCTGTTACAGGGATGTGATCGTAATTCTCGAGAGAAGCATGCATTGAAGCATTACGAGACGCCAAGGTCTAGCTGTCATTGTTTAGTTATCAACACCACCTCGTGGACTACATGGTATGTGAAAAACATTTTTTTAAAGCAATTGAACTTTGAAAATATTATCCATTCTCTCATGTTAATAAAATAGTTGTTATAAATTTTATTTTGAATAAGCATGATGTACATTAGATGATTATGAGAAATACAGATATTAAATAAAAAATGATAAAAAGAATTTTTAAAATTAAATTGCTTATCAAATTTTAAACCAAAAAAATTTCCAGGTGTTACAAGTGTGATGATGAAGTTCCTATAGAGCAGAGTAAGAGGCTACAGGAGAGCATAGATATTATAAGGAAGCAAGCAGGACTGCCACAGACTGATATAGGTATACAGGCTATCATTAAACATAAGAAATTATCAGTGCTTACTTACATGCAGCAGTAAGTGTGATGTGAAGAAAACAAAAACGGAAAAGAACATTTCTGTCACAAGTAGATATGAAACAGTTGGAATGATATCAGAGCTTTAGGATTGATATAGACAATTTTACTGTACGGAGAAGCAGGTGAAGCCTTTACACCTGAGAATTCTTCGTTTTACAGGTCGTAAACCAAGTCAGACTGGGAGCTCAGTTGGAGTCATTGAGCAGTCCTCCAAATCCTCCACTCTGACCCCAAGATCATCAGGAGTGTGTTCTAAGGTCAAGGTTAGTAAAAGAGAAATCTGTAGTTACAGTAGTATAAGCCCCAATTTTGAATGTCCTTAGAGTGTTGTGTGTCTACTTGTAATTAAACAACATAGAGTAAAATAAAGGCTTGATTGTGAAAATTAATCGATAACTCTTATTTATTTCAGGGTTTAGTTTACCCAATGCTGCAGGTATATAATCGTGAAATAAAGTCGTTACGAATAAAAGTTCAAATTTGGTTTACAGTACATATTTTGATGCCAAGTTTATTTATGTCTTCTGGTTTGGAGCTGGGGGTGGGGGGTGGGGTAGATACCTTAAGCATTAAGAATGAAGAACTTTTTTTTAAATTAAGTACAAATTTGGTATGGTAGTTCAGTAGGCAGAAATACAATTTTTCTAAGTTTGTGTTTTAGCTGGGGTGGTCGTAAACAAAGTCAAAGAGAGATAACTGCTGAAGATGTTCCTATTGTAAAATGAATGTGGCTATAAGTCCATAGTCCTCCTGAAGAAAATCCAGAGCATTATCTTTATCTGACCCCAAGGTCAGTTTGTTTTGAAGTTAAGTGTGTTGAACACTGTGAAAGATTTAGATATAAATTTTTATAATTTAGAGAAATTTCATTGTATTTACAGAAATAGTATAAGAAATTTTTGATTTACTTTTTTCACTTTATGTTAATTAATTTTTGTAGTTGTTTCACTTGCATGTAATTCTCCAAAACATGTGAAGTGAAATAATACTTCCTTTTCAAATTGATTTTTTTTTTTTGTAAAAGAAATAATGTTACTGTGTAGTAATAATAATTGTTTAATTTCAATGTTAAGTTGTTCTTTGCTGCCTAATGTAAATACAAGGATATTATTTTCAGGTTTTTGAAATACATGTTTCTTGAAATTTTGAATACAATTGCTTATGCAGGTATATATTTCATAAGTATAGAGTCAATATTTTTATTTCAGTAGGTTTTCCATTACTGTCTTAAATATTTTGAAAATAGATTTGTTTCTCATGTCCTTTTTCCTTGCTTTCTTCAGAATTTGACTCAGACACCTTGCTTGGAATCAGTGGTAGTAGATAAGAGTAAAAAGGGCCGCTTGTGTACCCTCACTTGTAAACGGGATAGTGACCTAGATTCTAGCTCAGGGTCAGATGACAGTGATGATGAGATAATACCGGACCTTGTAAGTTGGGAAACAGTCTGGACTGAATTTTTTTTAAATTATTTTTTTTACATAAATTTGTACTAAGGAATTTTTTTCCAGTATGAAAAACTTACCTGGACATTTATTTAAAACAAAAATGTTCACTTGCATATACTAATTCATGTAGATAATTTAAAACTGAATATCAATGTAAAAAAATTATACTTTTACATACATGTACATTAAGTTATTTATCAGAGTGTGGGTTTTCTTATTTTTAGGCTCCTATAGAAATATCATTACCAGAAGCTGGTCCCTTGACGCAGACCATGATAGCTTTTCTACAGGAGATGAACAATTCCTCTGGCCGTTCTAGCACTGTTAATCCTATTCCATTGTTTAGTCAGATATGCAAAAAGTAAGCTGATAAACAAGTGCTTATTTCCCATTTTCCCATATGCAATTGAAATTAACAGTGCTTCATAGTATCCAATCAATTTTCATAGACTTAATAAATAAGGAGGTCTTAAGAAAAGATATATAATGCTATAAACAATTAATTTTTGTTTCAGAGCCCAACGATTTCGTGGTTTTCAGCAGCAGGACAGTCATGAACTTCTGCGATACCTGTTGGATAACATGAGGATGGAAGAAATCAAGGTAATCTGAAAAAGAAATTCATAATTTGTATTTTTATTACAGGAAGTCTTTCACTAAAACTTGTTTACTACATCAAACATTGATATATTGAATAGGATACATCCTTCATGGATGGGGTGCTGTTTCAGATAAAACTTGACAAACCTTTATTCATAAAACCATCAGTATCTAAATGTTTATGACTACCAAGACTTTCTGTAGACTTTCTGTCATGATTTGAAGCTTAGGTAAAAATGTGCTATTTTGTTTGCAATTATAGAGTGAGTCTTCATGTTGAACTAAGTATTTGATAAGATAATTTATGAAAAAAATATTCTTTTTTACATTGGAAACTTCTCTCTTGTTTGAGTATGTGTGTCATTGTTTACAGAGGGGACAATCTGGGATATTAAAGCACTTCAAATTGCCAGAGAATGTCAACCCAAAGAAAGTGGACGATGAAATGAAAATCAAAATCAAAGGTACAGTTGTTTGCCAAATCTGTTCAGAAAAAAAATTTATACACATAACATAATGTTAATGAAGGTTTATTGTATCTTTTTTGGGGATGATGATTTTTGTTAGTGTAAGGTTCAACAAATTTTTGAGAGGTCTTGTTTTAATGTCCATAGTCATAAAAATACACAAGAAAATGATGGAAAACAAATGACAAATATAGAAATCCTTTCCTCTGTTGTAGAATACGGTCGCCAAGTGAAATACACCTTTGTGGATTCTTTGTTTGGGGGATACCTGATGAGTACAGTTACGTGTGAGGAATGTAAAAATGTAAGAATTACTCTATACAGGGTTATTTTTGCCCTGTGTTATTTTCGCCCTTTTTCAATTGCAGACAATTTTGCCCTGTTTTAAATTCAACCAATCATAGATTTATTTAAGAAATTATACTGCATTCTTTGAATTCACACCATTCTAAATATCCCCAACTGAAGGTAGGGCGAAAGGGGCGAAAATTTCCCTGTATATTCCCTGTATACAGTATTCCATGTTCACACTTGCTTAATGCTTACAAATAAAAAAAAAATTTAATTGTTTTATGTGAGATACTACCTTGCATGTCCATTTATGTGTTGCCTCTTGTCCCAACGTTCTTAACTTCTACTATCAAACTCCAGATCTCCCAGATATTTGAGCCCTTTCTGGACCTGTCCTTGCCGGTGACCGAGGAGAAACCCCAGAGACCCAATCAGATGTTGGGAGGACGTAAAAAGGACAGTTTAGAACACCAAGAGGACACGGTTATAGACCACACAGACAGACCAAGTAAACACATGGAGAGGAAGCTAAAGAAACAGGCTAAAAAGGAGGCCAAGGTACATCTAGTTTATTATACCCCACGCAACTAGTTGCGGGAGGTATAATGTTTTTGGCCCGTCCGTCAGTCAGTCAGTCAGTCAGTCAGTCAGTCAGTTCCTCTTTTTTTGTACACTCCTCTTAAACCGCTGCACAGAATTTTGTCAAACTTTGCAGATATTTAGGACACAATGTGTAGATGTGCATATTACCAGGAAATTCTGATTCCTTTATTTTTTCTGGGAATTTCCGCACTTTTTAACTTAGGCATTTGGCCATACCTTGAATATAGAGATGAACAGTTTGTCAGCGCAACTCCTCATAAACCGCTGCACAGAATTTGTTAAACTTTGCAGATATTTAGGACACAATATGTAGATGTGCATATTACCAGGAAATTCCGATTCCTTTATTTTTTCCGGGACTTTTCGCACTAAAAACGTAGACTTTTTGGCCATATTTTGAATATACAGATGAACAGTTTGTCAGCACCACTCCTCTTACACTGTTGTACATAGTTTCGTCAACCTATGCAGATATTTAGGACATATTCCATTATTTTACCCCAAAGAGTTTTGCCTATTATTCAAGAAAAATTTCTCAACCCCCCCCAACCACTTCAAATTAATGTTTAGATTTGTATAATGCCAAGAAATTTTGATTGCATAATTCATCTAGAAACTTCATTCCACATTTGAATGTCCTCATATGCAAGACATTTTGATGTGAAGATTTTTTTGCAATTATTGCCCTTTTTGATCTATACTATGTATTTAAAGTGCACTAGCTGTGCCTTTCATTATGTGTTTCACGGTCAAGTTTTGGGGGAGCGTGGGGTATGTGCTCACTTTTTCTTTCATTGCATGTAGAACTTAGGGAATTAACAAGTGTTAGGAAAGATACACATATTTCTTCAGTAGGGTGAAGAAGCAGATGTTTTGCCATAAATAAATTATTTCCTTAATGGCTTACAAATACTTACAGGGGTAGTCAATAAGCCCCCCCCTTCCCTTCCATTAAAATGTAAGTTCCAGATTAAAGTTCAGCATCGTGAGGGAAGATATTTCAAATATATTTATAAGACAAAATGATTTGGAAGTCATAACCAGTTCTTTATTTTATTATGTACCCTCAATATCCTGATTCTTGGGATACATGTATCTTTTATTTTTAGGTCACCTGAGTAAACTCAGGTGACCTATTGCTATCTGTTTTCGTCCGTCGTCGTGCGTTGTGCGTTGTCCGTTAACATTTGAACATTTTCAGCTTCTTCTCTGCAACCACTGAACCAATTTCAACCAAATTTGGCACAAAGCATCTATTGGTTAAGGGGAACAAAAATTCTGAATTTCATGATCCCTGCCCCCCTGGGGCCTGAGGGGTGGGACCAAAACCACTAAAATTAATGCAATCTTTAAAAATCTTCTTCTTTACTCCTGGACATCAAGTAGTCAAACTGTTTGCATGATTGTAACCAGCAATGAGTCCTCTACCAAAATTGTGAAATTCATGGCCCTGGGGTCAGGGGTTCTAGTGCTAGGGCGGGGCTAAATAAGTAGGTAGGGAAAATGCATTATTTCTTTGAAAATCTTCTTCTCTGCTCCTGGGTATTAAATAAACCAACTAAGTACATAGTTATGATGAGCAAGAATGCCTCTACCAAAATTGTGAATTTTATGGCCCCAGAGTCAGGGGTTCTGGTGTAGGCAGGGCTCTATTGATTATATAGTGAAAATACATGAATTCTTTGAAAATCTTCTTCTCTGCTCCTGGGTATTAAATAAACTAACTAAGTACATAGTTATGATGAGCAAGAGTGCCTCTACCAAAATTGTGAATTTTATGGCCCCAGGGTCAGGGGTTCTTGTTTTAGGGTGGGGCTCTAATGATTATATAGTGAAATGCATGATTTCTTTGAACATCTTATCCTTTGCTCCTGGTTAATATGCTAATGATCTAATTACATATTTAAGGCCAGAATTTATTTTATTTTCAGTTTTACAAACACAAGGTTTTGAATTTTCAGAAAAAAATAAAAAAAAAATTCTTTCCGATGTCAAATTTGAGTCGGGATCGAGATTTCAAATTTAAGAACTTGCACTTCCGGTTTTACGATGAAACGGCAGGTAAATAAAGCTGAGAAGATAGCAAAATTCATCGATAAGAGTGCCATTCAAAACATTTCACCCGTTCAAAGGACAAATAAAATGCTGACGACTTTGTTGCACAATATCATACTGGTGAGATAATTATGTATTCGTTTCAAAAGTAACTGTCTGTAAATTATTTTCCTCCCCCAGGTTTTAAACTGCCCGTGGTAGCTATTGCATATTGCCAGCGACATTGTTTAGGTCTCTGTTATAGCTTACAGTCTAAGCATCATTCTTCAGAAAAGGGTTGCTTATGCATCAGATGTAATGAATATAATGAATAAAACTATGGGAGAAGTTAAGTCTATTTGAGGAAGAAATAAAAATAACCTGAAGAAATAAAAAAAAAAATTCAACTATTAAAAGGCAAGAATATACAAATATATACAGGCATGTAGTATCATTTGTATCAGCCAGAAAAATTATTTTACACTTAATTGAAAAAATGTTCACCCTACTCCCCAATACTCCCTGTCTGTTTTATGATAGGAATTATAATTTTAGAGATCAAGTAAATTTTAGAACAATGTCTACACATTCACCTAACACATATTAAAAAAATGAAGATATATTGAAAGACTTCTAAAGAATTGATATTTTAAAATATATTTTGATCAACATCACAAAATTTATATAACTGGCCCAAACTGACAGATGATGAAATAAGCAATTAAATGTTCTACTTTCCTATTTGTAAGCATTATGTGTGCAGTGGTAAGGAGCCTATTAGGATAGCATAAAAAAAGAATGTACAAATGTTAATAACTGATTTATCAAAAAAAAATTTTATTTCCTTCTCCTTTGGGACTTTTTTATTCTCATGTTCAGAACTAAACCTAAACATTAAAAAAAATGCTGGCCTTATAATGAAGAAAGGGGCCTCTTTCAAAATAGATAATTTCAGGGCTGCAGGGTCAGGGGTACCATTTTATAAAAATAAATTAATGCTTTGAAATCTGCCCTTTGATAAGCAAAGGTGCCTCTTTCAAAATTTGTGAATTTCATGGCTTTTGGATTAAAACACGAACCAAATACAATCGCTGGAAAGTTGTTACATGATACTCAGGTGACCTATAAGGCCCGTGGGCCTCTTGTATCATTTTGCCTCACCAAGTTTAAGAGAGCTTTAACTGTACATCTCCTGTTAGTATAACAGCATTTTATTTCTCACAGAGGAAAGCTAAACAGACCAAAAATCTCCTGTCCCCATCTGATGACCCGAGTCTGCCAAAAAATGAAGCGGAGGGTGACCAGGAGGAGGTGGAAAAAGAGGAGGACGGAGGTTCTAAAGACCCAGAGGAGGAGTCTAGCAGTAGAGAGGACCCCTCAGGTAAAGTGTGTGTTTTGGGGGGGGGGACTTTTTTTTTGCAGACAGTAATTCTTAATGTGGATTAAAACTCTTATACAATTAAATGCTTATCTTGGTTGAAGGGTATTGACAGATATGTTTCATGGTAGTTATAGTCCAGTAAAGGAATACACAGTAAAATAGGCTTGTATTAAGTTGTAACAAAGTGTCATGGATGGTCAATTTTTCTTCAAATTTAGCAATTCATTATACATGTATCCACTAAGTTTACAATATATATTTTAAAGTCATTGGATATGAAAATTACTTCGCTGTAAGTGTCAATTCATTATTAGCGATTTCGGTATAAGCATGCTTTTCTGTAATATTTTGAAATGAGAGCGAGTCTTAAATAGGCAATATCTAACCACATCCAACAACACAACATGTACATGTATGTCCAGTCAGCAGCAACATGACAGCAACATTCAAAGATAGATTGACCTAAAATGAAAACTTCATGATAAAGGATTCTGTTTAACATCAACATTTTGTATAAATAACTTTGATAATTTTCCAGATGCTGACATAGAAGACAATCTGGAGAGTGATACCTCAAGATGTTTTAGTAAACTCAGTTTAGAAAACTCTTTAGCTGAGCCCTCACACTCATCTCAGGAAAAACCAGAGGTGGATCAAGTAAGTATCCGAGGGGTGGACAGTGGTACCTCAAGCAGCAATACTGATACACTTACCTCGGGAACTAGCACCTCAACACTCAAACAGGAAGACTCCTCAATAGGGAACGAGGGAGGATTAGCTAGTATAGCATCAGCGACTCAGTGCTCCAGTAGTGACCACAAAACTCAAGACAACGGCAGAGAACCTACATTTAATGGTCAAACAGAAAACCCTGTATTTGATAGTGAATGTGTATCTCATGAAAGTGCACTTTCTAATTGCCAAGAAAATGGTGGACTGGAAAATGACATAGAATGTGACAATGATATAGACAGTTGCTGTAAATTAGATTCCGAATGTAACATTGGTATTCCCAAAATAAACCACATAGTTAGTAACGGTATTGGAGAAAGTGATGATTGTGGAAGGACTACCAGTGAAAGTGTGGAAATGCAGACGGGGTCAAATCAGGTCAAGGACGAGGTCAAGGTGAACGGAGAACCTATGCATTCCCACTCCAGGAACAGTAGTACAAATAGTGAAGTGACTGCAAAGTTAGGAAACTTAATTCTAGAAGATTCATCTTTAGTCAATAGTGTTGAGTACCATCAAGGAGAGAATGGCATAGTAGATTTACAGACTGGTGGATCTAATTGTGAGAAAATAGGTGTTAGCACTCCACCTCCACATCATTCCAAAAGTGTGAAAGAGATAAAGAGGGAAGCATTGGTCAGGTCAAAGGTCACCCTCGGGTCAAGGTATCACCCCAGTTCCAGGGAGTGTACGATAATGACATGTTTACACCAGTTCACCTCCGCAGAGCTGCTCACTGGCAACAATAAGTTTGGATGTGCTAAGTGTACGCAGACGAAATACCGGCACAGTCAAAGTCTCAACAAAGGTAACTACATGTATAATGAATAGTAATATCACGCTGCTCTCTTTCAGTCTTGTAAAGTCTTAGTTTTTATGCATAAATGGATACTGTACAAAGAATTTTTCTGAAATTTAATTAGCATGTTGATTTTAAAAGTATTTGTACATTTAATTTTTCTATCTGTGATTTACATTTTTTTCTGAACTTAACTCATTCAAAAACTTATGTCTGCCATATATATTCATTATTTTAATATTCCTGTAGCTAATAGTTCCTCAACAACTTTAATCATGATTTACTTGGAATAATTCAACAGTCTAGAACATGTAAAAAATTTTAAATATATACAAGTTTATGAAACATTTCATATTTCAGATAAAAAAGAAAAAGTATATTCAAATGCAGCAAAGCAGTACTTGATATACACTCCACCAGCTGTGCTTACCTTACATCTTAAACGATTTGAGCAGGTGAGAAATTTGCTAAAGTTGTTAATTTTTGTTAAGAAAATTTAGCAAAATTTATTTTTAAAAATGTTGCCTTTAGCATGTTTAGCATTTACATATGGAGGAAAGTGACCACTGCATTTACATACAAATGTTTTTTTAAAAATCAAGAAATGCCAAAAATAGAAAAAAAAGTAATCTGTAATTTTGCTTTAAATAATGTGTGCCAAGCTTTTAAAATTTGATAGTAAAAACTTAAAGTTAATGTATAAACTATCTATGCATAATAATATAATTTACATGTATATTTCAAAAGTGTCCTGGTATTCATGTACACTGTAGCACTAAAATCTCTATAGATAAACTAATTTTTACTGAATGATTACAAACTTTTGTATGTTTAAATGAATTATCTGGAGATGTCTATGATGTATTTTACAGGTGGGTTTTAGTTCTCGTAAGGTGAACCGGCATGTAGATTTCCCATTTGTTCTGGATCTAGCCCCTTACTGCAGTTCACTGTGCCAGGTAATGTAAAAAAGAACTAGGTACCTCTAACTTCTGAAAAATTACTTTAAACACTGTAAAATCGCATAATTTTAAGTGGTCAAATTTTTGTGGTTTGAGGAAAATACATTGGTTCATGGAGAATTGATTTCATGGTTGAAAAATTGTTCAATTGTAATAAATATGAAAAATTTCATTTCTTGATGGACATTAATTCGTGGGTCTCTTCATACATGGAAAACCACGAAAATTAAACCCCCACAAAAATTAGTGATTTCAGAGTATCTTACTGTCACATTGAATGTAAGTTGCTCTTTTAATGTTTTTACATATACAAATATAATACAACAGGGTTTCATTTATAATTACTGGTTTTCTTTTCTTCATATTTAGGGAGTTAGACCAGGACAGAAGAAAATTCTCTATGCCTTGTATGGAGTAGTGGAACACAGTGGTCGTCTGAACGCCGGACATTACACAGCTTACGTCAAAGTCCGACCCAACATTGGTATTACGGGAGACTTTATCAACTCGGGGGCACCCTCTATCAATGACTGTATCAAACGCTACCCAGAGCAGCAGAACAGCACCGCCAGTCTGGAGGAACAGGAGGAGAGCTTGGTGGACCGCCTGGTACCACCCGGCAGGTGGTACCACATCAGTGATAGTCGTGTGAGCGAGACCACCGAGTCTACAGTACAGAGAGCCCAGGCCTATCTCTTGTTTTATGAACGAATTTATTAATGATTGTTCAAAGTTAGGGAAAATAATTGATAGCAAATTATCTTTCTAACTGACTTTTTTTTTCTTTTTTTTTTTTTTATTTGAATTCTGTAACCATGATAGACAAGGATCTTTCTTTAATGTTCAATACAAAAGTTCTTGTGAAATGTGATTCATTTATTATTATCTCATGGGAGCTGGGTCGAATATGAAAAGATATTGAATGCTTGTTATTTTGAATTTTGATGTTATTGTTTATTAGGTATTGGATGATTGGTGCAAAGGGTGGATACCCAATAGATTTCATTAGACATGTCATTTGTATGAAACTTGTGAGAGAGTTATTTCGACTCAAGTGATATTTACAATATTCCAGATATAATTTGTACTTTCAAGCATTTAATGACAGTGGTTCATGAAATATATGTACAATATTTACATGTAGCATTGAAAAAAAAGTCTTTCAATTCATTTATTAAAAGTAAAATTCATGGTTGTTCTTTAAAAATGTGTGAAAAAATTTACACTTTGAAATTACTAGTGTACTTCAAATGCTTACATTGTAAAAATAGACTTTTTTGAGACAACTTACAGGTCTAATGAAATAAGAAGTTAACATTAAGGTGCTAGAACATGTTTACAACTGAACTCTAATGGATTTAAAAGTTTTCAGTGCAATCATCACACAGTCCTGTACAAACTCCCTATAAGAAAATCAATGCCATATGTCAGTGGCAGACAATGATGGAAGATTGTATTAAAAATTTGAATGTGCAAACAGCCTGCATATTTTGCATTGATGAAACTTAATAAAAATCATAAGGTAATTTTAGGTGTACAATGTAACCCTATAAATAAGGCCATATCGAAGTATGCATGAGACAAGAGAGTCATAGATATATACATGTAACTTACAACTACTCAATCCATTACATTTGCCATATATTTACAACTATTTCATTTAATACGATTTTACCATATTCTTTTTTTAAAGATGATAATAGGTCAACCTTGTAGTTTTTGAGATAAAACCATGTGTTTTTTAACCATGAGTTTTTTTTTTTGAATATGTTAGAATCTAGTAGTTTCATGTGTACATAGTTAACTCTTGTGTTCGTTTTCCTTTAAGATAATATTCTGAAAGAAAAAGCTGTGCTGTATGTCAGGATTCCTTTGATGTTAAAGTTGACTGAGAAAAAAAAGGCAAAATTTAATTTGTTGATGAAGCCAGAAATATAATTGTTGATATGGACTTTGAATTTGAGTTTACATGTTACACATGATCTAGTGAAAACGTACCTTACAAAATCATGTTATAATGAATGTATGTTGTTAATGATGATCTTTGTTTGATTTGTGATACAATGCAGACATCTTCTGAATAAAATGACTTTACAATTTCTTGTTTAAAAAATGAACATTTTACTTTATTTTGCCAGTAGCACAGCGCGGGTGATCATATTTTGGACTTGTAGCAGAAAAGAAGAAAATGTATACTGTAAAGTCACATTTTCACGGGGGTCCAATTTTCATGGTTTGAGAAAAAAATATGGGTTCATGGGGATTTAATTTCGTGGATGAAGAACTGTTGAGTAGTAATACATGTGAAATACTAGTATTACATTTCATGGTGGACATAAATTTGTGGGTTTTTCCATATCTCGAAAACCACGAAAATTAAAAATCCCCAATACGAGTGATTCCACAGTAGTCGGACTGAGAATCGATCAACCAGGCAGTCAAAAGCTCTATCAACTGGGCTACCCAGACCAATATCCATAGCCTATACCACTGCAAACTGATGAATATTTTAAAAGCTATTTTGATATTATTTTTAGATATAAATTGCTTGGACTGTCTTAACTACATTTCAGATTAGGATCTGGAGGTCAGTCTACCACTCACATTCATAAACTGCATTTTACTTCCAATCAGTTTGTATTGATGGAACCAAACCATGCAAGTGACCATAACTAGATGCAATATTTAATATAATGAATGCTATATACAAATACTTGACAGGCATTTTAGCACAGTCAGCATCTTTAGCTCACCTCATGTTTTGTCTGTAGACCATCTGTAAACTTGTCGCATTTTTTGACTTCTCCAGAACCAAGGGGCCAATATCAACCAAACTTGCCACAAAGCATTCTTGGGTGAAGGGTGTTCAGGTTTGTTTAAATGAAGGGCCTTATCCTATTCCAAGGGGAGATAATTAAGAAATAAGAATTGGTGAAAATTTAGTATCATCTTTTTATTAATAACATCTTTTCAAGAACCATTGTGCCAGAAAAGTTGAAACTTCTGTGGAACCTTCATTACATAGTGTAGATTCAAAATTTAATTTGTCCAAATCATGCCGGGGTAGGGAGGGGCGACCATAGGGTATTTTACATGGAAATATATAGGAGAAATCTTTAAAAATCTTCTCAAGAACAAACCCAAAATTAGTCGTATTGATATTGGAATCATCTTCAGGTAGTGTAGATTCAAGTTTGTTCAAATCATAATGCATGGGGGTTCAATTTTTTTTTTTTTTTTTACATTTTAACTTTAAAAATCTTCTCTGGACCAAAAAAGCCACAATTAATCAAACCGATATGGAATCTTCCTCAGGTAGTGTAAGATTCAATATGAAATATTCAATATGAAATTTATTCAAATCATGACCCCAGGGGGTAGGATGGGGCCACAATGGGGGACCATAGTTTTATATACGAGTATCTAGGTAAAATCTTGTGAAGAACAAGGAAGCCATAATTAGTCATATTGATATAAAAACTTTCCCAAGTATTGTAGATTATTTAAGTTTGTCCACAGCATTCTCCAGTGGATCATAATGGGGGATCAAAGTTTTAAAAAAGAACACACATAAAGGAAAAATCTTTTTTCAAGAACAATGAAGCCATGATTAGTCATGTTGATATGGAAGCATCCTCAGGTAGTTTAGATTCAAGTTTGTTCAAATCAGGAACCCCCCCCCCCCCCATTCCCGAAGGTTAGGGTGGCAGACATCTTTAAAATTCTGTTTTCAAGAACAGCACAGCAATGATTAGTTACATAAATATAGAAGCATTCCTAGAAAATTTAAGCTTTGTTCACACAGAGAGTTTAATACTAAATAAATATAAGTTACTGTGAATTAAATTTGAAATGCCTTCACACAAAGAATTAGTTTACTTCCCCATAGCTTTTGTGTAAATACAATTTAATTCACATTATTTTACCCCCCGCTTGAAAAGTGGGAGTGTATACTATAATCGGTATGTCCGTCTGTCTATACGTCCGTCCGTCTGTTATGCTTTGGGATACCCATCTCTTATCCGCAACTCCTCTTATACCACTGAGTAAAATTTAATGAAACTTTCACAAAATCTTTATTACACATTGCCATTGTGCACTTCCTATTTTATTTTTTGAAGCGACACATATTTTAGGTTTACCATAGCAAAACATGGACATTGCTAATTTATTCTTACCAATGACGTGAGATATGGCGCTTCTGAATAACATTAGCTACCACAAGTTATTCCTTTTTACACGTTACCGTAAGACGATATATAGCAAAGCATGGACATTATGGGAGGCAGGGGTATCATTTAGTGAGCTCACTGCTCACAGTTTTAATTTGTGTTATTTTACTTCGCATTTATTAACTGCAAATTATTAAATTCTTTGTGTGAACAGGGCATTCAGTTTCATTCAAAACATGGCACCTGGGGGAAGGGTGTTTATAACAGGGGGTCAAAACTTTACATATGAATACATTGGAGAAAAAAATCTGTTGAAGAACAGCAGGGCCATAGACTCTGGTGAGCATTGTGACCCATGGGCCTCGTGTTTGGAAAATCATCTGTTTACATGCTATGTTGACTGTTGCCATGTTCTATCTTGCTAAATATAAGGGCTTTTATCATTCTGAGTGCAGTTACGAAGTATTTTTTTGTTTTGATTCTTCATTCAGATTCAACTAATTTACAAAGAAGTATGCCTTGTTTTCAAATGTTCTACTTTTTTCAACTTGCTTGAATTTCATTTTTATTTTGAAAATCTGAGAGCAAAATCATAGTGTGTGGAGCATGTGCATGTAATTTAAAGGATGATATCAACATTTGAAAATTTCAACAATTCTCTTAGTTAAAAGATTTAGGGTTTCAAATACCAACAAAGACACAAAAAAACACAACACTACAAATCAAAAACAGAGAATTTAGATAAAAGAATCTTTAATGTTCAATATTCATGACATCAACCAATTTACATTGACTGTGAGTAACTAAATGTATATGATGTACATTATGAAAACATATTAAAAACAAAAAATTATTGAAAAGCTTTCCTAGAAAATCCAATAAATGAATAATGAACATAAAGTATTTTGTCCTTAAGGTTTTTAATGCATGTAAGAATTGAAAACATGTTTTCACAAGTGACTTACTGGAACAACCTTCATAAACGTTTTATGAAATGTTTATGTTATAATAGTATACATTGTATTGCATACCATTAATTTACAGCAAATTTGTTAAAGATGACATCCAAGTTTAAAACAAAATATAGAATTATGCAAATTATTACAAAAATCATGATTATGAGGCAGCTCATATGACAGTGCAATAGAATATAACAGTTTTGTTCAAAATGATGATGAAACATGATAATGAATGAGGAACACAGAGCATGAATTTCAAGTTTTCAACATAATTTCCCCTTCTTTCACATTTGCCTGAGTTTGACCATAATTTCTCTTAAACACAATTAGTTCAGTCCGAGATTACACCTTGATCCTCTACCTCCGAAGTGTCTGATTTCTCATGCAGAATCACGTACTCTCTGGAACTGAAGCCAAACTTAATCATGTCCTTCTCCATGAGTTCCACAAATCGCTGAGCCTCTATCTGGTTATTGTTAACAAAAGTTCCATTAGCTGAGCCGAGATCAATTATGTAGGGCCGAACTCGCCGACCAGTTGAACCATCACTCCGCGTAAATTCTACTAGTCGGAACTGTAAAACTGCATGCTGTTTGGAACACGAGGGGTGATCCACTGGAATATCTACCACAATGCGGTCTCGCCCAATGAGATACGCACTCTGTCGATGAATGTGTAATACAGGAAGAGCTTCTTCACCTTTGAACGGATAAAGCCTCCATCTTGTTTTTGGTTTTCTTGCCTCTGGAGGCTGATTATACTTAATAACAACACCTCTGTAAACATTAGTATCCTCTGCCAGTTTTCCAGATGTGCTGAAATTCGGTTTCTCCTTTTCCAATGGCTTTGAATTGTTTTTATCCCTAGTGTCACCTGGTCGGCCATACTCTTGTCCATCTTCCTCCGTGTTTCTGAATGGGTTATTTCCACCGTGTCTTTGATTTTCCCGCCTGCGGTCGTCATTTTGCCTCCTCTCTCTCTGCTGGTTCTCTCTCTGTCTGTGTGGTCTGTCATGTCTGTTTTCTCTCTCTTGCTTCACTCTGACCCTGTCTGTATGTCTGTCCTCTCTATCCCCTCGCTCTCTCTTGATATGATGTTTATCTCTTGCCACATCTCTCTCTGCAGATCGTTCTCTATGTCTGTCTGGTCTTCTTTTATCTCGAGGTGGTGTCCATGGTGGCTCTTTTTTAATTTTTGGTTGAGGGCTCCCTGATCTTCTCCGTGAATGTTTTAATCTGGCAGGGCTCTAAAAATTATAATTATCAAATAACAAATGAAATACAGGTTATATTTCATAATAAATCCACTACAAGAAAATTACATTTCGCTCATTAAGCAACATCAGATAGCCTTAGGCGACTGTTAAAAACAAACAAAAAGAAAACAAGAGTTCTTCTTTAAGAACATTTAAATTTGAGTACGTATATATTTTTCTTTTTACATCTTTCATTTTGAGTAAGCTTATGATATTCTGTGAACATTCATTGTCAATGTTTGCAATGATCAAGAGATTTACCAAACTTCTTGATTTGTGTCGCTTAGGCATTGAACTGTTCTCGTTTTACTTGTTGAATTCCTCTTCTCTTGGGGATAAATATTATACCGAGTAGGCTAGATGATGAAAAGAATAACCTAAATAAGACCTACACAAAATAAGAATTCATGAAAACAACAACATTCAAAAACGTCCGAATTTCGACTCCACCGGAAACGATTTATTAGGACGTACCAGTATTTGTCGATATTAGTTAAATCAGCAAAATATGAGTCGACCGTGCCTACAACATATTGTTCTCCTACTGAATAGAATTCCCTGTATTTGCAAAAGAGAAGCTTTAAGAATTTTAAAATTTTAGAACCTATAAATAATGGGACATCTATTTTATTCTGAAGGGGGAAGGGGGGGGGGGTGTTTAGCTTTTCAGGATTTTTCAGTTGTAATACTTTGTGAATATGCCATAAAATAATATTTTATTTTAAATAGGTCAATGAACCTTTGGGGTAGAACGTACAATAGATGACGGGGAGGGGCGTAACCAAGCACCTCAGTGTGGAAAATATATAATTTCCCCCAAGTTTTTTTATTGAAGTTTAGCTACTTGTACAAGTCTCCCCTTACCAAAAATTGAGGTACTTAGTACTTAACCAGGCATTTGGGCAAGATACCAGAGCTGATATTTATATATCATATAATAAAGTAACAATTTTAGGTATACCAATTTTATTTGAAAAACACACGGAAAACAATTTAGAGCTGAATCACTAGAGAATGATTTTTTTTTTAAAAAAATATGATAAAAGGTATACAAAGCATGTATTTGAGGAACATGTCGATCGTCTGACCGTACCCCGCCCCCCAATTTATCTGAAGGACGACCCAGCAGTGAAAGACGAATATTTCCTTCATAAAATATAACATACCAAATTGAAAAGGCCTGATAGTGAAGATCCCAAAGAAAGGTTATAGATCGGTATGCGATATATATTACAGAGGTGTTATACTTTTGTATGTGCAAAGCAAGTATTCTTCAGAATATTTATACAAAGAATCCGAGTGGAAGAACAGCTGCGCGAGGAACAAGCTGGCTTCAGAAGAGGGAGGAGTGCAACAGAACAACTATTTGTACACTCCGTAACACCATAGAACAATTTACTGAATGGAATTCAACATTATTTGTAAATTATGTTGACTTTGGAAAGGCATTTGATTCCGTTCACAGAGCCTTTGGTCTATCATGAAGTTTTATGGCATTCCAGACAAACTGGTCAGAATGGTGAAACTCTATATGAATCAGAAGATGGAGAATTAAGAAACAGACTGGTTCTGGGCAACAACAGGAGTGAATCAGGGTTGCACAATGTCTTGATTCCTATTTCTGTTGGTTATAGAATAAGATAACGTAATGAAAAGAACTACAGAAAGAGAACCAACAGGAATAAGGTTGAATTTCACAACAAAACTCGAAGATCTAGACTTCGCAGATGACCTTGCCTTACTCTCCAAATTGCAAGACATCCAGCAAAAGACTCAAAGACTTCACGAAATTGATAGACAAGCTGGCCTCCAAATTATAACCATCGAGAAAACCAAAGTGATGAAGCTCAACACTGAATTAAAAGAGGAAGTCAAGATTGATGGGCAGGATCTGGAGGATGTAGAAACATTTACTTACATTGAGGGTGTGAAAACAACAAAGGGAGGAGTTGATTAGGACATCACCAACATACTGGGAAAAGAAAGGTCCCAATTTGGAAGATTCAGGAAAATCTATAGAGCTCATTAAAATGTTCCATCCAAACAAAAGTTTTTTAACAGTTTAGTCCTGTCAGTCCTAATGTATGGAAGTGAAACATGGAAAACAACGGAGAGAGACAAAAGAAAAATTGGCACCCTTCAGAACAGATGCCTTAGAAAGATCCTGCGAGTAAGATGGCCTTAGAAAGTCCATCACAGAACAAAAACAGCTAGAGCAAGTGAGAAAAATAAATAACTCTCAAGAAGTGGAATTGGATTGGCCTTGTACTGAGGATGCATGGATAACACCAGAATATGTGCGTACCACCGCATTGACATGGCATCCAGTAGGAAGGAAAAAAGTAGGCCGGTGTAAAGACGAATAATGACCCCCATCGAATAATGACCGGGGGTCATTTTTCGACAGCGAAAAATGACCCCGGTCAATATTCTACGGCAAAAAATGACCCCCGGTCATTAATCGACGTCGAAACATGACCCTTTTGCCCGTAGAAAAAGTGTCACCACTCTAAAAATTTGCAGAACCCACGTGAAGAAAAATGACGCCGGTAGAAAATTGACTCCCTGTGGATTAAAGCTGAAATTTTTAGGGGGCAAAAAAAAAAAAATAGATAAAGAAGCATATTGGCCAAAATGCTCACCTGAGCTAATTGGGAATAAATTGATGATATGTTGATCTCATAACATTATACAATTATAGCTATACTTTAAGGTTAATGCGATGATTCAGAATCTAAAGGAGTAAAAGATTTATCAAGCCTAAAGGGTTAGGTAAACATTGTTTTTCGATGGTGGAAATCATCATACTGACAGAAAAATCAGCAGTATTATATATTATTATATCCTCCGCTTGAAAGGCGGGATGGTATATAGTGATCGAGATGTTCGTCCGTCCGTCTGATACGCTTTGGGTTATCCATCTCTTATCCGCAACTCCTCTTATATATAAAAAGATGTGTTTGTGAAACAGCTATGCTCCTGTATGCCAACATAGCGAAGATTAAACTTTTCTAAAATGCAATTTAAATATATTGGTACCCAAAGTAGGGTCTTCTCACAAGAAATACAATTGCAAAACAGGAAAGCCGTAGCACCATTTGTTCAAAAGTAATGGCTAAGGATAAGGTTTTGAAAGGTAGGACAAACTCAAAGGTCAAACGGTCAAAGTTGATGGTTTCTTAAGAAAGTTTAATGTAACAAGGATTACATATGTGAAGTATGAAAACCCTAGCCCTTACCGTTCAAAAGTTATGGCCAAGGTTCAAGTTTTTTTCATAAATACGGAAATCTCCAAGGTCAAGGTCAAAAGGTCAAAGTTTTTAGTGTCCAATGAAAGGTTATACCAAAAAAATATGTGAAGTATGAGAGTACTAGTATCTACTGTTTAAAAGTTATGGCCAAAGTAAAAATTTGGCATTTTTGTGTAAAATGGGACAAACTCCAAGGTAAAAGTCAAAAGGTCAAATTTGGTGGTACCCAAAGTAAGGTCTTGTCACAAGGAATACACATATTAAATATGAAAGTCATAGCTACAATAAATGAAAAGTAATGGTCAAGGTTATAGTTTTTGCGGACAAACAGACCGCCAGATAGACAGACAGACATACAGACGGACACGCTAAAACTCTATACCCCCGAATCTTCGATTACGGGGACATAAAAAGAAATGGTCTTCAATTAACTTTTCATATTATGATACAGTATAAAGAAGACGTTACAAAAATGAAAATGTCTGTTCTGATTTTCATATTAAATTCTCTGAAAAATATATATACTAGTATTCATAACTGAGTAAAAGGGTGGAGTAAAACAAGAATTAAGAAATGTAATGAATACTGGGTGCTAAATCAAAAGGTTATGTTTACATGTATAGTTTTTGCAGTAGAATGTGTATTTTACACTAGCCCATAGCTTTACAGTGCATATTTTTAGGTGTTATACCCACCCCTTCCCTAACATATTTAGGAGGAAGTCGATTATCAACAAAAGCAACAAAAAAAACTAGCCTACTTTTATTTTTCTATAAGGAGGGACTAAAAAAAGCTTAAAATAACATACTAATTTTCAACTGTTACTTTGCAACAATACTTTCAAGTTACCCTCACCAACATTTAAAGGATGCTTTAATCATGGTGAAGTAAATTATGATATGATAGTACTTGTGTGAAGGCTTAACTTCATTTCAATATTTTATCTAGAGCCTCTTCTAGTATTATTGAAAGGTATAGAGTTTTATATATATTAATTTTTGCTTTTTATTTATTTTTTTGTATTAATTTAACGTAATGTTCTTGGGGGGGGGGGTGTTATAAAAAGAATATGTCTTTGCAGAGATTTAAAGTATCTTCAATCATATAGTGATGGTCTGCATGTACAGGATGGAACATATAAAAAATATACAGCATCGACGGGTCCTTTCATCCATTTCTATTTTTACTCACTCCTGCGAATGAAACCTCATTAATTGGAACACATTACTTATTTGTTAATTCGTCTGCTACTAATTTCTACTTTTTCCCAACAAATATTTTTTCTGAAACAACGTATCAATGTAGTCAGTAAAGAAAAAAAATTATATTCATAAATTTCATCTCCAGCGTGCGTTTGATCCATTTACATGTACCATCTTTGATTTTCTAGGTTTGCTCATTTATCAGAGAAATGAAGAATAATTGATTGATTGTTAATTGCTTAAAACTGATTTGTCAATATTTCGGCAGAGAGAAATTAGGAACTTTATTGCTCCTACGTGCTAAGAAGAACAAAGATCAAATCTATTCGAACATATGCATGAATTACTCGAAGGAAGAACAATTATAATATACATCATATTTTTCCCTTTCACCTGTTATAAATTTTGTATCACTTTAAAGGGGGTCACTTTTCAATGGGGGTCAATTTTTTTTATAGTACTAACATATAAAATGATGACCCCTAGGACTATTTTTCTACAAAAAATGATTTTTTTCTACGGGTAGGGGGTCATTTTTTGTCGTTGAAAAATGACCCCCGGTCATTATTCGATGGGGGTCATTATTCGTCTTTACACCGGCCAAAAACAACTTGGAGGAGGACCACTGAGCAAGAGAGGCTACAACTGGGATAGTAATATTTGTTAATTAATGGTTCTATCGGTTTCGGCAGATTTTTTGTAAGAAGTTTCTTATATTGTTACATGTATATTTGACCCCCTATTGTTGCATCATGTTATCGGTAAGGGTCATAAAATGAACACTTTAGATATAAGAGTTAGTGCCACCATGAGAATCTTTCACATACATTGTAAGTTTAATTTTTTTTTGTGATCAGGTGGTTTTTGATAAGATGATTAAATAGAAATTTTTCGTAAACATTTCAATTTGAAAAAAAATTGAAAGTTTCAGTTTCTATGGGGGTCATGATTTACATGTACATGTGTTTTAATTTAGAATCTACACAATTCCATGAAATAAAACTAATTTTCACACAAGTTGAACGTTTTGTAGATCGGTGGTTTTAAGCTCACCTGAGCTGAAAGCTCAAGTGAGCTTTTCTGATCACATTTTGTCCGGCGTCCGTCTGTCTGTAAACTTTTCACATTTTCGACTTCTTCTCAAGAACCGCTGGGCTAATTTCAACCAAACTTGCCATAAAGTATCCTTGGGTGAAGGGAATTCAAGTTTGTTCAAATGAAGGGCCATGCTCTCATTCAAGGGGAGATAACTGGGAATAAATGAAAATTTGGTTGCATATTTTAAAAATCTTCTTCTCAAGAACCACTGTGCCAGGAAAGATGAAACTTATGGAGAAGCATCCTCAGGTATTGTAGATTCAAGTTTGTTCAAATCATGACCCCCGGGGGTAGGGCGGGGCCAAAATGGCCGACCAAAGTTTTACATAGAAATATATAGGAAATTTCTTTAAAAATCTTCTTCTCAAGAATGACAAAGCCATAATTCATCATATATATATGGAAGCATGCTCAGGTAGTGTAGTTTTAAGTTTGTTTACATCATGACTCCTGGGGGTAGGACGGGGCCAAAATGGCTGACCAAAGTTTTACATAGAAATATATAGGAAAATTCTTTAAAAATCTTCTTCTCAAGAATGACAAAGCCATAATTCATCATATATATATGGAAGGATGCGCAGATAGTGTAGATTCAAATTTGTTCAAATCATGACCCCCGGGGGTAGGGCGGGGCCAAAATGGTCTACCAAAGTTTTACATAGAAATATATAGGAAAATTCTTTATAAATCTTCTTCTCAAGAATGACAAAGCCATAATTCATCATATTTATATGGAAGCATGCTCAGGTAATGTGGATTCAAGTTTGTTCAAATCCTGACCCCCGGGGGTAAGGCGGGGCCAAAATGGCCGACCAAAGTTTTCAAAGATATATATAGGAAAATTCTTTAAAAATCATTTTCTAAAAAATAGCAAATTCATGATTGGTCATGGGACTACTTTTGGATTTAAACTTTACAATAAAAAACCATTTTCTACTTTTTCCTACCCTTAGTGCTCAGGTGAGCGATGTGGCCCATGGGCCTCTTCTTGCTATAGGAACCCTTAAAATTGAAACATTGGTGAATATTAATAATGCGCTCTGAATTAAAGCATTAGAAACAAAATGCATTAGCGCTAAATAGAGCTTTCATAAAAGCTTACTTTGACGCTTGTTTATTGACCCCATCCTATTTTTGCCTTTTACATTGGGCAATCAAGGGGACAAGAAACAATTATGCATGAACGCGCAAAAATTATCATTCTAAGATGTGTTACTAAGGGGATATTGCTGTTACTATGGAGATAGGAAATTGTAAAATGGCCTCTAGTTTGCAGAAGATCTCAAAAATTTTAATTTATTGTAAAATATTTTTGAGTATTTAGAGATAAATTATGCAATTTATGACAAGATTTTACATATTTTTTTCTTCATATCTTTTGATAGCTACAGAACTGTAGCTCCCCGAAAAAAAAATAAATTGACAGACCGGAGAGCTATACAGTGCCACCCATTGAAAACAAGAGGCCCATGGGCCACATCGTTCAACCGAGCATTGTGGCTAGGAAAAAGTAGAAATTGGTTATAATTACAATACTATAGAAAAGTGTAAAACCAAAAGTTTGGCCCCGCCCTACCCCCGGGGGTCATGATTTGAACAAACTTGAATCTACAATACCTGCGGATGCATCCATATAAATATGACCAATTATATATGGCTTTGCTATCCTTGAGAAGAAGATTTTTAAAGAGTTTTCCTATATATTTCTATATAAAACTTTGGTCGGCCATTGTGGCCCGCCCTACCCCCGGGGGTCATGATTGGAACAAACTTGAATCTACACTACCTAGGGATGCTTCCACATAGATATTAGCAATTATGGCTTTGCTGTTCTTAAGAAGAAGATTTTTAAAGAATTTTCCTATATATTTCTATATAAAACTTTGGTCGGCCATTGTGGCCCCGCCCTACCCCCGGGGGTCATGATTTGAACAAACTTGAATACACTACAACCTGGGGATGCTTCCATATAAATATGAGCAATTATGGCTTTGCTGTTCTTAAGAAGAAGATTTAAAAAGAATTTTCCTATATATTTCTATACGGTATAAAACTTTGGTCGGCCATAGTGACCCCGCCCTACCCCCGGGGGACATGATTTGAACAAACTTGAATCTACACTACCTGCGGATGCTTCCATATAAATATGAGCAATTATGGCTTTGCTGTTCTTAAGAAGATTTTTAAAGAATTTTCCTATATATTTCTATATAAAACTTTGGTCGGCCATTGTGGCCCCGCCCTACCCCCGGGGGTCATGATTGGAACAAACTTGAATCTACACTACCTGGGGATGCTTCCATATAAATATGAGCAATCATGGCTTTGCTGTTCTTAAGAAGAAGATTTTTAAAGAATTTTCCCATATATTTCTATATAAAACTTTGGTCGGCCATTGTGGCCCCGCCCTACCCCCGGGGGACATGATTTGAACAAACTTGAATTTACACTACCTGAGGATGTTTCTCCATAAGTTTCATCTTTCCTGGCACAGTGGTTCTTGAGAAGAAGATTTTTAAAACATACCACCAAATTTTCACTAATTCTCAATTATCTCCCCTTGAATGAGGGCGTGGCCCTTCATTTGAACAAACTTGAATTCCCTTCACCCAAGGATGCTTTGTGGCAAGTTTGGTTGAAATTGGCCCAGCGGTTCTTGAGAAGTCGAAAATGTGAAAAATTTACAGACAGACGGACAGACGGACGCCGGACAAAATGTGATCAGAAAAGCTCACTCGAGCCTTCGGCTCAGGTGAGCTAAAAACTGTATACTATAGTATTTATTGCGCACAAAAAGGGTGCTGTTTCTCGATTTATTTCTCCGTGTTTTAAAAACTGTCACCTCAAGTAAAAAAAAAAAACGTTTTCAATTTCTCAAAATATTACTTACCATGTGTTCCTAACATATTCTTTCGCTGTTTCCAAAACAAAACATTCCTTATAATTGTTGTTAATAGCCCTCCTGGTCCTGAAATTGAGATCATCAAAAATTTCGTCTATTTATACTGCCATTTTGGTTTGCAAGATAATTCGGTCCAGGGCACTTTGTGCAGATATCAACTACGAGAGTACTTGATACAGAAGTAAGGCATTGTTTGAAATCATGTTCTTTTGCAATTGAGATAAGAAATAAGCGCAACTTTTTGTGCGCAATAAGTCTGCAGTTTTTTCCAGTGGGTGGCACTGTAGCTCTCTGGTCTGTATATACATGTATATATATTTTTTTAGGAGAGCTACAGTTCTGCAGCTAATCTTTTGAATGAGAAGAGATATGGCTTTCGTATTAAACATGGATATTACTTGTGACAAGACCTTTCTAAATACACTTTGATTTTTGATCCTGTGACTTTGAAGTTTGACCTGCTTTTTAAAAAATTAAACATTTATACTTAAAATTGGTCATAACTTTTGAATGAGAATAGATAGGGCTTTCATACGTATTAAAGATGTGTTTATCTGTGACACGACCTTTCTATATACGCTATGATTTTGACCTTGTGACCTTGACCTTTGACCTAATTTAAAAAAAAAATCAACTTCGATGCTAACTTCTGAATGACATATGATAGGGCTTTCCATAAAAAAAATGGCATCTCACCCACAAAGACAACGAAAGATGGACGTCACGATTCTTTGTATTTGCTTGTTATATTTAATTAGAGCCTGAAAGATAAGAGATTTTGACTGTTTGCTAGGGAAATTGTTAAACCCAAGTGCCCATGGTAACCATGAACCAAATTATTTTTAATTTCACATACAAGGTTCATAGTTCAAGAGAAAATTGTGTGGAAAAATCATCAAATTCTGAGAAACTTCATTATATAACCCTTTGCATGCGATTTTAACACGAACCGGTACTAGATAAAATACGTGTACATGTATACTTACATATATACGCACCTGATCCAATTTACGTCGATTAAATACACGTATATCATTAAATTGAATAACTCGAGACATTTCATACATTTATTAATAAAAAAATCATCAATGAATTACGAAAACAAATTCTGCAAAAGATAATGTTCGCTTAATAATACGACATTCGTTTACAGGCGCACTGTTAAATTTATTTCTTTAATCGTTACCAAAAAAAAAAAAAAAAAAAAAAAAAAAAGATGAAAAAATATACATGTGTGTATATGGCACAGCTGAAATATATACAAAATGCAATTACATGTACATGTACTTTTTACACGTACATGTACTTTTTGTTAATTTACAAGGATAGCTTTTGTTAAAATCTAGATAATATTCTAAATAGACTCAATCTTTGCACAAAGTAATTAAAATGATAATTAAATTTTGTACATAAATATATCTCAGAAATATTATTTAAAATATTCAAAATGAACTTTTGTATTAGTACAAAAAGACGGAAAATAGTTAAATTTTACAAATAAAATTTCCAAAATGAGATATATAAATCATATGCAGTGTATTAACATTGATTAAATAAAGAGAAAAATTCATATTCATTAAGACATTTCCTGAAGAGGCCGAAGCTCTACTGATTTGTACTAAATAACAGTGTCAGAAGGAGAATTGTATCGGGAACCCCCGTTATAAAAGTGTGAAAATCTCGATTTCTTCTAAACATACTTGTATAAGTACATATATTGACGATTTGAAAGTTTGAAGAAGATTTATTTATGATTAAACGAAATTATACCAAGTAGAAACGTTGAGGATCTACGCATCCAACACTGCTTTTTGAGAGGAATGTGAAAATTGACGAGTTGAAACCGAGTACACGTATATTATTGGAAATGGTCGATTTCGTCAACGTTTTCAAATCGTTAACGTTTCCATCTTTACATTACCTATATCCATGGAACGCACACCAGGGATGTAAAGTAAATATACTGTAGATCATTTAATTTTCGCGAGATAGTCATTAACTCTTTATTAGTGAGACAATTTTTTTCTCGAATCCCAAAGGAATACTTATAAATGCGAGAATGAAATTTTCGCGAGCACACTGCCTCGCGTGATAACACTAAAATAAAGTTCACGCGAAAACATGATTAATAGTAGCCTTTATATATTCACTGTTGTTTTAGTTACAAATTTCAAACAGTACCAAGTAATCGAGAGGTTGTTAGAAAAATGATTCTTTTTTGGTAACAATGACAGCACAGATTTATGGTCTATGGTGTAATCTAATTGTATACCAAACTTTATGGAATTCAAAGACATTGTAGGACAAATTACATGTGTTGTTCCAATTTCATTGGAAATTAATAAATATACACAGGTGGACAATTAAATGTAGTCTAATTGTGTATGAGGATGAGTTTTTTTTTAAATCAAAGGAATTTTGTTTTTTTTAAGTAACCAAGACATTTGACCTTCACATAATGTACAAGTGTAGTTGTAAGTTGTCACAAATCCAATTCATTAGGATTGTAAAGTTTGAAGAATTTCCAAGTTATCAAAGATAGTTTCATTCTTAAAAATCATAAACGTTATCGAAATCAAAACTATTTTAAAAAGTTAAATATAATTCAGGAAAAAAGCTGCAGGAGGATTAGCACTTTCAAATATTATTTCCTGATTAAAAGACTGATACAACTGGACGACAGAAACTCTATCATCGCATATAAGCTCACTTATCAGTATCGCTAGCAAAACTTACATCCAAGGCAAACTTAACATAGATTTAGTGGAATGATTCTGAAATTGTTAAAGAAAGAGTGTATACATTTGGGAAAATGCATGATCATTATGTCAATGTCTGAGACTGGTCGATTCACAGGAATAATCACTTCGTATATCCTGTTTAAAAGACGCCTCTTTACAGTACATGTATGTATATCCATGTCGTAATAGTATGAATAAATATAACTTTTCATACAATACTTCACGTAAAGCCTCGTCACGGAAAACTTGCCTTACAGCAATCATTCTCCGTACATTTTCACCCAAAAATCCTCGACATTCATACCTTGACGAACACGGTGTCACTCGTATCCAGTTCATATACCAGTATCATAAATGCAAAGTATAGCACGTTTTGACGCAAAACCAGTCACCGAAATCAATAATATTGACCGTCTTTTCAATGTGGTTGTCTAAACTCAATGGCCCGTTTTGGTATCATAACCAATGATTCTGTATACCACCAATAATTTCTGTACACCACCCTCATTTCTAATGTGGCCAAAGGTTTCGATAAACTCGATAACCATGCAGGCTTTATACTGTTCAAAAATGTCAAGAAATGCATTCTGAACAATATTTAAAAAAAATCAAGTTTAATGTATGGATTTCACTTAAGCTAAAATGGTTAAACTTGAGCTTCGCACAAATTAATGTACAAATCACTATCGTACGAAACTGTCGCCGTAGATTCCTTTTCCTGGCTTGGCGGATCAAAGAGTTCGATTTTGACATTATCTATATTCTTCTTAAGTTTTCTGCTTTCAGATTTTGAATTACCACTGTCAGAGCTGGATTTTCCCGTGTTACTAGACTGCACACTGTCTGAGGGGAAATCTGTAACGTTAGGTTTTCTTGGATCCGCCTCACTTTTGTCTTGTACACCGCTGTCATTTTGTTTAGAAGCAACAGATCCATGTGAAACTTCATTGAAATCGAGTCTTAAACCCTCCTTTTCTTCTGTTATTTTAGACAGCACAATTTGTTTAGGTTTTTCTTTCTCCTTCTGATGAATAAAACACTGCATTTGAAACTTTCCCGCCTCTTTGTTGGTGTGTTTAAGTCGCGCTGGAGAGACGATAAACTGTACGTTGTTAAGGGGTTTGGTAACCATGGCATCGGTCAAATCAAGGTCCAAGAGAGCGGCAGCTTCTGTACTATTTTTGCTGCACGTATTCTTTGCCATTTGTCTGACCTCTGAATTCGATTTATGTTTCTCAAATGCTGGCATGAGGAAAAACAAAAGTCCTGCTAGCACCATCGCAACACCGGCAAAAATAAATCCAGCATGTTCGTTTTCGTGATTACTGTTCAGATACACTGCAAGAAAAATCATATCTCAAATGTAACATTTTCTTCTTGAAATCGTTCGTAAAAGTAGTCTTGCATTTTAAACAATATTCTAAGGACTTTCCCGAAACTATCGTAACGTTGTTGATATATAGAATTTTCGAGATATTAAGGCTTCTAATGATTATAGAAACACGTTTTAATTAAAGTAAGTTTCATTGTAATTTTATAGAAAACCTAAAGGCAAATTCATTGATTGAACAGTAAACCTATATACATAGTTTACTATTGAATACTAAGAGACACAATTGAAATGAAATGGACACTTACATGATATCGGTGATCCAATGAGAATTGGTAAAAATTGAGCAGCACACACAAATCCCCAGGCTCTCTCCATTATTTTAAACTTCACAATTTCATAAGTGTACATTTTAAGTGTGTAAAAATATCCCCCACAGAAAATGCCGAAACCCCAGGCATACAGTGCAAAGGAATTGTAGTCTTTCTCCAACAACAGGAGAAGCGTCAGAACGCCACAAGCCAGACAGTTCGCCTGACAGAGGCAGCGCCGGCAGATGGAACAGCTTTTGCTGTCTTTGATAATAATATAACCTTGAGCAACGACCCCAAGAACAAAACCAAGGCCTAGGTAAACAATGATAAGAAGCAGGTCAACATCCGCCATTTTCCGATCGTATCCAATTTTAATCTGAAATGTAAAATAGTATATTAGGCCAAAGTTATTTTATCTTTAGGTTTACGGATTTTTTCCAACCAAAATGTCCATTGGGTGGCGACAAAATAAAAATAAAAATAATTTGAAACTTCTTTCAAACGGAACATAGCTGATTTCAAAAAACAAAAACACCACCACCCTTCTTTTGAATTAGTAAAAATTGGAAACATTTCCTGAAATTATTTGTACTAAAATGAGAATCAAATAAAAGGAACTACAAATGATTTTACTGAAGGTTTACTTCAGATCTTATTTGAAATCTTTTAAAAAAATATCTTTTTAAATATTAAAGATGTTGATCACAGAATATTTTTGGAACATGACACATTCATTTTTTTTAACAAAAACCAACTAATTTACTTTGATTTAGATTCATAATCTTGTAAACTATATTATCAAGACGAAGTCACAGATTATCTTTACTTCTTTTGGTGAAACCCTACACTGTTGCCTATTTCCTTTTATTAGCATGACCTTATACAGCTGTATGGTCAAAGTAAAATGTCAACAACAAGGCATGTATCTGGGACCTATAACCATGAAAATGATCTATTTATCTGGGTATATTGATTTTTTCATTGTTTCATACACTTGTCACACAAAATTTAGCATGTGTCTGGGTTTGGGAAATACAATTCAAGTTAGAAAAAACGTACATACTAGTCTTTGTGTGCAATTTCTACAATTTTGTCCAGTTTCAACATATTAATTCCTTACTTTTGAACTGGAAGAAAAATATTACCAATGGGAAAAAATAGCGAAGTTATGTCATTGAAACAGCTGATATTTGGTGGTTATTTTTATTTCCATAAAAATCATAGATTACGTTTTAACAGGACTCTTTGGGGGAAAGAAATATTGCATCTCCCATAGTTTGCTCTTCTTTCATTCTCTGTGAAAATTAAGTTTCTGGACATCGTGCTATCTCAAAGACATTTTAACTGCACTTTAAAATAAAGACATGCTTGCCGCCATGTTTACACGTTTTTGTTTATAGTCACTGAAACGTTTGAAACAATGAGACGTTTTATAACATGTTTGGGACTCAGACGTATTATAAATATTAAAACCCTGATGATCAGGCATGAATTTTCCGGAAAATTATCGAAAGTGGTGATAAAATCCATTATTTTTATTTTCTAGACCCTGAAAAATCGGGTCGGCGGATCCGTAAACCGAAAGATATAAAAACTGTGGCCTTAGAAATATGTAAAGCATGTGTGTCCTTCTACACTGGAATCATCAGAAGTGGATCATTTCCGCAACTTTATTTGATTATTATTTCTTTGAGTTAAGTTAATATTACTACTTTTTCAATAAAATGTCTTTACTGTGTTGACGGAAGTTAAGTGCAGCATTGCAGAAAAAAATGTATAATCCGCGTTGGTTGGTTATTTTTCCCACTCCAAAAATTATTAACTGTTTTACCTCGTATATATAACACAACGAAGAGAGACATTTTATCGTTTATATTTTCACATTTTTTTATTTCATTAAAATGTACGGATTTTCCTGTTTACACAACCATTGCAATGTGGATACGGCGTGTGTCACCGGTTGACAAAGATGCTTATTCCTCTACGGCACCTGATCCCACTTCTTGCTGCTTTCAGCTGTCCTTATTGGTTCTGCTTACAATTTGTTATGTTTTCTTAGAAGGGTGTTTGTGAATGATCACTGTACGTAATCTTTACAATTCATTAATATAAAATGAGTGAAAGTATGTATGATGTATCATAAATCCGTACATTACACGGAAGAAAAGAGTTACGTTATCTTTGACACTTCTATCATATTTGGAAAAACAGATTGCATAAGAAACAGAGCTGTCTTCAATGCAACTGCATCAAATAATTGCTATCATTCAACTTAATTTCTTAGGAATTAGTATGGAAATAATCATATTTATGTTATTAATGATGGAAAACAGCATTTCGGATCTCGTCATTCACCTATGCTCCAACTTCTTGTATTTATTGGTAAAACTCTGTTTTTAACTTTCACAAAAACTGTATAATTTTAAAAAAGTAAAATTGAAAAATGAGGACTGTGGTTGAAAAATTTACCTAACTTTCTGTAACCGACATTCTTGGGACACTACACAAGATTGGTACATTCAAGTGTAATTTTTCGAAATATTTTAACTTTGTATATAATTTGAGCTTTGTAATTTAATCAAATACAGACAAATGAGACTTGGAAGATGGCTTTACCAAGATGATGAATGGCACATAAATCCCAAAGGCAGCTATACCGGAAATGATCATCAGAGCTTGTAAACCACGCATGCGCAGAGCACTAAAATCAAAATATGACGGTTCCGCCTCTTCGTGGTCTCTTCTGCCCTTTTTCTGGCTTTTGATATGCATGATCATTTTTCTGCGAGGATGGTACATGGATGCAGGACGATACAATGCGCCAGCTACAATAGTTAGAATGAAGATGCCCACAGAACACTGCATGGTTTTCATCCAGACCATAGACCTGTAAATTCAAGGATTAAAAACTGTGTTACAATTGATGACCTTTTCATTCAAAGACAAAGATTATTTGTTATTTTAACAGCTTGAAAAATTACAGTCATGTATTAAAATCAGATACCATATATATAAGCAATAATGATTTGTATACCCCTGTTAAAATAATAAAATATTTTCTACTACAAAGAAGGTACAATAACTATTTTTTACAGTCTGAAAATTTTCATGTATATAGCGAAGTTATACCGCGGGGTATAGTTTCAGGGAACACTCTTTTATCAAACCCCTGGTAACCACTCCCCGAGGGCTTTCCCGAAGGGAATAGTATAAGGGTTGTTCAACTGTATCCCACTCGCATCCAGTGGGTATGCGGTTTATTATAATCATGGATATTTATTTATAATTTATGAGGACTGGATAGCACATTATCATAATTATTCTTCTTTTAAATTTCCCCCCCAAATATTTGCAAACTTTTAAGTTTAGATAAACCAACCACTTTTTTATACATGTATACAGTCTGACAATTTTCAAGCATGGAAAATCTGTACTCCTGGGTATACTAATTTGTACTGCCCAACCCTCAGAAAATCTTCATTTATAGCATTTGACGCCAATTTCGATTTTATTGCAGTATGATTGGTTGGCAACTTCTAAAACTATACCCTATATCCTAATGTGCTATCCAACCCTTAGAAATTATAACAACCATCAGCATTATAAAAGGTTTATCCACTGCATGGCCTTTGGTGGCATTTTCATCAAATAGTTGACAAGAACTATTCCCCTCCGTTAAGTCCTGTACGTCGCGTATTGCAATGATCGCGATAGTGCTATCCCACTCGTAGAAAATCAAAATTGGCGACAAGATCTCAATAAAAAAATCGAGGGATGGACATAGTATACACATTAAACATTATCCATATGCTGTGCATGGAATAGCTCTGTAATAAATCCGTGACAAATTCTTCCCCGAGAGCTTGCCATGAGTTGAGATACTGTAAAATCACTAATATTCGTGGGGGATTAAAGGACAAGGTAGAATAACGGCTGAATCTGGCCCCTTATTTGATGTAAATTAGAACCCTGGTAAAATTTTGATAGGTTGTAGTTAAGAACTTAGAATGATGCTTGCTTTAAAATCAGCACTTTGTTTGGATTTAAACCTTACATGATGGTCACAAGAGGGTGCAAAAGTAGGGCATTTCCCCAAAGAACTATATGCGGTATATTGCATAAATTTGCCCCCACAAATGTCAAATTTTTGAAAACTTCCTGAAACGTGCTAAATTAAATAAATGGTATTAGAAATATAAATTAACAGAACATATTATAGTTTCAAAGCAGTTTATTCATATTTTTTGTTTTTATGACGTCACAAACTAGTCCGATTTTATATCTTTTTTCAGAAAGAGGACAAAATGGACAAAATTTCAACAATTTTAGCTTTAAAATTTATAGAGCGCAAGTTTGTTCAGGAACAATATTTACATATTTCATTGATATTATCATTCAACACCTTATATCAAAATATTGATCCTGAACACACATGCGCTCAGTGACTTTTACTCAAAATATCGACGAAATATGTGCATTTTTCTGTAGAATTCATAAAAACTGAAATTTACGTCATGTTTGTGACGTCATTACGTACATATGACGTCATTAATCATTAAACTATTCAGTGCTTTGAAATCAGTATATACTCCCCGACTTACGAACTTTATTAAATATATCCCCATCAAAGTTCGATTTGGGGGGCAAATATTGGTTATTACCGAATAAAGTTCTTTCCTCAATTCTGGTGGAATTTTATTGCAGCCCGGAGGACCAGGCTGCTCTATACATATAAGTTTAAGTGTTGGTGTATGGGGTTTGGGGCGGGAGTAGTTATTCAGAATTAAAGATTTTCTAAACATTAAAAAGATTGTTAATCAGAATGTTCTTTTCTGTATAAATTAGGAGATACATATATATATATTTACTTCCTTTAAGTGAATCTGTAAAAATATATATGTTTTTCATATTTAATATATAAAATTGCTTATCATTTACTATGGAAAAAATGACAGGTCCCTTTTTTCAGAACATCGAATTTTACTTCTCGCATAAAAACGTACTCTGCACAGTTCCGTGTTTTATATTCGAAAATTGAAAAATAAAATACATTTTTGAATATAGTTGATGCATGTGTCTAACTTCAATTTATATTTTATGCAGCCAACATTTACTTGAGGAATTGATCAAGTTTAAAATGGTATCGTTTTTGTTCGAATTTTATCCGACTATGAGTTTTCAAAATATTCGCCACTATCGTCTCCATCAATTAGACACATGCCTTTTCACACATATCAAAGCGGTTTGATGATCAAGACTTATTTCCATTGTTTACTTTATATATTTCCCGGGCGACAATTGATGGTTACATAAATGTTTTCTTGTTATATTTGAGATAATGTTCTCTTCGGAAAACATAGAGCACAAGCTTGCTTTTGAGATTATTACACATAAACTGCATCTGATATTTGTGTATTTTTATAAAAATTTGGTAGACAGGAAAATGACATATCAGCGGCATTTTATCCCCACGAAAATTTGTTATTCTACAGAACTTTATAGGACTATGTCAAAATTTGATTTAAAAAGTTAGAAAATCACAATAAATATTTAAATAAATAAATAAGTAAAATAAAGTTTCATTTCACATGTTTCAGTATTCATTTGTATTAATACTGCCCTTCAATTGAAGACTGATTCAATCTATCACACACTGCATAAACTTTTGCTGCTGATGTTTAGATAGAAAACGCCTAATCAATGACTGTTTACACAGCCAGCTGTATTAATAATGATGGTTATAACACAATAAGGGTGTATCGTGACATCGAAAGCTTCGCCGGATATATTTAGATATCGATTAGTTGCCATAAAAACATCCCCGTAATATGTCTGCAAGATCTCAAAATAAACTGAATTTCATCCATTTAATATTCAGCACAGCCGTGTATGTGGAAAAGACAGTTTGTAAAAGCAGTATTAATTGGTTTGTTCTCTTTTTTAATAGTATGTTTTATTGATTTTTTTTTCTCGCTCTACAGTATAGAACTGAACGAGGCCGTGTTGATCATGTTGATGAGTCTGGCACACTGTAACAGCAGCCCCTCTAACTGCTGAGGTATCACAGCACAGATTTACTCTAATCAAGTATTTCATATATAATTTTATTTTTAAAAAAAAACAACATTTCGTTAACTTGTTATTTTGGCTCCTAACCACACATGTTCCAAGAAAAATTTTAAAATGCAATTATTATTTATATAAAGACAATCAATCTGGAAGAAAATATTTCAATAGGCTTTTAAGAGCTCATCTCGATCTCAACCTTACTTATTCACAAGGGAATAATAGTGGAAAAGTGAGACTTAAAAGTTAAATCATCTAAGTTTTATGGACCCCGGAGCCATTTCCTTGAAATACTAGTGAACTATAGAAAATTCAGAGCTCCATAAACAGACACCATGTACCTGTTTGTTTTCAAATGGTCTAAAACAGTTTCATTTTTTTTTCTAACGTGCAATGGTTGAGCCGTATAGTTTACCTATTAAGTCCGTATATGACGAGAGCCATTATAACAGCCCCAGCACCAGTGCCACATGCCATTATCATCTCCGCAAGTTCACGCCTCTGAAGAAAGTATCGGCCCACGATAATGCCGGCGGCACTGAGGGAAATTCCCGTCCCCGCCGACAAGATCCCACAGTAGATGATAAACAGCTGATCGACCTTGTTCGAGAAGGACAAAAGAAGCACCCCTAAGGAACAAATTACGCCCCCTACAACTGCACAGGATCGTGTACTTTTCCTCTGGCATATTGTTACTACTGCAGGGGTAAGGAGAAGCGAGATGCTCAGTCCTGATGTTCCTAACCATACTGAAAAATACAAACAGCTGAAGATAGAATGAAAAGTCAGTAGGGTGGTTTATAATAGTTTCACGCAGTTGGATTTGAAACTAAAGGGGGAAGGTATTTCTAAGAAATTTCTATTTTTAATAACTATGGCAACACAGTTCATTGAACTTAATATCAATGAAAAGAATTATATACCTTAGTGCTGTCTATTTGAATTTTAACTTAAATTAAAATCAAGCCAAAACTGTAGAAGAAGCATTCGAATCATTTCACAGAATTTTCTATTTTAAGTAACCATGGCAACATTGTATATCGAAATAAATTTTAAAAACCTCGATGTACAGAATTAAGTATCTTAAAATATTCTACTTGAGTGCCAAGTTATATTGAATTCAGACTAAAGCTGAAGGAAAAGTAGCATTTTGAAAAATTGTTTACAGACAGACGGACAGACTGACGGACGACAGACTCCTTACTTTCCCATGAGCATTTTTGGTCTCTGATCAAAAGAGCTATAAAAAGAGTCATCAAACTTTTTATTTTCTTTGTATTTTTCCTATGTACATCAATAAGAAGTCCCAAGAGGCTGCTTTGTAATGTTGTGAATATCTCTAGTTGTTTTGCAGACACTTATGCTGCAGCAGAAGGGTTTCATTTCATCATGATAAGTGTACACAGTGACTTGAGATAATGGCGGAATGCGAACGTCCATTTCAATTACTTTCAACCTTTTCATGACCTTGACGTACTTAAGATGAATTGATGGCGATGCAGTCGATATCGGATAAGGTGGAATACTGTAATTATACTCGTATCAAGTTCCCTATCTAGCTGAATGAAGTGAATTCGAAACATATAGTACAAATATGACGTCATCAACATGGCTTCCTTGACTGTTAAACCAAATTATCGAAAAAAAAAGATGTTGCTTTTTTTTTAAAAAATAACTTGGACAGTATGCAGTCTGAGATTTATATACGTATATTTTTCCATGTTAATATAATGGTTTAATTAAGTTAGACTTATCATAGATAAATGTAAGAGGAAATGATTTTTTTCTCATCAATGAGAATTTTCACATCGACTTTTTTTTTTAGAAGCCTACCTATGTGCATATCAGTCATTTTTATCTTCTTCTCCTTCTGTATGCTCAGATAAAAGATTCCAAAGGCGTAATGAATGCCGCTACACAAGACATACACTACTGTAGCGGCCACGGTTATCACCCAACCCCAACCTCCATCAGGAAAATGTTCCCCAAAGTCAATGCGTGTCTTCGGTTTTTGATCCGCCCCACACGAGCTGTCCTTGTCTTTTTTGATGTCCGAGTTATTCTTGGAGAACGTCATGCTGCTGTCATTATTGTCGCAGACTTCAGAATGAATCGCTGATAAGTCCGGGTTCGGCTGGATGGAATAGGCTTGGTTTCGGCTGCTACACGAACCGTTGTCTATGTTTTGGTCGACAACAGCCTGATAATAGTCGGTCGATGGCATCTCACACTGCTTTGTTTACGATGCGTAAATTACACATCATCGTCGTGTCGTTCTGTCTTTAAACCGCTCATGAAAATCCATTATTCACAACAAAATATTGCAATAAGACATCGAGTTTTATTATTACAGTTTGAATGAATATGCTTAGACACATTTATTAATCCCTGCTATTTGCACGTTTACAAAAGTAAAATTGACATCCTTTGCATTTTGTGTTTACTGCTAATCAATTCACGATCAATAACTGGCAAAATGCATGCGCAATCTTAAAATGGAACACTTTTTAACAAAGAAGATTCAGCAGCGACACAAAACATTAAATTTTCAGTTCACAGTACCGTGCGTTTCCATGGATCGATGACGCATGCAGACCCAGATTCTCGTGAGCTGCTGACGTCATGGTGTCGCCAGAACGAGGGAGACAGTCTACCATAATCACTCATCTAATTGTGTTCTCCTGGTGTCACTACAGACGACATTATAGTAAATTATTACAACTGTTACACGTTAAAGCTGCTGCAGCTGACTACCAAGAGGTCGTCCAATCGTGGCTAATTAGATAGGAATGAAATCAAGTGTACACATATAGTGTTATCTCTATCATGCATAAGCTGTCCGTTCTATTTCGTTATACTGTTTCCCTAGTGACGGAGTACTGCACTGTCTTTCTCTATTGGTATTTTGTTTTCAGTTCTAGATTTACGTCATGTCATCTAAAACATGCTACTTTACATGTAATACAGACTGTTGGATGTTTTGGTCAATACTTAAGGTATTCAATGTATCACGACCATATTTTGTACCTAATAAATGAATGATCCAATATTTTTAATCATAGTCTCATTTTGATGATGTTATCAAATTAAAATGCTCCACCAAAGGAATTGACAAAATTTTGATTATTGTCCAATTAATTGCACCTTGAATTTTACATTTGAAGTTTATGGACAGCGCATGTTTTTTTTATTAGATATTGTAAATACTAAAAAGTAATTTGAATTTTAAACAAATCTCTTGGTGAAAATATGCATATACATGTATATGCATATCCTTCTTTCTTAAAATATGAAATATTATTATATAATTGAATAAATTCCATCTCTATGATTAGCAGAGATTCAACTATGTTAGAAAAATCCTACGTTGTATTGACCTGCTCGTGACGTTCCAGGTGAATACAAGGATTTATATCCTCTACATTGATCTAAAATTAGATCGGGAAATTCCAAATTGATACAAGTGGTTTTGGAAAGCCATTTAAACGACTATGACTTTTTTTTTTTTACATGTGAACAAAACATAAGTGAATATATAATTTTGGGTGAGGGTGGTAAGAGGGGATGCAGGGACCCCCCTCCAACACTTATTGAACAACAATTTTTACTTTTTGGCTGTCAGTTTTCCCTGATAATACTCCTTCATTTAAAAATCTATCCTATAAAAAAGACTGACATTATATTTTTTTCATGGCAACTAAAATTGATAAAAAAAAAAATTTTAAATTGCTACGACAAGTAAGGTTGATTTACATTTTAATTTTGCTTCTCTCTTGTATTTGGCTAGGACTTAATTAAATGCAAACAAGTAATGAGCTGTATAATTTTATCAGTGACTCATATAATAAAACAATTATTGCTGTTTTTTCGGTCAATACAATGATTTAGCCATCTTCGAAGTACAATATTCACCTCGCCCTTCGGGCTCGGTGAATATTATACTCCTCAGATGGCTAAATCATTGTATTGACCTCAAAAACAGCAATAATAAATAAATCATTTACCGCAGAAAAATTCTTTTTTTTCCCCCATAAAGTGCAGACAACTCTTCAAAACCTTTTTACGTGCAAAATGGCTGTCTTCTTACATTTTATTAGTCTTGTGAATTTGGTTCACTTCACTTTTATCGTGATCTTGCAAAGCGTTTTTAACTAGGGTTTTTTATGTCTTAAAGGCATACACATTGTAATTATCTTCTGAATCAAAAGTATTTCATTAACCACGTTCAGTATAAATATCATAAACCGAAAGGTATGTGAATAATGTACTGAGTATGTTAAATGAGTATGCTTAGTTGTCATTCAGGAAGAGTGGAAATGAGAATCAAATGATAATTTACGAACAAAAAGCACACCATGGAATGACCTGTTTTCTTGTTTAGCATGCTACATTTTTAGGAATTCTTAACAGTGATATAAAACGTGTTTGTAAAACACTCCCCCCCGCCCCCCACCCCGTTCGAAGTGAATGTCTTGTCACAAGAAATACATCTGTAAAATATGAAAACCATAATACCAATCATTTAGAAATTATGACCATGATTAAAGTTTTTCAAACTTAGGAAACCGTAGGAAAGTAATGACTAACAATTTTGAGTTTTTCAAAGTTTTCAAACTTCAAGGTCTAGATCAAAACGGTCAAAATTGTCGGTGCCCAAGGTTAAAGATTTTGTCAAGTATTTCTACCTCCAATGTAAAGAGGTCAAAAGTATTTGTACCAAAGGAAAGGTCTTACTTCAAGGAATACACATGTGAAATATGAGACCTAACACCAACCATTCCAAAGTTATTGCCAAGGTTAATTTGCAAAAAAAAAGGCCAAACCTCAAGGTCTAGATGTCAAATATGTTGATATATAATATCCAAAAAAAAGCCTTGTCACAATAAATACACATGTGAAATATAGAATCTACAGCTCCCGTAGTGTCTCAGACCCTGTGCTATCTGTACAATAAATGTACTTACAGTCGATGCCCAAAGCTAATGTTTTCTTCTCATGATCATGTAGAGTATCTTTGGCTCAGTCTTCATCGGCAGATTTTCCCAAAAAAATATTTCCATGGACAATTTCCTATATATTTTGTCCTGTCCGTATCTCTCTTTGTCTGTTTGCTTGTCTGTATTTCTGAATTGCCTCAAGAATTTAACATTTCAAATGTGTATTTACTTTGTCAAGGCCTTTCTTTTTAGTTCCCACATATTTGGCCTTTGGCGTTTGTCTCAATTTTGCAAGATTTATCAAACTTTAACCTTTAAATTTTGAACAGTTGATGCGAGGACTGTCAAACTTCACATGTTTATTCATTGTGAAAAGAACTTTTCATGGCTATAAATATTTCTTACCTTGTGACATTAACCTTTGAGTTTGTCTCACTTTTAAAAATATGGTAGCATAAACTATGGTGTCTACAAGGGAATTTATATGAAATCACTGGTGTATTTCATAGGACAATGCCTTCCCTTGGTTGCCAAAACTTTCCTTTGAACTTGACCTTGGAGTTTGACTTACTTTTGAAAAAGTTAAATATTGGCCATAACATTGCAAAACCTTAACCTTGGTAACTTTATTTTTACTGCAGACTGAATTGTTTTTGGGATCACAAATTTTCATCTTTTTCATACACTTGTCATCATCTCAATTTCCCCATATTTCCATAAATTATTTCCTTTACTCTCTACTGCTATTAATTGTTGGTTCGATTGTAGGATCAAACTGTTATAGATTTGTGGCTCGTTTTTTTTCCGTTATTAGCTGTTCCTCAATCTCAGCTTCATACAAGCGGGTCACGGCTGTTGTTCTCAAAGAATGTTACGTATAGCGTCCCTTGAATCCTGATTGTTCACAAAGATTTGCGATATTTTTTGTCAAAACTTGAACACCAACAGTATTTGCATACCTACAGGTTTTAGAGTATTCATTTTCTTTTGGTCTGTATTTTGGAGAAATATACAGTACTTTCTCTATCATATGAAGACGTCTTCACTCTTGAAGCTTTACATGGAAAGTAGTCAGAAATCAAGTGAGTTATCGTGCAAATCTAAATTTACCTGGCATTGTCAATTAAGTTAAACAATACACACAGCTATTGTTTTCAGTCCTCACTCACTGGACAATCAATTGTGTTACGTAATCATAGCAAATACATAACCATCACCTGGGACATTTTATTATATAAACAATAAAGAAAATGTTTCAAGAATGATTTATTCCTCAAACTTCCATTCTGAGAGAGAAAAAAACTATTCTTGGTCCTTAAATTCGGGCCTCAAACAGTTCTTTCTCTCACAGAATGGACAATTTCGGACTTTCTCTTTACAGAATAGAAAGGGTGATGGCAATATAGTTATCAAATAGTTTGTTTTATTCACATGCACTATTTTTTAATGCAAGTCTAATTTCAGGTCCATGTTAGCTCTGCCTATCATGCATATTTTTAACAACCTCGTAACTATTCAATAATTCAATCAAGGGCATGTACATTTTAATGTAAGGCGAAAATATATACTTATTTTGTTTATCATAGACGAAAATCATTTAAATACAGTGGAGCCTCATTTATTCGGATGCTTTTGTTCTTAGTCAATTTGTCCGGATACGTGAAGCGTCCGGATATCTGAATCACCAGTTAAACAAGACAAAATAACATTAAAAAATTTTGTTCCGATGAAAAGTCGTCCGGATACTGAAGCATCCGGATATCTGGCGTCCGGATATCTGAAGGTCCACTGCAGAGAAACCAAAGCGTCCGGATAAATGAGGCTCCACTGTATTTAAATTTGGCTACAAATTCTAAAGATTCTTTTATGAATAAAGAAACGTGAAATAAGGTTAAGGTAAAAACAAAACAGACGTGACCAAAGGACCCAATATTTCAGCTATTCCAGAAAATTAACCAGCAGAAGCAGGATATGTAATTGTTTATTGTTTATATTTCTACGTCTGAATAAATAATTATATTAATTAACACACTAAAACCAAAAAAAAAAAAAAAATTATTGTTTATATTTCTACGTCTATATAAATAATTATATTAATTTACTCACTAAAAAAGAAAAAAACAATACAAAACAAACAAACAAAAAAAAAAAAAAAAAAAAAAAAAAAAAAAACACCAAATTTTATTGTTTATATTTCTATATCTACATCATGTATATAAATAATTATATAAAGAAGGATTAAAGAAGGACAATATGAAAACCATCTATCTTCCTAAAGTCATCAATCCAGTGAAAAAAAGAATTAGATAGATTACATGATCAGTGGTCCCTGCTGACAAAGCAGGTAACAACAGTGTATTTGTTTGTAAGGCTCATTATATAAAATGTATTTTGAAGAACTTGAGTTTAATTCTACAAGTGGTAATCCAATTTATACTCATAGTTCCCCTTCTAAGGAAGAAATTCGTCAAAAATAATATGTCAGTTTTGAATATTTTTAATATCCTAAAAGAACCAAAATGAATTAGAACTACTATATCTATATTAAATTCCGAAAATTTATAACAATCCATACAAGAGTACTGTGCTATACAACATTCAAGAAGTGTTGTAAATCAGATGTGGATACTTAAAAATTCCAATATATTTTAGACATTTTTTTCACAAGATTTTACAAGAATCAACAGCTTTAAAACTTATGACTTTTCAACTTTATACACAACCATCCCCAACGGTAAATTAAAGTCCATGCTTTTTGATTTCATTGACAACTATTTTCAATAAAAAGGAACTCGTAAAACTTACCTAGTCATTTGCCATTTGCAAAATTATTTTGGTA